ATAACCTTATTTAAGTTTATTTTTATTAAGGTAATATTTATTATTTTATTATAAAATAAGTAGTTTATTTATATCTTTATAGCTGCTTTAAAGATTAATTAAGCTAAATTATTTATATTTTGCTAGCTTTTCTTTTTTATAACTATTTTTTAAGCTATATTAATTATTATATAGTTATAAGTTGGGTTTAATAAAATATTATAATAATATAATTAAAATAGATTTAATAAAAAGGAATAAGCTATACTTAAAACTATATAAGTTAAGATAAAAGCTTATTATATATTAATATTTAAAGAAAGCTATATTATATATATAATATATTAACTTTATAATAAATTAATAATTATTTTTAAGTTTTTTAAGATAAATAAAGTTATTAGCTTTAATTTTATTTTTTATGCTTATTATTTATTTATAATAATATAATAATTATACTTATTATTTACTTAAGTAATAATAATATGCTTATAATTTATAATAATAAAAATTAAGAAAAAAAGCTTATTTAATTTATTTTATATTTATTAATATTATTTTTATATAAATTAAACTTATAAAAAAGGCTTATGCTTTTAAGTAAAACTTTATTTAAAAATTAATCTTTTTCTTTAAAATTAATAAAATTCTTTTTATAAAATATAATTAGCTTTATAATTTAAATTTAAATTAATATAATTATAAAAAAGAATTTATAATTTATTATAAAGTATTCTTATTAATTATAATATAAGTATGCTTTATGCCTTTATTAAGCTTTTTTTTTAAATTTAAAGATTTAAAGCGCTTTAGCTTAGCTATTAGCTAATTAAAAGGAAAAAGTGCCTTAATGCTCTTATAATTCCTTATTTTTAATACCTTAATCCCTTATTATACTTATTATAGCTATATTTATTATTATTATATCTTAATTTATTATTTATTATCTTTAAGCTAAGGGCTTTAAGGGGCATAAAGTTAAGCTTATATATTGCTAATATTTAAGGTTTTATACCTTTAACTTATAAGTAATTTAATAATATATATTTATTATTTTATTATAATTTATATATAAAATTAATACCTTAATAACCTTATTATAAAGTTATAAAAAAAGCTAATTATAAAAGTAATTTAGCTTTATTTTATTTAATTACTTAAAGTTCTTAATTTATATTATTAGCTATTTAAATTAAATATAAAACTAAGCAAAGCCATTATAATCTTGCATTTAAAATATTTTAAGCTTAGCTAATATAGCTATTTATTAATATAAGTTTTTATAATAATGCTTTAAGTATTTAAAGAATTTATTTATATTAAAGTTATTTTAAAGCTTATTTTGCTTATAAAATATTATAATATATAATTATATCTTAATAAATAGTTAACTTTATAAGAAGATTTAATATTGTTAAGGATTTTTAATAAAGTTTATATTAATTTATAACTTATATTATATTATAATCTTTTAAGCTAAAAAGCTATTTTAGCTATTATTAAATAAGGGGTTAATTAAAAGCAACTTGTATTAAATTAAGGGTAAGTTAAAAGGGTTTATATATGCTTTAAGCTTTATAAGTTAATAAAGTATTGCTATAAAAAAAGATATAGCAGCATTATTATTAATATTAATAAGCATTATTATAAATAATTAAAAAGGCTAAGGTATTTTTTAAGTATTTTTATAATTTAATATTAAAGTAAATTAAGGGATTTTTAATTATATATCTTATAAAAAAGTTAATATCTTAAATATAAAGTTATTTACCTTTATAATATAAATATTCTCCTTAATATAATTTAAAGATTATAATTTAATATTATAAGTTAGCCTTAAGCATTTATTAAAAAATATTTAAAAGGAGTTATAAATTATAATATTTAAAAAGTAAGTTAAGCTTTAAAAGGGCTTAACTTTAAATTTATTTTTTAAGTATATGCCTTATTATATAAAAGGGTTGGGTGCAATATAGGCTTAACATAGGCATGTATTATGGCTTGGGCAATAACCCAAGCCTATTACATTAAAGCTTAAATTAATTAATAAATAAGTTTAATATATAGGCAATCCCGGGCCCTTTAAATATAATAATATTTATAATTAGTTTTAAGGGCTAGGTAATTATATTTTTAAACCATTTTTAAATTAAAATGAATATTACTTAAGCTGCCATTATTTTTACTTAGCAATAATAAAAGCGGGTAGCTAATAAACGCTGCTAAATAATAAAAAGGTTTTGCATTAATAATTAAGTATAGCTATTTTTAAAATACTTTTAAATTACTTAATTAATAAAGAAGCTTAATTAACTATATTAAAAATATATTATAATAAATATTTTTATGCCTTAAATAATTATTTTAAATATATTAAGCTAAGTTTATTTTATTTTTAATATTAATTAAATTAAATATATTATAAAGAATTTATTATTTACTTAAATATTTATAAATATTTAATTAAGTGCTATATTAATTTTAAATAAAATAAATAAAAGCTAAAATAAGAAATATTTTATAAAAGAAATTTTAATAATTAAAAATATATTAAGGCATTTATAAAATAGTTTTTTTAAAAAGCAAGTTTATATTAAATAAAAAAGCTAAGATATATTAATATAAAAACCCCTTAAGAATTTATAAAAATTAATAGCCCTTAATTTATTTAAGGTATAATAAGAAAATGCTATTACTTATAAAAAATTATTTATTTAAGGTAATTATAAAGCAAGCTTATGCTAAGCTTAATAAGCTTATTTAAAGGCAAGGTATAAGGTAATAAGAATTATAAGCAAGAATAAAATAAAAATAAGTAATTTATTTCCATTATGCTATTTAATTAAAAAAGCAGCTTTATTTATATAAACTTTAAATAAATTAAATAAAGCAAGGTAATAATAAGATTTAAACTTATAACCTTACTTATAAATAAGCATTTTTAATTAATTAAAACTTATTATATACTTATTTTAAGTTTAATTAACTTTCTTTCTTAATATAATTTAAATTATAATAATATATATCTTTATATATTAATAATTTATATAAAACTTAATGCAATATTTTAATTAAGTTATTTAAAAAATAAAAAACTTATAATCCCTTTAAAATTCCTTTGCTTATTATTTTATTTAAATAAATATAATATATATTATCTTATTAAAATGCTTTTAAGGTAGCATTAAAATAAAAGCAAATTATATATATAATAATAAGAATTAAACTTATATTATTGCTAATAAGATATAACATTCCTTATTACTTAAACTTATTATATATATAATTAAGGCTTATTTAATAATAATAATAATAGCAATACTTATGCTTCTTAAAAAGAAATAGCTTATGCTTATTTAAATTAAAACTTAAAATATAATTATAATAATAAAACTTATTTAAACTTAGTTAAGCATTTTAATAAGGGTATATAAAAAGGCTAAAATAGCTTAAATTAAATGCAAGATATAAGAAATAAAAGATTAAGTAAATAATAGCTTAAATAACCTTAAGCATTATAATAAACTTTTAATAATAATAATTCTTAAAATAATTAAGGTGCTTTTATTTTCATTATTAATATAAACTAAACTTATATAAAAAATAAATTTTACTTTAAGATTTATTATAATATATTCAACCTTTTATATATTATCTTAAAGTATATTAAAAGCATTAATTATACCTTAAATAACTTATTAAAGCTAGCTGCTTATTATAAATATATTAAGGTTATAATATATAATAGCATTATTATAAATAAGGATTAAAAGCTTTATTATATTAAACGCACTTTAGGAAATGCAAAGAGCTAAGGTAGCATAATTATTATTAATAAGGTTAATAATAAGGGCTAATTTATATATATAAATAGCTAAAATAAGGATAAGTATAATTAATAAAAGCTTTTATTAAGCTAAGGTAAGTAAATAATTAAATATATATATAGCAGCATTAAAGGGGGTTATAAACTTAATAGCATTACCTTTAACTATATTAAGTTTACCTTTATATTAAAATATATATAAAATATATTTATAATTAATATAATATATACTTAAAAGGGCATAAAAGGTATTATATAATGCAATTAATTTAGCAAACTTTTGCTTATATTAATAATAAAAATTATAATAATAATAGCAATTAATATATAAATCTTTATAAATATTATAAATATACTTAAAAAGGATATTAATATTAATTAAAACTTAAATATAACCCTTATATAAAAACTTTTTAATAATAAAAAGCTGCTAATTATTATTATTATTATTGCTTAAAATAAGGTAATTATTAATAACGTAATAGCTTTTTAAGCCTTAATTATTATTATTAAAAGAATAAAATAAGTTTCCTTTAGCATTAATAATAATAATACCTTAATTATTATAGTTTTTATTAAATTTATTAATAAATATTATTTTATTAATATTAAAATTATAATAAGGTTAATATATTTATATTATAAATATAAATTAAATATAAGCTAAATATAATAAGAATATTATTAAATGCAAGTTAAGCGTATTATAAGGTAAATAAGTTAATATAATAAGAAATTATATAAATATTGCTATTAATAATATAAAAAAGGGCATTATTAATTAAAAGGTTAAGTTTATAATATAAGTAATAAGGAATTATAAGGGTATTGCTAATTAGCGGAAATATTTCTATTAAGGTTATTAAGGCTATGTATTAAGTATAAGCTAAAAAAAAATAAGATAATAATAAAAGTAACTTATTTAATTAATAATAATAATTAAAATAAGGTAAAATAATATAAATATATAATAATAATAAGTAATTAATGCTATAATTATATAATAAAGTTATTAAAGAAAGGTTATAATATTTTATAATTATAATATAAAAGGAACTTAAATATAAAATAATTGCATTATAATATAAATTAAGATTAAAGAATTAATAATTTATAATTATTATAATAAGTAAATAATAATAAGCTAAGCATATAGCTAATATATATTATATTTAATATATATTATAATATAATGCTAACTTAATGCAATATAACGCTATAAGGTGCATAAATATTAATAAGGTAAGGTAGGAATATATAGCCTATACCTTTTTAATTAAGTATAAATAAGCCCTAGCATAATTAATATATATAGCTTATATATAATCATAACATATTAATAAAGGATTATATATATAGTAAATGCATAATTAGCATAAGATTATAAAAACCTTAGATTTAATTCTTATTATATATAATATAAGAGTGGAAAGGGGGTTATATAATAAGCTTAAGCTATTGCCTAAGCTATAATATATATTTATATTAAGCTTATATTACATTTAATCTTTTTATATAATAAGGCATATACTTAAAAGATAAATTTAAAGTTAGGCCCTTTTAAGGCTTAACTTACTTTTTAAATATTGCAATTTATAACTCCTTTTAAGTACCTTTTAATAAACGCTTAAGGCCAACCCATAACACTATATTACTTATTAAAAGCTACTTATTATTAAGAATATCTGCAAGGCATGCCTTTAATAAGTTAAAGATTATAAGAATTAAATTGCTAAGTAGTGGGTAAAAGTTTTTTAAATTAACGAGACGTGGGTGATTAAAGGCCCTTATTATAAGCAATATATTATTTGCAAAAGCAATGAGATTTGGCACCTTAATTGCATTGTTAAGAAATACTAATAAAAAGGTGGTTAAATGTTTTAAGCTTGCTTTTTTAGCATCCCTAGCTATTAAAAGGGTCCTTGCTTCTTTTAAGAAAAGGAATAGGGCATAATTACGGAGGAAATGTATTACGCTCATATGATCCCTTTTATTAATGGCTAGGTTATGATGTATTGGCAATAAAAGCAAACGGAGCTTATTTTTATGCATAATAACGCCAGCGCTTATGCAGCAGCGGGTATTTATAAAAACCTTTATAAATAAAGAGTGATTATAATGAAATGGCTAACCTTTAGCCCTAATCTTAACCCTATTGAAATAATTTAATGTTATATAAAAAATTATATTAAAGATTAATATAAGTATATTAAAAAGCCCTTATATAATTAGCTATGGCAATAAGTATAAGAAGCTTAGGAGTAAATTAATAAGAACTTTATTAAAGACCTTTTTGCTAATATATTTAAGCATTGCAAAGATATAATCACGGCTAAGGAATGACATATTAAATGGTAGCTAATAATAGCGATAATGATGATAATTAAGGGCTTTTAGTGGGCTTTAGGGCATTATAGCCCCTAGAAATGCAATAAAATAATATAAATTAAGTATCTTTTTAACGTTTAAATTAATGATTTATAAGGGTAATTATATGCAAGTATTTAAAGTGTTGCGTTAAGTATTGCGTTAACTACCCCTTTGGGCTAGCTGGATAATTTGCTATAAAATCACATACAAATTGGGTAGTAATTGATAATGTGGGGCCCGAGTGACCTGCCAGGGGGGTTTTATTTCCAGGGGAGACCACAGTAGGTACTTGAATAGACAGGTAGACTAGACCTAGGTACTGCAAATTGCGGGGCATTGGACCTCGGGAAGTCAGGTAGGCATGTTCTGCAACTTTTCATCCAACTCGACCAACATCCAAATCAAAGCGCTGCTCAAGTACCTATGTCGCCTGGTATCGGCTCAGTGATTTCCCTCCAGGCTTCCCATCAGAGTCCACTCACAACCAACTTTGACGCCCTTGATACAGCAGTGAGAATTCTTGCTGGGCACAGTACACTCAATCTGACCGACCCGTCGGCCAACAGTGTAAGAGTCCGCTCGATCTCTAACCTGCAGTTTCTTCTCAGAGCAAACGCTTAAACAAGGTGAGATGCACACACTAATTCGCTCGTCGGAAATATATGCTATACGTGCGTTACTCGACGTCATGAACATCTTGTTTACTCAAGTGCTCTAAACAAGCATCATCCTCCGGCTTTCCTCTTTTAAGTGCACCAACAGAATCTCTCCTCAACTGAGCGATCAATTCAGCTTTCTCCGTCACACAAAGTTTGAGGTTGTCTCCGATGTTCTGAAGTGAAGCCCTTGTTATTCCATTTGCCCAACACTTCAGTCATGCGTTCAGCAGAATTCCCCTAGATATCCAAAATGGGATATCCGCATCTCAAACCTTGTCACAAATCTCAGTCCTGAAGTTCTTATACAACAGCGAACATGACCAAGCGCCCAGCATGTCGTCTCGCACTCGTCCAAACAACGCTGTGGTGGAGGCTCCTCAACATGGTGTTGACCAAGTTGCGCAACCCCCCCGGCCCAAGATGAACCAAAGCCTCGGGTGGCAAGCCCTCCGGCGCTTTGTCGACTAGCTTGAGCTCTACGAGGATCCAACAAGCCCTGTTGCGAAAGAAAACCGAGCAGGGAAAACAACTCACCGCTCATAAGCAAGGCAACCAACAGGATGCTCTATCAGCTGGGATAGGTACCACCCGATCATCTCATGTCACGCATAAAGGACACGTGCAAAAAGAGAGAAAAGCGAAACATTTATCACTCATCTCCCGTTTCTGGTGATTCTGGAGACCATGAATTCTGCAATGTATTCTGCATCATACCGCCTTGGAAAAATTTCCAACAAAGCAGCATAGTAGGGGGGTCGCCATGCCGTAGCCCGAAGCGCCGAGACGTACTCGAGATACTCTGGGTAGTATCCCGCATATCCCCAGTCGATGATGGCCGTTATGCGTGACCCTTGGACGAGAATATTTATGGACTTCAAATCCCCATGAGTGAAGACCACATCATAGTCCGTCCGCATCTGGCTGCGCACCATGTTGTGCATAGGCGCCGCCCCCGGCCAGTTCCGAGGAGGGTCTGAAAGCACAAAGTCGATGTGCTCGGCCACGGTCCGGAACGGGCCCCCCTCGTTGACGAACAAGCGAGAGTCAACAGCTGGACCGCCGTCGAATGATCCGATGAAGGACCCTTTCAGGCCCCGGAGCTGGGTGAGATAATCGCGGAGTTCCTCGCTGATGGCTGCAATTTCAGTACTGGATAAGTCCTTCCATGCCTCCTCTAAGGTTAAACCCTCAACAAACTCCATTGTAATGGAGTTTGAAGTCGTCTCATAAACCGTCGGAACCGGAATCGTTGTGTTCTCTCTGAGAAAGCGTATCGCGGCGGCTTCATTAGATATTCGCAAGGGGCCCTCGGTGGTGTTGTTGATCTTGGTCACTCGGTCACCGTGCCGAATGACCTTTCGTACACCGAATTTCTCCTGAAGTACTTGTCCTAGAAGCATCTCAGCTCGCGGAACTAAGTCGGAGAAATCATCTAGGGGTGTCATACCATCTTGGTTGCCTACATTGGAAAGACTGTCGGCACTGGCAACGGCGGCCCCAACGTCATGTCCGGTTCTTGGCAAGGAGGCGTCGTCCGTAGTATCCTGGGAGCTTTGTGCATCTGCCATCGCGGCTTTCGGTAGAGGGTGCTCGATATGACAGAATATTCGCAAGGAAGCGATGGCGGTGAAAGGAAACCTGGAGCAAGTGGATGAACTCTGCAGATGTTGGTTGGCATGGGTAGTGTGTAATAATTGTGGTACTGTACAATGCTTTTGTAAAGTCACGGTGCCAGCTCCTATCAGAGACTGATCGTCTACTGACTGATAGGTCTGGGCATTGATCAGAAGCAAGCTGGCAAAACCCCGGGAACTTATTCAGTAGACCCAACCGTGAGCAATTTATAGCAGCTTCAGCCTCTAGGAACACAAACACACCCACGATTTACCAAAATAATATGCGCATCTTTCTCACGAGGCTTCGATTCTGAGCTATTTCAACGGTACAGGTCGTCTGGACAATTGCCAAGGTACCATGTTCTCTAAGTTTACGCACATATATGGATGTGCGTGCGTGCGTGCGTTGTATGTATTCTTCCCCAACCAGACCAGATACGCCAGAATGCATCCCTCAACAATCCATCCAACAAGCCGGACAGTCGCGATTCGAGGGACAAATACGATCAAGCCAAGTACGTATACGAGTTACCCTCCCGCTCCAAGTAATCCTTCTCGATGAGCCTACGAAGCAAGACAGAGTTAGCAACGAGACGGAAGATTACGAAATAAAAAGAGCTGATCAGTCACTCCTACAGGGCAAGGGAGGCATGTACTCACTTCTCAATGTTCTGCTTGATGTCCCCCGGGTCCATGGCGCCCCTGCTCTTGGTCTGGTTGATAACCTCGGCGACGAGCTGCGCGTGCGGCATCGTCTTGCGGCTCTTCATGACGCGCACGATGGCCGCCTGCGTCTCGAACTGCCGGTCCGCCGCCACCCGGCGGTGCGTCTCCTGGTTCTCCTCGGCCGTCTCCTTCAGCTGGATCTGGTTGATCTTGACGCGCACCATCGGGTGCGTGAAGGCCTTGTTGAACGAGAACGTGTCCGTCGGGGAAACGTCCCTGCCCTTGGGGTGCTTCGCCAGCACCCGCACCTTGCCGCACGCCAGCGACTGCAGCGTGCGCTCGAGCTCCCCGCCCGACAGGCCCGTCGCCGTCGCGATCTGCTCGTACCCCAGCACCCCGTCCGGCGCCTGGTTGAACAGCACCAGGACGCTGGCCTGCATCGCGCTGACCGCCAGGTCCTTGGTGCCCTTGGCGAAGTACCCCTTGACCATGCAGTGCGCCAGGTTGTGCTTCCAGAAGAGCTTGCGGCCCGTGTGTTTGTTCTTGTAGAAGGCGTCGTACTGGTCGATCTTCTTGGCAACGTCCTCAGGTATCAGCATCTTGACGTCGGGGTATGACGGCCACGCTGCTTGGGACAGCACGCTGACGGTCAGGTCGCCGCTTCGATCCCTACCTGTGGCGTCCAGCCAGCCCTTGTAGGTGTCCATTTCCTCCTTTGCCAGTGCCATGTCCTTGAACATCTGCTCCAGGTTGTGGGTGAAGCTGGAGCCGCACTCGCTCTTGAGCTTGGTGAGCATGCTACGCTCGGCGTCCTGGCTGGCACTCCGGCCCATGAGCAGCCGACGGGCCAGGTCCTTCTTGTAGAAAGCTTCAAAGACGTCCTTGCCCTCGATGAAACGGAACAGCTCGAGTGCTGCGTCCAACTGCCGGTCCAGTTCGGCATCCTCGTCCCCTGTGCTGGCCTGACCACTCCTCTCGGCTTCACTGCGGTCCTTGCTATCCGAGATCAGGGATTTTGGCAGAGCCTTAATTCCACCTCGCAGCAACATGTCAATGTGCTTGGCGATCATCTCTCCGACCTTGGAGGTGCCAGTGCCCCAGGATGATGATATCTTCTTGTCGTTGATGAAAACCGTGAAAGCCTCTCGAAGGCTGTACGTGAAGACCTCATCACCCCCGAATGCATCACGGATCATGGTGTCCATAGAACGCCGGAACTCCAGCAGTCGGATGACCATCTCATCGCCTTTCTCTGTGTCGTTTACTATCCTCGCTCCCGCCTGCTGTATGTACTCCTCCCACGGCCCCTTGAGCTTTCTCGGGATGTTCGACAGACACAGCAGCGAGTACAGTGCCTTCACCGAGCTTATGTCGTTGTCATCCAGTAATCTCGACACGTCGCCTTGGTCCAGCAATACCGCGCTGTAGTTTTGTATGAGGATCTCGTGGGCCTTCTCGAGTAACAGCACTTTCGTCGTGCTGTCAAAGTTGTATGTGTTGCACCTGTAGTCCTCCCGCTTGAGGAGCCTCTCGCATGCCGTGATGTACGACCTCAAGCCATCATTGCTGTGCTCAGCAGCAAAGTCCGTGAAATAATCCTCCGACTGCCGCAAGAACTCCCTCTCAAACTTGCTGCCGTAGACCCCGAGAACCTTCAACATGTTGATAGAGTCGTGCAAGAGCGTCGGGTCGGCCGCCGCGTTGCCCCGGCGGTCGTGCTCCACCAGCTGGCACATGCCCGCGACCACCTTCCTGCCGCAGTCCGAGTCGTCGGCCGAGTTGAAGACCATCTTGCGGAAGAGCGACAGGAGCAGGTCGTTGATGGACTGGTACTTCTTGTTGTTGAGCAGGAATGAGCGGTCGAGGTAGCTGAAGGCCGAGCGGACGGTGATGAGGGTCTTGTTGAAGGCCGCCCACTGCGTCCTCACCCGCAGCAGCAGGTCGGTGCTGGCCACCGCGCCGCTGCCCTCCCTGATCCGGCCCAGAATCTCACGGGACAGGTGCCTCTCGCATTCCTGCTTGAGCACCCCGAACAGCTTGTCGCCCTCCCCGCGGAGGCACAGGTCCTCGACGCCGCGGTAGACCCGCTCCAGCGGCACGCGGGGCACCTCGCCCCTGAGGATCGACCGCAGCGCCGTCTCGACGTTGTCCCACGTCTTCTTGTAGTAGTCCTCGACGTCGGCGGCCGTCTTGGAGCTGGCCCTCAGATTCTTGATGACGATCCGCCTGGCGCCCGACAGCGGCTGGAAGCCCGCCGCGCCCTCGGGCTTTTTGCCCATGGCCTTTGCGCTCATCGTGCCCGCGGTGGCCATGGTGTTGATGGAGGCGGCCGAGGTCGGCCTGAAGGCTGTGGTGGTCGGCGCGGACTCGCCGGAGCGGATGCGCTTGGGGTCGGGAGCAGATCGCGACTGGGAGGAGGAGGGGATGGAGTCGACTCGATGGCGGCGTCGGGAAGGGGGCGAAGTGTGGCGGTGGTTGTCGGGGGTCGAGTTGTCGAAGGGGCCCTCGGTTCCTGATGGCCGTGACTGCATGCCCAGGCCCCGGGGGATCCAGCTGCAACAACTCGAGCTGTTGTCGCACAGATCCTGGTGGGTATGTTGCTTCTTGGCTGACGGGGCTGACTCTGCTTTGACTTGTGAGGTCCAGTACTACGAAACAAAACCCGAAAGTGGGAGGACCAAAGTCTTCTCGTCCTTCGAATGTGTGCTAAAAAGTAGACACGAGCAGGAATTAGTAACGAAGGACGACGAGGACTTTGGGGAAGGACGGTACCACGGTCAATGACGAGTGAGATGTGACCGGGCCCGCGAACGTCGAACGGAGTTAAAGAGCTCCCCCACATTCTGGTAAGCTGACATGCCGAGGGCCCACGGCGTCCCTCTCCCCAGCGATCGGTCATGCATGGGCCTGAACTCCATAACTGGCCGTTATATGAGCAGCCCAGTCTACTCATATGTATGCTGTAGGCTCTTAAGTAGGTATCACCTATTTCTCTTACAAGCATCTCCGGTCAACTGTCAGACCGTCTCAGCAGCTGTGCTTCTGGATGAAACAATTGGTTGATATTAAAGCCCGATATTACACACATTCTGTACGATGGCCACAGCTACTAACATGTACAATCTCCGTTACAAACCCCTGTCCCAAAAAATGCATCTGCAGACCCTCCTGCTGGCCCAACCTCTATCAAGCATACGCCGCCCACCCCGAGTACAGCACCGCCAGGTTCCTCTCATCAGTTGCTTGGTTGATGAGGTCGTTCACTGTTGCCGTGACGCTCAGGGTCTTGGACAGCTTCTTCCTGACCACCTCTAGCGCGCGGTCTGCCTCAGACGGCTCATTCACCACGCTCTTTTTCTTCTTGTCCGCCCCCACGCCCGCAGCGCCCCCCTCCTCGTTCCCACCGTCGCCCTCTTCCGCCCGTCTCGCCGCCCCCTGTAGCTTCGCCAGCCTCATAGGTGTCGAGCTCCAAGAGTAGAGCGGGTCGTATCGAAGGACGTCCAGGATCGTCATGATCGAGTACGTCTCCTCACGCAGCGCGTCGAGTGTGAACTCGCAGCACCTGCGGAACACCCCGTCTGTTTTAGTCACTCCCATGCCGTCCACAATGTCACGCGTCATGCGGAACGGTACGACCTCGGGCACAGGCAGGATGCGCCCTGACTCGAACGCCACACCCAGATCGATGTGCACGACTTCACCCGTCTTCTGATCTAGGAGGATATTGTGTCCGTGTCGGTCTCCGAGCCCAAGCACATGCCCGAGGATGGATATCGCAGCCGTCGTGCGCGTATAAGCGAGGCGCTTGACATACCAGTCGTCCGGGTCGGGGAACGACTCTATGAAGAAGTATCGCATCACGGGATGGAACTTTTCCGAAACCTTGCGGTAGGTAGAGACCCTCACGTCGTTGGTGCGGCCGGCGACGTTGGAGATCTCCTTCCTACAGAGATTGCCCTTCATGTCCTTCGGATAGTATCGTTCGTGCGCCGGCATGAGCCAGTCGTGTAAAGGTATCGTGTTGGCAACAAACTCGATCAGTCCAGACCTGTTCGTGAGAGGCAGCACCTTGTAAGTCCTGATGCCGAGGTTCCGCTGCCTCGTTGCTCGGTGTTGCTTCAGCAGGGAGGACACAGCAGCAAAGACCTGCTCCATGATTGCGTCTTGTCGAAGGTCGTCATTACCGCCTTTGACGAGCTGCTTGTACCTCTCTCCGTTGCTGGCGACCACCGTGATGATCTTTGGAGCGCTGACACCGGATGCAATCGATATGGTAGGCTCCAGTCTCTCTATCACCGGAACCGTTGAGTAGTTCCTATCCGCACGCAGCTCGATCTCCAAGGTTGGTGGCGGAATAGGGTATTTCGCAAGGCATCTTGAGAGGGTAGATGCATAAGGGGAATCCTGAATCTTGATCCTGGCCCCGCTTCTATACCGATCACTCTTCTCCTTGGCCAGATAATGATAGCATCCACATGCTTTCTTGATGGCGTCCCATGTAACTGCAACTCCGCCTTTCTGTCGTTCAAACTCTTCCATGACCTTGGTTGCAGCCTCCTTGCGTAACATGGCAACCTCATCTTCTGCGTTCGGGTTCGTTCTAATTCCCGACCAGATCTGATACATGCCGTGGTACGGGTGGTCGAAGCAGATACGGCAGACCAGGTCTCTTAGTAGGGTCTGGAAATGGCTCTTGTCAAGCTGTAAGCGTGAGCTTAGTTGATTCATGAGTGTGGCAAATTTGCGAGTTGGCACATTCCTGAGGAGGTGATGAACGGCCATATTTGCGACTTCTGTTTCTGAGCGCTCAAGCCACAGCGCGGTGAACCTGAGTGCGTCGCTGTCGTGGTCATCCGAAGCAGATAAAGACTGCAGGTAATTCTCAAGGCTGAGTTTGACAAATTCGTTCCGAGTTCTCTGGGTCCGCTGGAGCTCGGTCTGGTCGAGGAGCAGGTATTTCTCGGCTGTCCTCTGGTACCTGTCATACTGTTCCCTGAGCTGTGAATTCTTGGCCGATCTGTATTCCTTCTTGTAGTGCTCCACTTCGTCCGCTTTCGTCTGAACTAGACGCTCAAGTCTGCCCAAATCTTCAAGCATGTCGGGGTCTTGTAGCTGCTCATCGCAGAACACCGCAAATTGGTGGAATACCTGCCCAGCTTCCTTGCCCGAGCTTTTGCCCTTCAACTCTTTGAGTGCAGGCTCGAGGTATTTTTTCTGAATGCTGTCGGCTGTCTCGAGCTTTGCGACTGACACCTGATGCCCAATCTTGGAAAGCAGATCAGCGTGCGTGACGGGGATGCTTTGTTTCTTCAGAGACGAAGGGTTCCCCTGAAGCCCTTGCAGGAGTCTGATGGATGGTATCATCTCCCCGTAGTCCCAGAACGAATTGGCCGTCTCTAGAGAAACAGCAGCATCGATACTCAGACCAATGGCTTCGCTTGAGCTGACAAGGTCTGTCAACCTCGTCGATACGTTCAAGGACTCTTGTCTGGAATGGTGGAATCGATAAATACTTGATGACAGCAGCATGCTCCGAATCTCAACCAATCGAGCTTCCGGTGAAGTGAGGTTTAGTGTGCTTCGAATCACGTCCTTTTGGCCAAGAACACTGAATGTTGTCTCACGATGAGACAAAATCTGGCTGACATCGTCGTACCTGATTTTGGATTAGCAAGATATTAGAATCCTCATTGTCGCCAGTGTCACAAACCTTCCGCTCATCATCCACGCCGACCGTGCCTCGAAATCAGCCAAAACCTTTTCGAGCTCGGCAAAGTCAGCCACGCCCAGGACAGTGTCTAATTCGGTAAGGGCTGCAAGTGTGCCCAGGTGTTGCCGCAGTTCGGACACTCTCAAGTCTCTGGTGGCTAGACGCTTCATCGTTGTTGCCAACCCGTCCTGGACAGCAAGTCTTGCAGGGTCCGTCTCCACAGCCCTGTATATAGACTGGTACGCCCGGTAGGATGTGGCGGCATGGTTCTCAAGGCTTGGGGGTGCAGGTAAGTTCCAGATCTCAAGGCGCCTAGCGGTGGTGAAAGTGCTGTCTAGCGAGGCAGAATCATCATGGTGTTGTTGAATTTGGAGCAAAGAGTTGGAAAGGCCGGACAACCCCAATCCACTGAGTATTTGGACGAGAGACTGCCCGTCACGATCTGCTTCAGAGTCTCTCATACGCAAATGGCTGTCATATTGAGAGCCGCGGAACGCCAGGCTCTTCCCGCCCTCCTTTTCATACTCGAGTCGTGCCAAAACATTGGACAAAGACGCTGTACGGTTCAACCCGTAGTAGGCATCTGGATCGTCTATGTTTTCGAAAACTTTCAGCAAAGTCTCTGAAGAGTCTTCTGCCTCTCGTGCAGCCGAAGATCGCCGGGAGTTCCTCGCTGGTTCAGAAGAGGCTAGTTCGGCGAAGAGCAAGGCAACCCTGAACATGCCACATCCTGTAGCTGCTACTGCCACACTAGACAGGTCCAAGTCAAGCCAATGCGATCTATCGGCAATCGAGGTTTCATTCGGAAATTGTCTTGTTCTCAGGTGGAGTATAACATTGATGAGAAGCTTGATGTTGTCACTGGCTGCTGGCGAAGTTGATCTCATCCATTCTTTGAGGGCTGCGGACAAGCCACGTTTCAGCGGTCTCTGGCTGTTGAGTTCCTCGACAAGCACCAAGTGGGCAATGAAAGGTAATGCCTGCTCAGCGAAGCCATCGATCTCGCCCAGAATTAAGGGCAAGGTCGCCAGGACTGCGTTGCCTTTTACAGAGCATGCGAGATGGATGGAGGTATCTCGAGCCCAGGAAGACGACTCTATGCTCTCAGCCTCGAACACCCCGACCTTGGTATGTTTGATCTCTCCGCTGTCTGTAGGCGGCGTCTGGTATTGCATCCAGTCAGACGATGCAAGGAGGTTTTCTGGAAGGCTTCGAGTACAGTCAGCAATCAGGTCGTGGTCTTCTGTAGAGGACGCATGGGACACAATCTGTCTCAAGGCAGACTCCGCGAGACCAGCATGGGCCGAGTTGTCGCTCAATGTCAGATTTGCCAACAGTCTCAGCAAGCCGTGCACAGAATCACCATTCATCCCCATCGTCCTCTGATAGGTTGACAAGTGTGATTCTCTCAAGACGTCGCGCGGAATGCTGCCAGATGACGCATAAGAAGTGCCAACTACTCGTCCTGCCCATGTAAGATACTCCTTACTGGAGTTTACTGCCCGACAACTTTTCCAGATCATGGGGCCATGGGCACGAGCGTCTTCGTCGGTGTCGATTATGTCGTCTCTGTTGGCTTTTGGGATCTTGAATTCGCCGCAAAGCATCCGCAGAGCCAGCTCACGAGCAGACTCGTTCAGCAGCTGGTGCTCCTGCTCGGCATCCTTGAGTATTTCAAGCAAAAGCCTGCTTTCCTGCGTGTCCTTCTGAGAGTTTCCCGACGATCGGATGCTGGATGCTGACTCAATGATGGCTTTGAAGGCTTGAGCCTGTGTATCTGACTTGAAGGCGGACGACGACTCGAAACCCTTCAACAGCTTGACGAACCACACGTGGAAATTCTGAGCCTTGCTCACGGTCGACTTGAATTGGCTCTCCTGTGTAGAGCTGGCCTGACTCGACTCCAAGAACATTCTCAGGCTGGCCAGTGTAGACAAGGCATAGCCCGCTAAGAATGAAGGTGTCTGTGCCAAGTGAACGGTGCCTTGGGATATAAGCCAATTACTCATTGCAAGAGCTTCGTCCGCGCACTGTGAATTCGAGAGGAAAGGCCGGATCGACTGTAAGAGCATCTCGAGAGGGTACGAGGACGTAGTCTGGAAACCGGCAAGGCATACCAATATTCGGACCTTGCGGACAACTGACAATGCATGCAGTGGCCCTAGAGCTGGATGGATGGTGTTCAACAGCCTCCGCGCTACAGATGTGACCAAAGGCGGTGTCCAAAGGGACAGGACATCGTAGTTCGTTCTTCGGACCAGATGGGAAATTGCCCGGACAAGGTATTTGCCCTTGAACATGGGCTGCTGGTTAGGCCCCAGAGCTGTTGACGATTGGCCGCATCTCTTGATCTCGTCCATGAAGTCCGCAGCATATGAGAAAGTCTCGTCCTTGCGCCACGAATCTTCAATTGCACCCTCCTGGTCGATGACATCGCAAAAATGTCCAATGATGTCTGGGAAAGTACGATAAATACGATCCAGATAAGGCTCTTTGCCAAGAAGTTTTCGGACTCGAGATTCCGAGGAAGTTGAAGAGTCTTTAGACGAACTGAGATCATGCATGATCGAATATGCCATGATCTTAGAAAACCCTTGCTCAACCAACTCCACAGGCGTAACGTGTAGCCTACTGGCTAGGCCGTTGACTGCTTCGTCTTGGCCTCGCATGATCATATGAGCAGTGGCCTCCGTTCTTGCTCGCTGGAGGAGGTCATCAAGACTGGCAAAGCCAAATATGCTGAAGGGGATATCTTCGAACGAGTCCTTCTCGAGCCAGGTGTAGAGAAGCTGGGGGGCGAACAACTGGAAGAGCTCTTGAGGCGACTTCAATAACCTTGCCAACGACACCATTTTCATGCCGCGAGTGGCATATTTTGCAGATCCGGCAACCTTTCCAGACGTCTCCACAATGTGGTATACACATCTCCTTAGCAGTGTTGGACACTTGCAACCAAGGCCGGCCAAGACGAAAACACGCAATCCGATGCCCTCCATAACCTCTGGGTCCGTTGGCAGGGCTTCCAGAATGTCGACGAAAATGTCTTCGTGAGTGCTTACAACAAAGAATTCGAAGATTCTGGTAAGCCTCGGTGCAATGTAGAATTTGGCGCGCATACTACCCTCCCAAAAAGGACCTGGTCGTGGGTCACGAACCTCGATCCGAGTCTTTTTGAGACTATCGGGCGTTGAGAGCAGAGTTTTGTGGGGAGGTGATACCAACGACTTCTTGTCCTTGTGGAATTGGGCATTGATCTCCCACAGGTGAAGAAGTAGCCCAGAGTATGACAATTGGACCTCTGGCGACATCAGGTTGTGCGGCCAAACTGATTTCACCAGGATATTATAAAGATCCACAAATGGATTGACAAGGTCTGGATCACCTTCGCCCATGGACCAGACAGGTGCGAAGGACAGGAGTACGTCGACCAGCGTACACAAGGCGACCTCGCATGTCTTGTAGTTATCCTTGAATACGACTGCCGCAGTCTGCTCAACGATATCCTTGGCGTAGTTGGAAACATTGCCGAAGTCAGACTGGAGAAGTTCGACAAGGAATTCTCTGCAGAGAAGGAATTGATCATCCTCGAGTGAGAGGAACTTGTCCATGAAAGTCTCAGGTATAAGTCCAACCTTCCCAGGGTCACTGAAGTATTCGGAGAAAAGCTGCAGTTTTGTTTTTGTCGCCTCGAAGAAGGCATTGGCGCTCATGCTTGACGCGACCTTTTGTCTTGGAATGAGGAAGCCTCTGTTGCCGGGCTTCTTCCGCCTGTCTTGTGACTCGAACTCGTCGTCCACGTCCATAGCGTCAAGGTCCTGGGTGGGCCTCTGTTGACTGCGCTGATCATCTATCATGCCTGATAGTCTTGAAAAAAGTCGCAGAAGATGTGGCTCCTTGCTGCAGAATTGCTGCACTCGGAACGAGTCCAAAGGAGGGATGTAAGGAGCGAGCATCGCCAGGATCAACTCGAAAGATTCACCACTCTCAGATGATTCGACGACCATCTGGAAGCACCTGTCCCACAGGCTTAATAACGTAGTGTTGATATCATTCATCCCCCGGTGTTCCGTGATTTCGAGGTGTGACAGGAGAATATTGCTCGAGATTAAGCATGCTAGCAGACTTCGCCAACGATCAGTAGATAGGTGTATCGCTGCATCGTCGCTACGCCGAGTCCCCGATTGGGAAGAAGGCTCTAGCATCTCCACAAAGTCGACCAACTTGGGATGTAGCAAATCCAGGACAAGCGTTTTCGAGGTCTGCGAGCTTGACGGCTGCGAGTTGGAGGTCTCGTCCGGCTCTGAGAATTGGCCCCCACCATTTCCATCCGAAAGCGCCACTAGATGCTGACTCCGTACTGCGGCATCATCCTCGCTCAGTAGAAGCAAATATCGAGTCATCGGAATGGTGTCGTTGTAGGATTTCCAGAACTGGCTGAGGTTACCGCCTACCAGCCCCATCTGCGGCGGAACTTCAAATTGAGGCACGCCACAGCATGATAGGAGCAGATTGACGAGATCAACCGGTACCATATTACTTGCCAGTGACGTGGCGTAGTTTGCTTCCGCTGAATACTGTCAGTGAAGAGCAAGTCGGCGCGGTACAACTTCACGCAGCAGATAGGAGGGGAATCGACTGTACTTACCTGGTCGCCACATAGTAAACGCCCATCGTATTACGTAGCTCGATGTTTTTTGGCTGGCACTGGGAACCATAGAATTGCGTACGCTGGCCAGGCAATGCATGAATACCAGAGATGAGTCAAGCAGAGCAGCCGGACCGCATATGTCGGCCATTGTCACTATGTTGTTGACATCATTTGCAATTGCATGGTGTGGTATCAGCCGTGTTTGGAGAATGACATGGAGCAGTACGCAAGCTGCTCGGCAAGTACTGGGGATGCTGATAGACCTGACGGCCAGCTGCCATACTTGTTTCCACCGTGCTTCGGCGTTCTCATCTCTCGCCTGCGACTCAACAGCACAGCTGTGAATGCCTGGTCAGTAGATTGCTCAGTAAAGCCGGGAAGAGGACGTACCTGGCACATGCAATCATTGCCCAGGACGACGAAAGGCCTTGCTTGTCACCGATCATGGGCAACAAGTCCTCCATCACGGTCATCATCTGTTCTTGGTCCAGCTTGCTCAAGGGCAAAAAGAAGGGCAGCAGTTGCAGTGAAGTCAGTTTGGTTGCGGCATCCGATGATAACATTTTTTGGTGTATCCTATTGGAGCCTCCAGCACGACGTTGTCTTTTCCTTGGTTGGCTGTCCTCAGTCGCCAGACGCTGCGAGTTGCTTTTGGAATGTTGCAAGAAGATGAACTCGAGTTGAGACATGACCTCAACCAAGGCCCAGCGGCGTTCTGCATGTTGCCTGAAAGGCTTCAAAGCAAACAGGCCGGTGGAAAAGTGGCCAGATGAAGCCTTCAGAGATGAGAAAGTCACGTCGTCAAGTTGGAGGCGAGCTCGAGGATTCCGCGAGGAGTATTCGCCCCAAAGTTCGTCCAACAACTCTTCGAGCTGCTGAAGGAGAGCCGCAGCCGGATCATCCTGTAGCAAGTAGTCCAAGTAGACGCTGATCGCATGCATGGTCTTCAGCATTTCGTCTCTTACCAAGAACTGAAGTTCATCTTTATCGAGGGTCCGGCGCTGCCACCAGTAGCCAAGCAGTGGCACAAGTTCCCTCGTTAGATGCTGACCGAGGGCAGGATCATCACCGGCAGTCTGCAACAAAATGCGATTCAATATCGAGAAGGCAAACCTGTGCAGCTTGTCCAAATCGAAACGCAGCCGCAATACCCGCAAGACAGCATCGGCCACCTCTTGACGCTTTGACATGCAGGGCGCATTTGGGGCGGAGACCAAAGACTGTAGACATTGGAGGAGCGACAAGAGGTCATTGCGTTGGACTTGCCCTGCACCACGCTGGGTCCCCAGCCGCGAGCGAGCGCTCGAAGGGCCAACCGAAGAATGACGAGCAGTTCCAGGCGCAGGTGAGTCCCGGCCGATGAGGACGGAGGCATGGGCAGAATCAGCGCCGTCCAAAAGGTTGCAGATTCTGTCAACGAGAAACGTGACGCACTGTTTCCAGCCGCTGCCATCTTTCAAAGCCAGATTCTCGACGTGGGTAGGACTGTCGAGTATAATCACCAACGTCTGCATGTAGTCCTGTGCGAGAGGCTCAAAGAAGTCTCCATCGTATGTGGGAAGCGTATCTGTGATATGGTCGATGATGGCTCTCACGGTTTTACCTTTGAATTTAGAAAGACCATGTGTGACAGTCTCACGCAAGGCCTTGCCACAGTAGCCGAGCCGTTCGTTCGCCTTCCCTGTGCCTTTGCCACTCAATAATACCGTCTTGTCGGCCAGAGCCGCTTGGAACAAGGCTTCACAGATGCTGTGATATTCCTTGTCTTTCAGAACCTCACTAAGTCTCGTCAGCTTGAGCTGGCTGAAATGAGAACACATGTTCCTTACTGATTCAAAGTAGGGTTCCTGAAGAATGAGATCAGGTCTGTATATACATCAGCAGCTTGTACATTCGACCAGAAGGGGTTTCGCTGACAGACCTTGCAGGGCTTCACTGCGAGCGGTCACCGCAGTTCCGGTGATCCAGCTCTTGAGCTGCGCAACATTGGTGATCTGAGGTCTCAAGGCCGGTTTCCGTGGCGGCATGGTGACGACCAACACCCAGAGAGTTCATCAAGGCGAGGCTATTGTCTGAGACGATGCAAACTCTCGGTAAGGCGAACAGACCAAAGGTGAGAGGATATGAGGCAAGGCTGGAGGCCAGTCGCACAAAATCAACAACAGCACGCCACGGCCAGTGCGATACGTGAACTGCGACGGGGCGAGAGTCGATGAACCATCCTTAAATCCGAGGCGGCTTGAGGCAGGATCCGTTCCTCGGGAAGGACAGCAGGTGCAGGTCGGCCTCAGACGTTGCTGACGTTGTGTAGTGATTTTGGTCGGCCGGAAGTCTCAGTTCTGAAATCCATGATGTGAAAGAGTGCAGCTGTAATAAGAAATCAGGCAGGAAGGAGTTGGCGTTCAGTTGAAAGCGCTCCAATGCGCCTTCTCTTGCATGGTCCCGGGGACCCCCTGTCAACACAAGAGCTGGAGCTCTGGCCACTTTACGCCCCAGACCCATACTTAGCGGCTCTGTGATTGGGGAAGAGCAACAAGGCTGCAGAAAGTCTAACAGACCCGGCCCCTGGGCAACTGCGGACGGCAGAACCGCGTTGCCGCCAAATTTGTGTACGGTACGCGACAGCTTCCCTGCTCCCAAAAGTTCGACAGCGTCAGCGCTTCTACCAGCTGGGCCGACGAGAACCACTGCAGCGCCCCAAAGTCGACCCAGCGCCGTCATACCGACTCGGCGGAGACAAAAAGAAGACACTGCGATGCGTTGAAAACAGCACAGCAGAGCAGTTCACCATGGCCGAAGTCACTGCCCTGGATGGCCTCGAGGCTCTCCACCGAGAGCTTGTCGCAGCCTGCGAGCATCGCTTCGAGAGCCTCCAACTCCTCGAGCAGGAGCTTGACGCCCATGCCGAGGCTTTCAAGAAGCTCCTCGACAAGCGACCGAGGAGCAATGCCAGCCGCGATGTTGTCAAAACTGGTTTGTTGCGCCTGGAAGAACATTGGCCAGCGAGAGAACGATGCTGATGGGGTTCGCGCAACAGGAAAGATCACGGTCGATGACGAGAAATACTCCATCAACGCAGAATTCCAAGAGATGGCCCTCCAGCTGGCCGACGAGCTAGACCTTGACGAGGTGGACTCGGCAAAATTGCTTCTTGATTCTCAGGACGACACTCGAACCCTCGGCCGCCCGTTGCTAGAATGTGGTGTCATCCGATTCCACCAACAGCGCAGGTACCTGCTGGACTGCATGCGACTCTGTATCCAGATACGGACCTCCGACGACGAAGAGCTCGACCCCCTACAAGATGCCTTTGGCACATACGTCACTGAGAACATCTATGGCGGAAGAGATAATGCGAAGATTGTTTCGAGATGTATGACGGCCATGCAAGACATAAAGAACTGGTTACAGAAGCTTGCAGACCGGATGACCACTGCGAACGTCGTCTACGCCGGCGCCGCTCCTCGGCTGCCTTACCACGAGGTGGTCGAGTTCTCTCGCGTCAGTCTGGCACAGCAACATGAACTGCTGGCCTTGATAATGGCCAGCGCGATTGAGAAACGCCACGTCAAAGCAGATGACTTCAAGCAGCTACTGAAACATCTGCAGAAGGTGGATCGTTATGATCACCTGCTAGGTATGAAAATTGTCTAGGAACAGTCCAGACATTCCTGCTTACTGATTGCTTTAGTCCACTTCTTCCCTGTCATTGGCGCCTACGTATCTTGTTTCGGTTCCCCCGAGGGGAGCGCTTCCACGCAAGAGGGAGAGGAGTTCAACAAGTTGATATGCAAGCAGTCCGATGACGACACTTGGGTTATGCCATATCTGCATGCTGCAGTACAGGTATGGTGGATTGCTGAATACTCGGGCTGGTTCTCCCAGATTGGTGAGACAGGCAGGCAAAAGCTTGGTATGTAACAGCCCTGCAGAAGTTTTCCCACATACTGACGTGGACGCAGACGAGGAGATGTTCTTCGGGCCCTTTGCCGAGGCTATGAAAGCTGGCGCCTTTGACTTTGTTCTCTCCGTTGCTGCGGATGTGAAGACTCCAGAATGGCAGGATGCTGGTCGATTGGGAATACGACACTGGCTCCAGAGAAAGTCGCCCTCCCTTATCGATGCTGCCCAATTCTCAGATTCTTTCCAAACCGTCCTCATGGTTCATCTAGAGAATTTGGTAGAGGGCCTCATCTCGAATCTGCCAGACGCACTTCGCAGGATGCGGAGCGAAGAGGACGAACAACGCCAGCTCAGTCAAACCCATGAACAAGATTTGGATCTGGAACGATTCCTATTGATCATCGCCTACGCATATGAAGGCCGGCCTGACGCAGCCTCAGCCTTCTGGACAGACCCTGACAGCAATCTCGCCGGCTTTCTACATTGGGCTTCCCGAAGAGCGTCCACGCCACTGGTCAGCGCCTTCTGTGAGATGCTACAGTCCATCTCGGATGATGATGCTTGCGCTACAGCCGCCCACAACTTTCTTTTAGACGAGAGTCAGCCGGCATCTGGCAAGATGCGGAAATCTCTCTCGCTCACGTGGACTCAAATCTTCAAGGAACTCCACTTCTTCACGGTCAAGCTCCGGGAGCGACCTTCTACATCACAATCACACATCTACCGCTCCGGAAAGCCCCCACCCGAACAAGCTGAGGCCGAGCCTGAGTCGGCGATGATGTTGGAGTGTTATCTTCGACTCATCACCAAACTGTCAACACAAAGCGAAGATGTCAGGACATTCCTCCTCACGGACGACTTCAACCTGGTACAGGGGCTTTTCCTTCTGGCCAGCACCCAGATTCCTCCCAGGTTGAAGTCGTATACTTTCTACGCACTACGGGCGCTGATGAGCCGCAAGACGGAAGAGGAAGGTACCATAATGTGGGCCGTACTCGACTCGTGGGCGACTGGGCAGCACAATCCGCCTCAGATTCAAGGACGTCAACCGGCTGGGCCAACAAACCAGACCCCAGCCGCTCAAATGCGAAGGCAATTGCTGGAACTTTCTCGTGGATTCGAGGAGCCGAACGCAGTGGTTCAGCTTCTGAACTCTCTTATCTCTCCCGTCAACGAATCGTCACCATTGAATGATGCCCTTCCGTTTCCAGAAGACCTGGGCTCTCAAGTCAGGATGCCAGGTATTGATCCCTACGCGGACTATGTCCTGGGTTTCGTCTTTGCCGACAATTCCGGAGCCCTGCAAGATATGACCCAGATGAGGATGCTGCGGCTGAGCTGTCTTGAGTTTGCGCTGCTGTGCCTCGACACCTTCAACGAAGATCTGATTGTGCTCGGCAACGAAACGAACATTCCTGTGGATTCCATCATGGCGACAACCGATCTCGCCGCCTACATCAGACTTCATCCCTTCGCGCGCGTGATGGAGTGGATGTTGAACGAGCGGGTGATGGCTGCCCTTTTTGAAGCGATAAACCAAAGGCACCCAGATGATGTCGCCCAACTCGCCAGTGCGCCTCCAGATTCGCCTATAATACTGAGCACTTTACGCGCTGTTGAGGTTGTGAGCAAAGTACTCGACATGCAAGACACGTATGCCGATCTCGTGCGCCCGCTTCTCCGGAGCCAGTCGATAAAGAGAGAGCCAGTGGCGACATCGTACACATCTTTCACCGATGGGATGATGAATCACCTCCCTCTGATCGTGAATCTGGGCCGCTACTGTGGAATGGGCCACCCAGGGTTGACACTCGCATGTCTGAAACTGCTAGAGAAGGTCTCTTCCTCCGCAAGGATAACCTCAGCTTGGAACCCCGGCCACTTTGGTCAAACGCACCGCAACAAAGCCATTGTCGCTTTGGAGACAAATGGTGACGCCGAGTCCATCTCCGGGTCCTTCATTGCAGAATTGGTAGCTCCTCTTGATCTGGCGCGAGGGGCAGATACACCCAACTTCATGATCAAGTTGTACATTCTTGACTTTATTTTTGCCTGCCTGCAGGCCACTCCTAATCAGCCCACCATAGCCCATCTGTTCCTGGGCTTTCAGTGTGGCATGGATTCCGTGTCAGTTGAGACCGAGGGAGACTTCGATTCGCGCACCTCCATGTTTCACCACTTGTTACGCGTTCTTCTTGAGACGCCCTTCGGTGACGAAGAGACGGGCATGTGGCGGTGGACGATTGAATTGAAGTTCAAGATCATGAGGATTCTTCGAATCCTCTGGACCTCGTCTCTGACTTCGTCCATCGTTCTGAATGAGCTCAGGGAGAACGAGTTCCTCTTTCATCTCCTCCTCGGCGAGATCCCTATCCAGCCCTCGTTGTCTTGGGATGGTCAGCTCATGACCGGGCCTGAGTTTCTGATATCCGAATCATCCATGACTTTCATATCCTTCCTTGCCCTCCGCGCGATCACTCTCGAGTACGCTAGCATTGAGCTGTGCAGCGTCTCCCAACACAGACTACCACACTTCAAACGGCGACTCATCGACGCTCTGAATGGACAGCTTAAGGGGGACGATGGCGAGCTCATGCCAGTGTCGAGCATTTTCGATCTCTTCGACTTCCTCCCGCCAGATGGGCAGAACTGGGGAGTGCCACCACCACAATTTCAATACTACCGCGACCTAGACCTGAGGCCCTGCTTGGCTGAAGATGCGGATGGCAACCCCATATACAACATCGACAGGGTCAAGGACATCTTGCTGTTGAAACGCAACGAGTTCGCTAACTTGGGCCAGATTGCCGCCGAGAAGGACATAGACTTGCTGGACAGGGAGGAGTTGCTCCTCGTGGAATTCCTTGAGTTCTCGAACCGGCAAAAACAACTGAGCTCCTTCCGCCTCAAAGTGCTCAGGTATTGGAGCAATGTGCTGTTAGTCATGTTCGAGTCGAACGAGTTCAAGGGCAGCGCACAAACCTCGTTCCTCCTTCAGGCTCTCCAAGCCGTACTCCCCAGCCTCGAGATATATGCGTCGGATAGCCCAGACGAGGCATATGAGCTGGCCAAACTGGCCAAGATTCTCCTCTTCAAGATCGACTTCTCGACAACGGCATCTGAAAGCGGAGACAGTCGGAGAACCGGAGACCTGGTCAGCGACAAACTCTTCCAGCTCTTCCAGATCTGCCTGGCGGCCATAGGCAAATGGGCCGGGAACTCGGAGCTCCGCGCCCTGTACTACAGCATCTGCTACCGCTATCTCGCGGGCATCGTCCAGAAGGACCAGGACTTCCTGCCCAGCCGCCACAAGGCGGTCAAGTCAATTCATGTGCATGGGGAGAGGCTGCTGAACGTCATCTGCGACGACGCCTACGGGAGCGACGCCGCCTGCCAGACCGCGGCTCTCATCCTCATCAACGCCCTTGTCAAGGTGGGTAGCGTCGAGGACGACGCGTACGTGGTTGAGAACCTGAACAGGCTGAACTTCATCGGCATCCTGGTCGACTCGCTCAGGTCCGTGCTGGCAGAGTGGCTCGAGATCGTCCAAACAAGTGAGTCAGCCAAATTAACCCCAGGCCAAGCAACCACCCCCCCCCCCTTACCCCCGCCCCCAACTCAATAAATGTAGACCAACCAAACTAACCGCCCAAGCAGGGAACATGGAGGCCGAGCTCCTCTGGAACGCCAGGCTCGCCCTGGTGATGTCCATCTGCCAGACGCGTGATGGCGCCAAGCACGCCCTGCAGGCGAACCTCTTCCCGGCCATCGAGCAGTCGGGCCTCTTCGCGGCGGACCCGGAGCTCCTCGAGGACGTGCCCGGCGCCGCAGCCCTGGAGAGGCACTACGCGCTGCTCGTGCGCGTGGCGCGCGTCGTCTGCGCCGCCGTGCTCACCCGCGGCCCGCAGAGCAGCGTCGCGCAGGGACCCGCGCGCCGCTTCCTCTCCGAGCATAGGATGCTCGTCGTGCAGACTCTCAAGCGCAGCGCGGGCATCGGCGGCGCTGGAGCAGAAGGAGGAGGTGCTGGCGGGGCCGCCAACAGGGAGGCGGCGCTGCTCCTCGGGGAGGCCGTGGAGGAGCTGGCCGAGTCGTTCATGGTGCTCATCGCCGCGACGGGGTTCCTCGAGTTCGAGGAGGAGATGGCCGCGCCCAAGAGCAACGGGCAGCAGGCCGGGGGGCTGCCGGTGCTGTTTCACTGATTTTACGGGTTGCGAGACGGAGGGGTTTGGGTATGTGGCTCTTTGTTTACTTCTGGCCGAGTTAGGGTCAAGACATTGTATGAATGAATGCACCGTAAAAGCCTAACTGCCTAGGTCGACAGACACATATGGTTTAGGTCGATCGTTTGTTCTGGGGGATGATCGTTTCCTGGGATTGCATTCGTGTTGGGAGTCGGTGAGCAAAAAAGTGCCTGGCCATATGATCTAGCCTCTGAGGCTCGTAGATAGACGGCTGGTAATCTTTTACGAGCAACAAATTCTTTGATGACAGTGGAGAATAAAGTCATTCACCCAGTGGATGGTTCAAGGGGCCCTCCAAGGTCTGCATTCAGGTTCAAGATACTGCTTGCCTGGATGAGAGTCTTGTGATCAACGATCCGAAACAGATTAGTAGTCACCAATCAAGGTGCAAAAACCATGGCATTATGTCTTTATTTCCATGTGTTGCTTGTCGGGGCTCCTCGCCCTCGGCCGCAATGAACGGCAACAAGGGAGAAGCACGCCTCGGGTATTTACCTATTTACCAATTGTGACAAATCCATCTTGCCAATCCTGTGCCCCTTTCCTGACCCCCTTACCAGCCATGCAAGACGCCGCGAAAATGCAAAGGGGTATTGTTTCAAAACCATCGTGAATGCTGCAAATCGTTTGTGGTACAGCCTGTCGGCTTGTGGTACACACTGATGCCGGACTCTTCGTCGGAAGAAGGAATGCTGACTGTCTTTCACATGCTCTGCTTGTTGCTCCTCCAGCTTCCCTCTCCGCACCGGATGCTATCATCCTGCTCCTAGAGCTGGTTGTCCCTTGACACGTCAAGCACCGTTATGGCCACCACTCGACTCTCCCTGCGACAGCCTCAACCGTTGTGGCAATGAGTGGGTCAACGACGAGCGGGTTGTTTTCCATTTTTCTTGGAGGGTCTGAGCTTCAACTCAAGGTGGAAAAAGGCCTTCGCCGGAGGCTTCGATTTCGGAGTCGGCTTGTCCAAGCGCTGGCGGCACATCGGGCAGACCTTCTTAGTAAGTTCGGTATGCATGGCCTGGTGGAGGCATTGGGCGCAGAACATGTGGCCTGCAGTGATTGTCAGTCGGAAAAATGTATACAGACAGGCAGTGTGGCAGACAAGCTCGGATGGACATACCACAACATGTTACTGTGAGGTTGGTGGCCGCGTCCATGCAAATGACACACTCAAACGTGGAGAGCTTGATACTGCTGTCCTTGACGGGCTGGAAGAGGTCTTTAGGCACCCCATCGTCGGACTTGGTCAAGTCGTAGAGCTCAACCCCACCCGAGTCACCGTCTCCATCGAAGAGGCTGTCGAGGTCGTTGTCATCTGACTCTATTGCAACAGCCGCTGGTATGGGCGTATAGTTTCTGGAGGCTGCAGGTCGCGGAGTGTTCCTCGAACGCCCAGGTGTAGCGGCCCTGCGCGCAACAGCTGTACGGGGCCGCTTGGGTGCAGACGGGCCGACCTCATGCTCTTCGGGCGAAGCTGCTGCTGCGCGATTGCGCTTTCTAGTGGCAGGCATCTCGGAATGCAGTGAATCGACGGTTCTCTTGTCGTCCAGGTCGTGGTCACCGTCCCCCTCGTCCTCCACCTTAAACAGTCCAGTCTCGGGATCGGGCAATCGATGGGCTGGCGGATAGTAAGAGTGAGGTCGCTGTCGATGGGCCGAGTGATTGAAGATCGGATCGTGCTGAGGCTGATGTTGTGGTGGGTTTTGTGGGCTGTACGGTGGCAAGGAAGGCGAAGAAAAGTCGCCGGTGGCGAGAGCCTCGAGAACGTCGTCGCTGTTCGGTTCGCGCTGGCGGGCCTGCCGAAAGTCGTCGTTGGGGAAGTCGTGGAACGGCGGGGCGAGAGGGTGGTGAAGGGTTTGGGGGCCAAGATTGGCGGCGGGATGGGAGAGAGGGGAAAGGTGACTTTGCTGTTGACTAGCGTTTAAGCGAGAGGCTGATGTTGTCGCTATTGAATCTGTTGTTGTTGTTGTTGTTGTTGCGGTTGCAGTCGGGACGTTGTCGGTAGGGCGAGTCGGGCGGTAGGGGCCCGTGCTGGGGTGTTGTGACAGGGCCAGCGATGGTCCGTCACGGCGACGGCGGCGGGCTAGTTGGGATGACGTCGACAATGCTGGAGCTGTAAACGGCGACTGGCCAGCGAGACCAAAGGCAGGTGCGTGTGTGGGCGAGATTGCAGGTGCAGGCTGCCCCAGAGACGAGTGGAAGCCGAAACTCGGCCTCGGCGAGCCCAGGGAAGAGTGGAAGGAAGTGAGGGAGTTGAGGAGAGGCGGTAAGAAGGGCGCCAGCGAGGGCGTCGAGGGATGGCTGGACTGCAGAGCGGGATGTGATGGGAGTGGTTGCGTCTGTTGCTGCTGGTCCGGCCAAGGTCCTAAAATCCGAGATAGGAAGAAGGTCAGGAGGCGATTAAACGGTGGGGTGCTTTGAGGCAAGAGAAGGCAGCGAGAAATAACGAAGGCAGCTGGGGAAATTGGATTCGATTCGGTGGGAAGGTGCTCGCTGGACTGGGCTGAGCTCAGATTCCGCTGGATTGAACGGGGTTAAGCTGGGCTGGGAGGAGAAAAACTGGCAGACGGAGATGTGAGGATGAAGGTAAAGAGTGTCCTAACCAGAAATCCAAGCGTCCATTTCGTCCGATAAGAACGGAGACCAGTTGGTCATGGTTGTGAATGAGTAGGATACTGTCGCAATCGGGAGCTTTGGGGACGTTTTTCTTCCAACCGAAGTCGCCTCGCCTCGCCCTGCCACAGCATTCAATAGGCCACCAAGGATGCCCTTGTCGATATCACTGGCGTTGCCGATGTCGCCTCTGGTGCTGCGAAATACAGTCCGGGCCGGAGGAGCATCGCATATCTCAACGGTGTCACAGGGGAGCAGGCAATCAGGAGAACAGGAGGCTGACGGTGGGCGGGTGAGGCAGGTTTCCAAGGTTCTTATGGGGCAACGTGAGGACCACTCAGTGGGTGAGAGGCTTTCGACGGCGGCAAAGGTTGGCTGGCGTCTGGACCTTGTTTGGACAGCACCCTCAGAACTCAGAACATGGGACTCAGAACGCAGGATGCAGGACTCAGGAGAAGGAAGTGAGGCCTGGACCAGGCGGCTGGGCTGTATTTGAGTGAGATTAGAAAAGTGATCCAGTATCTTCTCACCGCTCAGACGTGGTGTGGTCTCTGGCACGGAGGCCCAGAGATAATACAGGACGGAATAAGCAACTCAGCAGTACAACAAAGCTAGAGTACGTGTGGTGGACGCAGGGTTTGTAGAGTGGTCCTCAACACCCCGGGGGGGAGCACAAGAACAGCAAAAAGGTCAGCGAGCCAGGGGTGGTGGGCTGAAAGAAAATAGGTAGGCGCGGGCAGGAGACGCAACCAAGCTGGAGTTGCCCAGATTAAAGTACTACGGATATAATGTGCAGGTGCGGCACAGGGTTACGGGGCCACGACCTCCCAAGGCTGGAGGTGCGCACAAGGGCAACAAGGGGGAGAGGGGCATACACCAACAGGCTGGGAAAGGACAAGACGCTTCTGCGGGAGGAACGGGATCGGGAGGTTGGAGTTTGGTGGGACGGGACGGGATTGGCCCCGACATGCACGCATACCTAGGTAGAGTGCGTATAGACTGGATACGTCGATATGTATGCGGTCTAGACTGTGGATACATGTACATATAAGACCACCTGGCACACGAAGCAGAGAGCACACGCATGTATGAGCTGGTCTGGACGTCGGGGAGGACAGGCTCTCGGAGAGAGACGAGGTCACCACCAGCGAGGCTCGCTTGCGCGCTTGCTCGGATGACCCATGATCCCGCGCTGCTGTATGCCGTAGACTGCAGCCCATACGGGAATGAAACCAGGCAAGTGACATGTCAATTCTACAGGGCAACAATGCGCCGACCTGACTGCCTTGAGCAGCTCCGAGCAGACCGGTTTACTGGGCACAGAGCATTTCGCCATGGCTCCTTGCCCCCCAATCGCATGCTCCATGCGTTTCCTGAACCGCAAACTTGCGCCTGGGTGGGAATTGATGCAGACAATCAAACACCCCCTTCACGCCCACAACCACCGAGCACCATGCGTGTGATACCACTTGTTGGCCTAATTGTCCACGTTCGCCCAGACAAAGACGTCGGTGCCATGCCCTGCAGAGCCACAGCAGCATTGGTCCCAGAGCTGGATGACGGTCCGTGAACTCACCACACATGACTGGCTCGCTGACAGACAACACAGACTGACTGGTCATTGATCCGTTGACTGGCTGCTGGGCTGCCCTTGAAGAGGGGCAGGGGTACTGCTTATGGAACGACAGGGGTCGAATCCCATTTCACAGTCTAATCGACAAACCCCGGTCTGTCACTTGGTTTTTTTTTTGGGGGTGGGGAGCTCTCAATGGAGTAACCCGTCGCAATTTTTCTTCTCTGTGCCACCACCACACCACGCCCATGTCCATGCCACAAAGCCAGTCGCACCTCCCAGGCTTCCCGTGCAAACCAAGAGATACTCCAACGCGCGCATTCAAGACGCGAGGCTAATACCCCTAACACGCTACCGACCAGCAAAGAAGCACCTTCATCCGGAATCACCCACCTCTCGCCCACGTCGCTCAAGGCCATGGAGTGAGATGCCGTGCCATCAGGGACTGCGCCCAGCCATGATATCGTCCTTAGTGCGGCCGTCCAATCTATGATCCAGGGGACCCTTCCAACCTTAGCACTCGACCCTTTGCGACACCATCTAACACCTCGACCCCACCCACGAACCGTTGCGCCAGCGAAATCCAACTCTCGACACAGGCGGCAGCGCAGCGGACAAATGCAGAACTGGATGCGATAGAATGATCAGCCCCCTCAGGAGCCCCCTCCGAAGTGCCTGTCCCACTGCGAGTTTCGTCCGGCTTGCGAGGCATCGGGCGCATCGGAGATGGACAGCACAAGTTCGCTGGCAGTCTGCCACTGCCACGGCAGAACACGATAGGAAGACGCCGAATAGCACGCTTGCCAGTAAGGATGCACCCACCTTCCGGACTTGATGCATGCCAGTATTGCCAGAAGACTGACTTGATGCGGCCCTAGTCCCCTCGACCGCTCGCCAAAACGCAATAGGGGTTCAGCAGCTGAGCGAGCACCTCTACCCACAAGTCTTTCCCAAAGGATCCGAGCCTCCCCCAGAGTCCCTCGTCAAGCTCTCCCAGGATCACCTGCGACGTCACGACCTCCTAGGCAAGACTACCGACCCGACCGATCCTATCGCGTTCACCCTTCCAAGATTACAAGCCCCAGACACGGGGACGCTGGATGAACATTTCTTTAGACTCGGCACGGATGCCGCGGAGCCCTTCCTGTCACACGCAAAGCAGTTCGCAAGGTCAAATACGCCCCAACAGCCCAGGGAATGGGTACACCGGAGCGGATGGACAAAATATTACTGCAAAGATGGGACGGGGCCAGAGATCGCGGAGCAGGTGGAAGCGCCGGACGAGACTATGCTGTCATTTGACGTCGAGGTCATGTGGCAGGAGAACCCCTTCGCTGTCATGGCCTGCGCTGCCAGTCCAACTGCCTGGTATGTGTGGCTTTCGCCGTGGCTACTGGGTGAGACCGACGTTAAGACCCAGCTTGTGCCCTTGGGCAATCCCACCAAGGAGCGGATCGTTGTCGGGCATAATATCGGATACGACAGGGCCAGGATCCTCGAGGAGTACGACATCAAGCAGACGAAGAACTGCTTTCTGGACACCATGTCGCTGCATGTAGCAGTGAATGGCATGTGCTCGCAACAACGACCGACCTGGATGAAGGCTCAAAAGAACCGCGAGAAAGAGCGCGTCGCTCGAGCCGAGGGAAACTTCAGCCTGGACACCTTGATGGACGAAGAAGAGCTGTGGGTCGGGAGGAGCTCTATCAATTCCCTGCGGGATGTGGCCAAGTTTCACCTCAACGTCTCTATGGACAAGTCCGCACGAGACGACTTTAGCGGGCTGGATCGGCAGAAAGTCCTGGAAAAGCTGGACGACCTCTTGAACTACTGCGCGGCCGACGTTGCCATCACACACCGCGTCTTCTCAATCGTCTTCACCAACTTCCTCAAGACATGCCCCCATCCAGTCAGCTTCGCCGCATTACGGCATTTGTCCTCTGTCATTCTACCAGTAGATACCTCCTGGGATTCCTACATCGCTAACGCCGAGGCAACATATCAAGAACTGTCAATCGGCGTCCAAGAGCGTCTCATATCCCTGGCTGAGAAGGCTTTGGAGGTCAAGGACGACGAGGCAAAATGGAGCAACGACCCCTGGCTGAAACAACTGGATTGGTCGGGGCAGGAGATCAGGTGGGCCAAAGGCAAAAAGAAGGGCGACCCACCAAGGCCGGCTAAGAACCAGAAAATGCCTGGCATGCCCAAATGGTACAAGGATCTATTTCCCACAAAAGATGCCCCTATGAACATATCGGTGCGGACGAGGATAGCACCTCTGCTTCTGAGGCTGTCCTGGGAAGGAAACCCGTTATTCTGGTCAGACGAACACGGGTGGACTTTTCGTGTCCCCCGGGAGCAGAAAGAAGAATATGTCAAGAAATCAATGAAGCTATGCGATATGACGGACGAGAAGACGATTCCTTTGTTGAGAGACGACTTCAGTGGAGCTTACTTCAAGGTTCCACACAAAGATGGCCCGACGGCTCGATGCGCCAACCCGATGGCGAAAAGTTATTTGGGTCATTTCGAAGGCGGGGTCTTGACATCTGAATATGCTTATGCAAAGGAGGCACTGGAGATGAATGCGTCTTGTTCATACTGGATAAGCGCCCGCGAAAGGATCAGGTCGCAGCTGGTTGTTTACGAAAAGGAACTGCGCGTGGCCAAGGGACAAGATGCAGGGGGGTCTGCTCAGGGCTACATCCTCCCGCAGGTGATACCGATGGGCACCATCACGAGAAGAGCTGTCGAAAACACGTGGCTGACAGCGAGCAATGCCAAGAAGACCAGGGTGGGCTCGGAGCTGAAGGCAATGGTCAAGGCGCCACCAGGCTACAGCTTCGTGGGAGCCGACGTGGACTCTGAGGAACTCTGGATTGCAAGCCTACTCGGCGATGCCATATTCCAACTCCACGGCGGCAACGCAATCGGTTTCATGACGCTAGAAGGCTCGAAGGCCGCAGGGACCGACCTCCATTCCCGGACGGCTTCGATTCTCGGAATCTCAAGAAATCATGCAAAAGTCTTCAACTATGGGCGGATCTATGGCGCAGGCCTCAAGTTTGCCGCCCAGTTGCTCCGACAATTCAATCCCACTCTCTCCGAGCGTGAGACCTACAACATCGCAATCAAGCTGTACAATTCCACGAAAGGGGCACAGTCGGAACGGAAGTCCCTCTGCAAGGGCAAATTCTGGCGAGGTGGCACCGAGTCTTTTGTTTTCAACAAGCTCGAAGAGTTTGCTGAGCAGCGACGTCCGCGCACACCTGTTCTCGGCGCCGGAATCACGGAGGCACTGATGAGCAGTTACGTCAGCAAGGGCGGCTTCCTGACCAGCCGCATCAACTGGGCCATCCAGAGCTCAGGCGTTGACTACCTCCACCTCCTGATCGTTTCCATGGACTATCTGGCCCGGCGCTTCAACATAGATGCGCGTCTTTCCATCTCGGTACACGACGAGATCCGCTACCTGGTCAAGAGCGAGGACAATTATCGGGCCGCCATGGCGCTGCAGGTCGCCAACCTCTGGACACGATGCATGTTTGCCCAGCAGATCGGCATCGACGACCTCCCGCAGTCGTGCGCTTTCTTCAGTGCCGTCGACATAGATCACGTCCTTCGCAAGGAAGTTGACATGCCCTGCATCACCCCATCTCACCACACACCTATCCCACCAGGCCAATCCATCGACATCCAGCAACTTCTCGCCAAGGGCAGCGAGGCCCTCCTCGACGAATCCATCACCCCAGAGAACCCGCCACAACTCGATCACATTCAGTATACCCCGCGTATACCAGTAATGCAGACCCTGAAGGAGGAGGACGCCTCCACCACGGACCTAGCCTTCATCAAGGCGCAGATCACGTCCGACATGAAGGAGCTAAACGAGATCTGCATTGAGCAGCGCAAGAAGATCGCCGCGCTCACGCCCAAGAAGGAGGCTGCGCCCCGCAAGCCCAAGGTCCTGCCGTACTCATCGCACGCGCAGCTAATGCCCATGGAGGAGCCCCTCTTAGTATCTGAGGCGTTCCGTGCCGACCAGGCCAAGCGCTTCGGCAGCGGCGCTCCCGGCCAGAAGAAGATCGACTGGCCACGGACGGCCCGCTGGCCCAAAACTCATGTCGCCAGCCGGGGGACGGGCCACTGAGTGGGGCTCATGGGGCTGATGACTGCCCTGCGGCGCAGGCGCACGTCGGTTTCCTTTTTCTTCTGTACATTTTACGTGGCAGAAGCCCCTCGCCTATTTACTATGCACAATACGTGGCCACTGTCGTTTGGAGAGAAGCCGGAGGGGGCGGTGTTTCTGTTTATGTGCATGCACGCACGCGCTGTTTGGATACCTTGGCAGGTGTTCTTGTATGGGCTCGGCTGGGGGGCCTTCGCATCTTGTTTCTGGGCCGGCGCAGGGCAGTGACGCGGAGCATATCGCGGATAGCTGCCGGAGTTGAGCGTAATGGGGAAAAGGCAATATTGATTTTTGTTGTACTGCAGTCACGCCTAAGGTGTAGTGCCGCCTTTCGCGGTTGAAATCAATCGAATTTGTAAACCATTCTATCTTTCACCAGATGGCACTCCGTGATTTGTCGCCTCCTCGGCGTTGGAGGAGATGGTATCTGAGCATGATGACGATCCGGCCAAGGCGAGGAGGACAAACAACGTGTTCCCTCAAACCGGGTGCTGGATCCGGGGTATCAATTTGCGAGGCCGCAAGCGGAAGCTCCAAGGCGGGTTTGCTTTTTCGACCCGACCGTCCTGCGGACAAGCTTGCTTTTTTTGCTCGCCACTGAGACTTGTTCCGGTCAAACCCGTTGTGCACACATTTCCTATGAGTCTCGGGAGAAGTAATCAACGGTTGCCACAGTGGCTGGCCATGGTATGCCCACGCCAGGCGCTGTCTGGAGGAGGGAGTCCCCAGGAAGCAAAATAAGCGGGTGGGTGTCTCACATGCAGGTGGTCAGGCCCAATTCCGCGGCGATGCTCGTGGCATGACAACCCAGACAGCACAAAATGCCGCCCCACAGGGCGCCAGCCAACGGTTGTCAAGGCGAGGGTTGCGTGGGAATTCTAAAGATGCCCCGGTGTGACAGGCCTGAGACAATGCTCCTTGCGGCGGCGTGAGGCATCGTAGGTTGCTTTTAAATCCCCCTAGCGGCTCCAGGCCCGTTATAACATTCTGATTACTTGTACCAGATATAATTTGGCCATGTCTCGCCTAGAGAGCTTGCTGCTCGCCTTCCTTGGCTGGTACACACATGCCTGGGAAGGGTGTGTTTGACGATGGTCAGTGGGCCTAGATTGACTTCTCACAAACACCTCTCGGAGGAAGAAAAAATGCAATCAAGGATAAGTTAGAGAGCCCCATTTTTTAAACAGATAGTCTTTACCAGCCACAAGTAACGTTATATGCACTAAGTTTCCGTAGCACTCCGTAGAAATGTTTGAATACTACCGTACCACTCCAGATGTCGATGTCACGGTATCCACTACAGTGGCCCGCCTTATAAACGCCGCAGCTTCGCCTGCGGCTTGTAGACTTCTAGTTTTCCTTTCTTTGCGCAACAACAAGTTAATGCTATGGCTTCTTAGCAGCACCGTAACAGTCGAGCCTCGCTAACTTACTATGGCCTCAAACCCTTATGCCAAACAATAGAGCATTTGAGAACCAATAGAGGACAAATCCGTGTGACGGCAAAACTAAAGAGGAATGCAATGGTTCTCAAAAACGTTCTGGGAAATCCTGACCTTTTGGTTCTGCGGCTCTGGTCTAGCCGTCGAGGGCTCCAGGGTGCCGTCCCACCCCTTGGGAAATCTGTAGAAGTGATCCAGTGAATATAGCAGGTTATCTTTATTATGCAATGTTGAGGCACCTTGTTTCTCCCAACATGTTGGAGGTTCAATACGGCTGTACAATGAATAATACTGCAATTTGGATCAATAATTGTTCATTACGCGTCTTGAACGAGCAAGATCTGATGCCTGTCATTGGTCCTACACGTTGCTCTGTGGATCTGCGTGCCGATCAATCACACCATGTGAGTGAGAGTCAACATTGAAGTTTATATACGACATCAAATATAGAAACAGCGATCGATGTGAGGAGACATGATCTCAATTCCAGCACCAACTGTATGGCGCTGCAGACCAAGCACCCGATCCTGTCTTATGTTAAGTACCTATATGTGGGTGAATATAAACTCGCGAAACAGTATTCGAAGGCAAACTTTCTTTTATGGCCCCTGTCTACCCAAAGCAGCAACTCTAGCAATACTACCATCGAGTTCAGCACTGTGCTGCTTGGATCATGAGCAGTTCGGGCTCCTTAGTGAGGGCAAAAAGATTTGAATACGAACTTAGAATGGAAGGTATATACCACAGTATGGGGCAGCAGCGTTATTTGGATCGTCAGTGTCCATCTCCATCAGGCAATTTAGCAGCATGGTGCCTTCCATGGCGGCTTCAAGACTGCAGAGTGCCGGGTTTGCCATTCGTGATAAGATAACCTTTGAACTCTGTATGTCAACCAAGTCAATACGATGTGTTGCCTAAGCTGCCAAGCTGCCTTATCCATTTTGTGGGAAACGATTGTACAAGGTCATATAGTATTCCGCTGTGAGTAGCTGGGGGACGCTTTCTGGGTTGAGCATATTTGGACTGCAAGCGAAAAGTAGCTGAAGCACTCGGTAAAGCCTGCGACAGGTCCGTTGTAGATGTTGACAATGAAAGATGCTTTTAATCGCTAACGGCTTGGCCCAATTTTCGGACGAGTGTTTGGATGTGTGAGGGTTTCTCGTAGTACGCCTCACGTAGTACGTCCCTCAGCGACGAGATCGAGAGCAGCAGGCTGCGAGGATTGTGTCGCACTATGTACCGTAGTACCTACGTAGGTACGTACCTGGGTACTTCTGTTCCCTTGCCAATCTAGCTCATTGGGCTGACCGTGCAGCAGCTGCAACTTTCATGTTGCACAAAAGGAGGGGCAGGCAGCATTACATAAAGGAAGCAGTGTGACACATCGACCTGTTGGTAACGACCAGGACTTCAGCTGAGAGCCTGCCTCATAATTCAAGCATTTATACGTATCGATTTCCCGCCCGCCCCTGCGACGAGCCGCATCGACAAACCTTCTCCCTGCTCATCTGCTCGATTCTCATCATCACCTCTGCATCTCTTCATCTGCGTTCCTTGCAATAACCCTTGCAGTTTCGTCTTCGAGTTCAAAATGGTTGGCGCTACGGAAATCACAGAAAGCAACGTTGCCTACACACACGAGCAACACAGCGGGCTCGTGTGTGTCTTTGCGGGCGCTACTGCAGGCATCGGCCGGGCCACCCTTGAGCGATTGGCCACCATGCTGCACTCCTCCACTTTCTACATCCTGGGGAGGAACAAGCAGCGCCATGCTCCCTGGCTTGAACAGCTAAGAGCGTCTTCTTCGAACAGCAAGTTTGTCTACGTCGAGGCACAGGTATCCCTGATCTCGGATATTGATAAAGCATGCAACCAAATCCTCTCAGCCGAGCCGAAGGTCGACATACTCTGCATGAGCCCCGGCGGCATGCCCTTCGCTGGAGCAAAATGTATGAACTGAGGCCGATTCCCAATAAGCTCTTCGTACTAATACGCAAGCCCTCCAGATACTGAGGAAGGGCTCGAGACATGCTTTGCAGTCTCATACTACTCACGCCTGAGAATGGTCTCGAACTTACTGCCGCTGCTAAACCAGTGTCAAGACCATCCTGCGCATGTTCTGTCCATCCTCAATGGCACCAAGGAGACCAAGATTGACGAAGATGATCTGAATCTTGACAAGAACTGGGGAATCCGCGCGGTTGTCAACCACACCACCCTTCTGACAAGCCTGTCGTTTGACTACCTTGCGGCGCAATCTCCGCAGGGACACATTGTCTTCCTGCATGCTACTCCGGGCTTCGTCAACACCAACACCCCTCGTACGAAGGAGCACTTGCCATCCAGGGAGAAGGTCGGACTCCTCCAATGGGCGTTCATTTCGTTCGTACAAGTGGTCTCTGGCTGGGTTATTCGCTACTTCGGCATGAACATCAAGGAGTCTGGCGAAAGGCATGCTTATCACCTCACAAGTGACAGGTTCAAGCCTGGTTCCTGGAGGGTGGATAGGCACTGCGAAGTCGTCCCGGACAACGATGTGCTGAAGGACTATCAGAGCCGCGGATGGACAGAGAAGGCGTGGAATTTCACTCTTGCGACGTGGGACAAGGTCCTTGGTAACGCTGGCCCTGCGCACTGAACCTACTGTTCCCGGAGCGAGTGGATTGCTTGTGAAGGTGGAGTGGACTAGGACTAGTTTGTGTACAGAAGCTCATCCAGTAGGCCCTTCTACAGAGGACCGAATCACGCTTGTTGCGAATCACAGGCAGAACAATTAATCACTTGGGGCAATATTAAGAATTTTCCGAGTCAACGCTAATCCATGCCCTCAGAACAATTCGCGCCACGCACCCCCCCTCCGGCCGCATGATCTAGATATGTGTCACCATCACCAACAAATATGGGTATCGGGCCTCCCAGTCTCCAAGGTCTCGAAAGTTTCGACAGGGTCTACTTCCTCAAATCGCTAGGCCTTGGCCCTGAGCTTGAAGCCGGCAAGTGTGAAACGAAGCACGCAAAATACCAAGCAGGCAGACAGCAGCAGAGCAGCGGCATATGTCCATGCCGCCGTCCAGTCAAGCGAGTCCCCGTCATGCTGTAGGACGCCGCCTGCGCCGGGGCCACCAGGTAGCACACTCAGGCCAATGACTGCGTACGCCATGCCCATACGAGCGCCCAGTTTTGTCTTGTCTTTAGTGTACGCCATGAACAGCAGGGGTGGAAGTGATATGAATGTGCCAGAGAGAATCCCCAAAAAGATGGCGACGCAGACAATGCCTGCTGCATTTGTAACGGCAAGATTACAAAGCAGCACGGCTGCTATGAGAACCGAGCCTTTTGAGAGGACCCTGTTAGTAAACCAAGCATGCACAAATTTGTATGACATATCTGGAAGTTGCAGAGGGGGAAAGTGTGAGAGAAGAGGCGCGGAGGAGAAAAGAACCGGGGAGGGGCCATTGTTGGTCGACTAGGTATGGAAGCATACGAACCAGGTATAATGACATTCACGGGGCCAATTTTAATGGCCAGGACGTTCGGGAGCACGCGCCCGATAATCGAGCCTGCGTTGATAATAGGCAGGAGGTAGAGGGCTAGGTTCCCTGCCAGCCAGCCTTTGACCTCTCCGTAATAGGCGATGTAGAAGAAGGAGACCTGACAGCCACCGTATCCAAGGAAGCACCCGAGGATGGAGAGTAGGAATGTGCGGTCGGTGAATGCAGAGATGTCCAGCAGTTTGCGAGCGGCCGGAGGCTTGCCGCGCATTTGCATGACGATGATGGGGATGCAAAGCGTGCCGAGTGACAGGAAGCCGAGGGCGCGTACTGTCCATGCAAAACCGACGCGATCGATCAGGTTGATGAACATGACGGCGTAAATAATACACCCAATCGAGCTGCCTGTGCCTATGATACCTAGGGCCATGCCGAGACGGGTGCTGAAGTACGGCTGGACGACCGCCAGAGCCGGGACGAAGAGGCAACCGCCGCCGGCGCCGACAACGAAGCCTTGGGCTAGGACGATCTGCCAGTACTCTTGGCAGAGCGACAGCATCATGTGTCCAAACACGATGAAAAATGAGCCGACCACTAGAAGCAGTCGTAGATGGCCACGGTCGTAGACGGGCCCGGTGAGAGCCCCCAAGGCGAAGAAAATGAAGGACTGGATGGAGCCTATCCATGAGATATTGGCGGAGGACTGTGTGAAAATAGCCCCACGCTCATAATAAGCTTGATAGAGACCAAAGGTCACAATCGTGCCTAATAATGCCTACATTAGTCATGGGCGAGGGAAAAGATGGGATAATGGCACACACCCATCGTGTTGAACACCAGAAACCAACTGCCCAGTACCTGAAGCCATGCTTTCATGCCACCATTGGGCGGGCCAGGAACGACATCATTCGATTTACCTCCCGGCGCGGTCCCCTGGCTAGACAGTTTGTCTTCGTCGCTAGGGGTTGGCCCCGTGGCGTTGCTGTCCACGTCATGCTGAGCACCTGGGATGGTATTAGTGAGATCTTTCCAGCTGCCCTATCAAATTGCGATGTTTCCTACCTTTTAGGCCCATTTCAGTGGCCTTGGGAATAAGAATATGTGAGAGCAGATAGACTTATTCGTGTTCTTGGGTGTTCAGGGTTAGATGATGATGTTTTCTCCTTGGCGGTTGAAGAGCACAAGATTCCACAATCGAACAGACAAGAGCGTGACCATTGATGGGCAGCCAAAACTTCGACTTACTTCCAGCAGACCTAGCAGAACCAGAGTTCTGGGGGTGGCCTTCTGTTCTCGCAACTTGTCGGCATCTCTCCAGGCAGCCGGACCCGTTGCTTACCCTTCAGCTACGTATTGTGCAACCTTAGAAATGTGACCCAACATTCCAAAGCCCGTGCATATGACAGCAGACAGAATGAGTCAATTAGAAGAACATGTCTCATTTTGGAACCTGAACCCCCTTGTATGTTCATGTACTTGTTCCGCCCCCACCTGAGAACCTGATACATGGAAATGCAGCGCAGCAACCCCGGCATGGACTAATTTTGGGCTGTACCAAAGATGTAGATGCAGTATCCCTTAGCAGATTTGAAATACGCATGCAACTATATGCAGGGAGAGTACGGCTGAATCACGGTTCCATTGCAGATGCCCGACACCATCCATGAGTTATCTGCCTATTTTCAGTGCTTGCCAGTGTGGAAATAATCAGCATTTGAGATAAGACCACAAGTATGCTAGCACGACAAGTGATTAGACTGGAGGGCGGCACTCTCAGCCAGCATCATCCGCCCCCAAGGCTTCCAGATGTCGACGATGATGGCGCAGACGTCGCTGCTAACTTATACCAGGACTTAGATTCAACTGGGATACGGCTCCTTTCGATATAACCAATACCTTCGTCTGAATGATGTCCGTCTTATCTTGAACTGAGTAGCATAAATATCACAGCCTCGCGCGCCCGCGGGCTGTGGATCTGAACAGATGCATCGAAAAGGAAATACTACCAAAGCACCGCTGCGATGGTCGGCACCGCAATTACTACCACTTGGCGTTCTCGGCGCACATTTCTTACAATGCTACCAACCGCGTCACGGGTTCTGCACCGCAGGTACCGTGCATCTGTCCTCCCGCCTGAACAGGCCGAGGTGCATCATGTGCAACCGCTCGGCTGGCAGGAAGATCCACAGGTGGAAACCTGGAAGCTTGCCGATCTGGAGTACACAGTGCCGCCGGTGTTTCTACGGCAAATGCTTGTCTTCAAGACCAACAAGAACGACGACCCAGGCAAAACCACGGAGAGGCTCATCAAGGCTCTGGGAATCACTCTGAGCCAGTGCCGCACCCTGACGGGCGTGTTCGAGAAAGAGGCTGGCGAGGTCAAGATCGTCAGGGCCCGGGGAGCCACGGTCCCTTTTGTTGTGCAACACGACCACTCAGTCTCCCTCCAAGATCTTCAGTCAAACGGTTTTCCGGAATCGATCGTGGGCAGTCATGCGCATGAAGACCACGAGAAAGCCAGCAGGGCCGGTATCTCATCAATCACAGATGGCCAGCCACTGTGCAAGGTCCAGGCCACGTGGATTCCAGGCGGTTTGGTACTGACTGCCGGATTCCACCACTACTGCACAGACGGTGCAGGTTTCTGGGCATTTCTCAGACAGTGGGCGAGCAACTCGTCAGCCCTCAAGAGAAACGCGGAGCTACCTCCATGGGACCCAGCCTGCCTCGGCCGTCAGCGCCTCAACGGCCGCCTCGTCCCACCAGAGGAGCGCACCGATCCGCCACCCGAGCCCGAATCAGCGGCTCCGGCGGTCACGGCTGACCACCAGTGCCGCCTGGTGGTCCTGCACCTCCACAACGCCAACGTCGGCAGGCTCAAGGCCGCCGCAAGCACCCCGGGGCAAGCAGTATCCGCGTACGACGCCGTGACCGCCCTGCTCTGGCAGGCCCACACCCGCGCCCGGCTCTCCATCTACGACCCGCGGCCGGACGAGGTCACCTTCCTGGGGCAGGCCGTCGACCTGCGGCCCCGGTTCACCCCGCCGCTGCAGCCCCAGCTCCAGGCCAACGCCATGCTGGGCGTGCTGACGCCCTTCATCCCCGTGCGCGACGCCGTCGCCGGCGGGAGCGGCCTCGCCTCGCTGGCGTCTCTCGTCCGCCGGGCGCACATGGGCGCGACCGAGGACACGGCGCGGGAGAGGGCCGGCGCGGTCGCTGCGCTGCGGGACAAGACGCTGGCGGCGTGGAAAGGGGGAAGGGCGCCGAGGTTTGGCATGGCCATGAGCGATTGGAGGCGGGGAGGGATCTACGAGGCCGACTTTGGCTGCGGCAAGCCGCTTGCCGTCCGGGCCATGTACCAACCGGGCCACCCTTGCACGATCACAGACCTGCCAACCGGAGAGGAGGGTGGGAGGGCGCCCGGCGTGGAGGTGCAGATTCCGGTCGAGGTTGCGTGCCTGGATCGGTTTGTGAAAGACGCTGAGCTGCTGCAGTATGCTACTGTAGTCAGTGTGTAGGATTGTGCAGTATTGTGTGACTAGTACATGTACGGTATTTGTAAAGGATGCCCGTCGGCAGCGAGGCGAGCTTTGTTAGCCCGGATTCTTGATTTCTTATCTCAATGCTGTATATATAGTACAGCCTGGTGTACGGCACAGCTCTTAATTCCATGACGGTCCCCGGCCCGCGATTTATATACGTAGGATCATGGTGCAGGCGGTCCTTTTTCACACCAAGTTTGCGAAATGAAATTTGAGCGCTTGATGGCTGCCACCACCTTGCAAGGGCACCTTGGTTCATGCACTCATGCACGTTGGTGACACAAGGCTGTGGATGTAGAGTACAGTGCAGCTCCCATCGTAGACAACACTGTCACCCACGGATGGACTACAGTAGTGCTGACAGCAAAGCCCAGGTGAGGCACTGCGGGGAACGCCCAGCCGTGCCTCCCAACAAACCTCGCCACCAACGAACGACAGTGAATATGCTGATCCCGTCCCAATCTTGCCATGTGTTGTGCAAAGGTGCGGATGCCTATCTAGCCCCCAATGCAACAACTGACAGTGCCATCCTGCAGTTGGCCCCCCCACTGCCACCGCACCCGCAGACAAATTGGCATAAGTACCTAGATGTCATGCCCTCTCTGAAGTCTTGGGCCGCGTCCGGCTGGTCACTAACGAATTTCATCTGCAAGTCGCCGGGCCAATGTCTGCCCAGCACAACATTCGTTGCACTGCATGCTCACCGGTCATTCCCTCCATTTTAGTTTTCTACTGCGCGATATGTGTGATTTGCAGAGCACTGTTTCGGAAGAAGAGGGTGGTGGTGTTCTTGGGCACATTTCAGCTCCTTCGAATCCTACTCCATGCTGTGCAACCCACGCGTGGTAGCGTGGTCGCCCACTTGGACAGGCAAAATCACGTAAGGTGTCGGCGGCTGATGCACTGACTTGCCGCATCAAGGCCATTCAGCTTGCAAGAACGTGCCTGGATTTCCGGGGCGTTCAACGTCTGCCCTTCATCTATTACTACTTCTTCTTGTGTCCCGGGTGGTGTTCCATTTCTTACATCGCGAAAAGGTCGTTTCTTCACTAGTGACTGTATTCTTTCTTCTAAAGAATTCCTCTGATCAGTCTGATCCCTCATCCCATTCCGTTGCACCGCCGCTATCATGTCAGACGGATATACGGACACTCCCTTCGAGGACCTTATTCCCCCTCCGACCCAGATTGATGACACGCACAGAGACACTGGCATAGCGGCCGCCGTGATAGTCCTCGGGATTCTGACACATATCGTTGTCATTGCTCGACTATGCCAAAGATATGTGTCCAGGAACATGGGGGCAGACGATTATGCCATCATCCCAGCCCTGGTAAGAACCTCAGTCACAGTCGGGTCAACCAAATCTAATTCTCGCAGCTGCTCTACCTTGGCTGGACAGCCATGGCCGCGTTCTACAATCTTCACTCGGGACTTGGCAAACCGATCGGTGACATCACCTACGGCGAATTCATCAACTTCTTCAAGGGAATCTTCGTAGCGGCGTGGATGTACCCAGCCATGACAGCCGCCATCAGAGTTTCTGTCATCCTGTTCTACAGGCGCATCTTCGCCCGAGGAAACACATTCTACTCCCTTTTCATATCCACAATGCTTGTTCTGCAGGCTGCTTACGTCATCGTGTTCGAAATCACGCCGGGTTTCTCGTGCAAACCGATCCGGGATGGTTGGAATCCCATCTTGCGGCTCACGAGCTGTACCAACTTTTACATCTACCAGACCGAGGCCCTATACAGCATCAGTCTGGCTTTTGACGTGATATTGCTCATATTTCCTATATATGCCGTCTGGAAGCTCCAAATGCCGCTCAAGAAGCGTCTCGGAGTTGCTATAATATTTGCGCTGGGTGCCGTGTAAGCTTGGAATTCTTTACCTATCAAATCCATCCGTTCTCACAAGGGGACCCTGGAGACATCAAGCTGACCTCCGAAACAGAGCAAGCGTTGTGGCCGCCTATAAACTCGCCATCTTCATATACCAATCCAACAACTTCTCTGTAGACGACCCAACATGTAAGTTGGACTTGTTGCGATTCGTCCACTCCAGCCGACTCAGTTTGTCTGACCATTCATTCCCTCCAGGGTTCACATACCAGGCGTCTTGGTACATGTTCCCCCAGTACAACTCGTACGGCCGAACATTCTGGATCCCCACCCAGCTCGAGCCAACTGTCGCCCTGATAGGAACATCCCTGCCGTCCATGATCGGGGTCTACTCGGCGGCATCCCTCCAGTTCTCCAAGCTACGCAGCAGGCTGACCTCGTCGCGGCGGGGCTCGGGCAGCAGGGACCCCTACGAGCACGAGAACAAGACGGGAAGCAACGTGCGGCTCAGGGCGATCAACTCCAAGACTGCCAAGTTTCAGCCGCTTGAAGTGTCAGGGCCGGGCCTTCATCAGCCCAGCCTACCTAGCATGAGGTCTGATAAAGTAGGGCATCGCGAGAACGGCCCGTAATGGTGTTCGTCAGTGTACAATATGTGTCATGCCCAAACTCCGGTCAAATGCCTTGTATATTTGTCTTTCCAGTATGGACAGAGTGTGGATTACGTGAATAACGGACGTGGCTAAGTGATTTGGTATGCTTCAGGGTAGTGAGACGGAAGCCATCGTGGATGTGAAGGGGGCCAGGTAGCTTTCTACTTAGCAATGAAAATCATCAAATATTGACCACCAAATCAGCTTGATTGCCCACTTCCGCAAGAGGTGCTCAATGGACGAAGGGACTGGGGCATGGACAGTTGTATCCACCATGGAGACACTAGACCGCGGGCCTTCCGACTTGCTTATGAAGACATAGTACCACGAAAGAAGCTGCCTTGGCCATCTCTGAGTCAAGGAACGAGCCCGCAATGAGTGAATAAAAGACAACATAGCAGAATGGCATAGAATTGCATGCATCATAAACTCTTCAAATAGCCGGCTAGCAGCCCTGCTATTAAGCTGGCACAAACGCAACCTTACAGCCGTTCTTGTTCGATGGCCCAACACGCATGACTGCCGTATATCGCTCACTGTCCCTGGACTCGACAGCCGCAAATTCCTGGAAGATTCGGAATATAGTATACGCGCACTCGGTATCGACCATGATGCTGGCGGGGCAGATGCGCGGCCCTCCCCCGAAGGGCGCGAAGTTCCAGAGCGGCCGTGCCTGCGCCCACCGCTCCGGGCGGAAATCGCCAGCGTCGGCACCCCAGATGTTGGGGTCGCGGTGCATGAGGTAGCGGTTGCAGTGCACGATATCCCCCTTCGCGCAGAAGATAGGATCGCTGCCGTCAGGACCGCCCCCTCTGGGCAGGACGGTGTCTTTGACGCAGTACCGGACTGTTTGCAGGCTGACTGGGTAGAGACGGTGGCCTAGTTGGGAATTTGTTGAGAAGGTATTTTCACAGATTTGACGGGAGAGGGTTCCGACTCACTCTCATTGATGATCCATCTGAGATACTCCAATGACCGTAGGCGCTCGAATGTCAAAGGTTGATCTCGGCAGCGAAGAATCTCTTCTCTGAGCTTCTCGACCACACGGGGATTGAGCGAGAGGGCAAATATGGTATTGCTGATCAATATCGACGTTGTCTCGTTCGATGGGATCCACACTCCAGTTAGTTGCGTTCGCAGCTCGAGTTTGTCAGGGATGTGGCGGGCGATGGTCCAAAGGAAGTCGTTCCGAGGTCGACCGTCACTGTACGTAGCAGGCTTGCCGCTTTTTCGTTCTTCATCAAGCTGGCTGTACGCCTTGTCGATATAACTATCGAGGAAGCCATGAATTCTCTTGCAAGCACGGAGCCAGTCTTTGTCACGATGTAAGAAGACAAAAGAACTAAGCTGTAACCGAGTACGCAGGCCGGCATGCACTTTGAGCATTTCTATGTGTGGCCAGCTCATCTCCGGATTATCTAGCGAGTTGACAGTCTCGCCGAAGAGAAAGTCGGTTGCGGTATCAAGAAACTGGGGAGAACAAAGCCTGTTATTTGGGATTCTCATGGAGGCAGACTGGGAATTGCCAAGTTTTCAACATGATCCCACGTACCCACCGCTGCAACAATGGCTGCATATCAACAGTTGACCCATCCCTTGGGATCTTTCCCAGTAAGCGGTCCACATGCCCGCCCAGACGCTCCAGGTTCGAAAATGCGGCGCGGTCGAAGTAGGGCATCACGAGCTCCCGGCTCACCTGCCACTTCTTGCCATCGGACAGGCTTACACCGCGGCCGGTAAAGGGTGTGACGGCACCGTTGCCTACGCGGATGGGCTCGATTGCAAAACAGTCCCGGTGCGACGTCGACAGGGCCTTCAGGTTCTCGGACGCAGAGCTATACACCATGCGGTTGCCCAGAAAGTTTGCCGTCCACGCCTGGCTTTTAGAGCCACCTATTGAGTATGTGTGGTCCTGAAAGTCGAGAAAACGGTTCTCCTTGAGCGCCTTCATCATCGCGTAGACGTAGTCAAGGCCCAGGACTTTGTCCCATCCCGGATACCGTCTCAGCGGGGGGCAGCCCAGCTGAGCCTGTTTTTGCTTATAACGAATGATATGAATCCATGCGCGGCCTGCCCAGCAGATAATAGCAAGCAAAAAAAGCCCAAGGATGCTTGTATGTGTCAACAACATTATTCTAATGGCTTGATCTGGCTACTAAGCTTTTGTCATAGGGGTGATAAGGACACTTGATTCAAACGTCAGCCTGATCTGCAACGAACTAATGAGAAGGAATAAACGTTCCGTGCTGTGTATTTTTGTGAATGAATTTTCTACCGGACGTCCGGAAGTCCTCGTGTGATGCTATCGAAGGCAGTGATATCTTTGCAGGCATTGCCAACCAGAGCTCGTTGCCTGACGAGCGCCAATATCATCGGACCGACTCCACCCCCCTCCCTTTTTTTAACTTGCCCATTCCAACAAAGATCTTTCGATGCCCAGCGAAATCGTCAGCAGTTAGCCTGTTCTCTTGCTTTTCGTTGTGATTGTGGACTATGTACATGTACATACTGTGTACAAATAGTTTCTTCAGAGCCTGGTCATTCAGCCCCCAACAGTGGTGTCGCATTGCATGGAGCCTCAGAGCCTGCAGCACGTTGCCAAGTTTTGAATGTTGCACAGCGTTCAACTGTCGCTGATCTGGGAGCGGGGTTGTGGGGGCTGAGAAAGTAGGACATGCTCTACGCGCCAGGCTGCTGAGACGCACTGAATGTGCGCAGACGTCTGGTGGCTGGCCGGCAGCTGCCTCTATCATTTCAATTGAAGTCGTGTTCAGATTGCTCAGATTCTTAGAACGGATGATTCTATAATACCAGTAATCATGGAAAAGTTCAATGAAATGCTCATGGGACCTCACTCGTTGACGGCCCTGTTGCCACGGACCACGGGCGCCATCCTACTGGCTACCATATTGTTTTGGACGTATCGCCGTCTCTTCCCCAGGCCCATTCCTGGCATACCTTACAATGTTGGAAGCGCACGAAGGATTCTGGGGGACGTTCCTGAAGTGAGGAGACTGTCTCGGCACTTGGAAGCCACAAGTGATCTAGCTAACACTAAATACAGTTTCTCAGGTGGCGCAAGGAGACGGGCGAAATGTGGAGCTTCGTCAAACAGCGTGCTTTGGAACTGGACTCGCCCGTCTTCCAATTGTTTATGAAAGGTCCTTTCAGTAAACCATGGGTCGTAGTCACGGACTTTCGAGAAAACCAAGATATCCAATCCATGCGCCAGGGCGAATTCGATCGCTCCACATGGCTTGGTGACGTTTTTGGTCCTCTCCTACCCGGAAACCACGTTTGGGTAGGTCAAGTTCCCAAACTAATTTCCGAGAACAATTTACTTCGGCCAAGCGCTCATGTTTTCTAACGACTGTTCACTGTCCTGTAGATGCAGAGTAACGACCAATTCCGCGCGAACCGTAATCTTCTCAAAGACACCATGTCTCCAGCCTTTCTCAACAACGTGGCCGCTCCAGGCCTTCACGCGGCAACTCATGACCTGGTGAAGCTGTGGCGCGAAAAGATACGACTTTCTCAAGGCAGGCCATTCCAAGCTGACGTGGACATCATTCGGGGGGTTGTGGACGCAATATTCCTTGTCAGCCTGGGGTTGGAGCTCGGCCTTAATATAGCCCAGGAGGCTCTTCTGTCGGGACTCGACAATATCGCGGTCTCTGCCGATCTCGATTCACCAGTTATTTTCCCCTCAGCGCAAGAACATCGGGCCTACACTGCCGTTCGTGAATTGGTAAACAGTATCCAAATTGGGATGAGTTCTCCTTGGCCAAAGATGACCATGAACTTCGTGCTGAAGTTCTTCCCCTCGCTCGTCGCTGCTAGACGGTATACGTACCATGCAGTCAACGGAGTTTTACGGGGTGCTTGGAGCCGAGTCTCCACAGTTCAGTCCGGAGAATTTCAAGTAGAAAAGGCCAAGTGTGCGGCAGATCTGATGGTCCTACGAGAGGCACAGCAGGCCAAGAAGCAGAACCGTCCATTCCAATACGACACACCAGCGATTCGGGACGAGCTTCTAGGTTTTTACCTTGCTGGTCACGAGACCACGTCCACTACGATATGCTGGGCCGTCAAGAACCTGACCGAACACCAAGATGTGCAGCAGGAGCTTCGCTTAGCCTTGCGCTCCGCGTACCCGGACGCCGTCAAGACAAATCGCCTTCCGACGGCCCGCGAGATCGTTGAAACATCTGTGCCCTACCTAGATGCATTCATCGAAGAGAATCACCGTCTGGGTGCAGCAATCCCGACAATGATTCGCCGCGCGACACGGGATGCCACGGTACTCGGACACAAAATCCCCAAGGGCACTGACGTTTTCATGATGGTAAACGGGCCCAGCTTTCAAGGCCCAGCTCTTCCTGTCGACGAGTCAGCACGCAGTGAGACGAGCCGGGCGACGAAAGATCGGTATGGCACCTGGAATGACGACGATGTCAATCGATTCGTGCCAAAACGATTCCTTGTCCAGGACCAGGGCGGACATGAGAGGTTTAACCCCTTTGCCGGACCTGTACTGCCCTACGGAGCGGGTCTGCGTGGATGCTTCGGTAGGTGGTTTCACTCGAGAATGGGACGCTTTTATGCCCTCCTTTCATCTCTTGTGAAGTGGGAACCATTCTGATGCTTTATTTCACCCTTAGGCATTAGGCTCGCAACCCTGGAGTTGCGAGTTATCATCACGTTGATCGTATGGGCTTTTGAGCTACAAACAACACCCCCAAATCTGTCGTCATTCCAGGGGAACGACGTGAACACACATCGGGCGAAGCAAACATATCTCAGGCTTGTGGAAGTCTGAGGGTCCGCGGACTTTCGTCCAGTTGAGCGGGTGATAGACACAATCGCATGATATCGCAAGCAGTCAGTCATACTATCAGAGGAGCCTACAGTGCTTTATCATCTTTCCAATTGGTTAAATTAGAACATTTTGATAATGCATTACGATTGAAAAATCACAGTGAGATATTGACTTTGCCGCTGAAAATCATCACCAGCTGGGCACCAGGGCAACCATCCTCACGATGCCCCCATGTAAGGGAACGTAAGCCTCGCCGTCCCAGCCATGTTCGCCTTCAGGTAGCTCACAATCACGCTCTCAATACCAAGTCGAGCTGCAGTATCGATCCATTCCGCCATGGGAACCGTCTCGAAACTGCCCCCGTAGAGCGCCTCCATCCGGCTCCCCAAATCACAAAATGGGACCTTGACACCAGAGCTGTAGTGGCGGAACGACAGCAGGCACTGAGTGCGACCAGCGGTGCCAGCCATGTCGCCTTCCGGGGTCGAGGGATACACAGGTCCCCCAACAATCTCGGCCGCCACCTCCGCCGCGTCCCTGAAGTCGAAGAAGCCCTCGGCGCCCGGCACGTCCGGCACGCGGCGGCCCAGGCGCGAGTAGCGCACCACCGCGTTCAGGGCGTCGTCGGCGGGCGCCAGCGATCCCACGACGGAGCACGGCCGGTGCACGACGACGGGGAGGTCGCGGGCGCGGCGCGAGACGGCCTCGAGGAAGCACTCGCTGGCCCACTTGGAGGCGGTGAAGCCCTGGGAGCCGTCCCGGGGCGGCGGGTGCGCGGCCATGGAGGCCGGGGGCGACTCTACGGACTGGGAGAGGAGGATGACGCGGGGTGATGATACGAAGTGTAACGGCACGCGGCGCGGGAGGGCGAGGCGGGTGAGGAACTGGGTGGAGATGTAGTTTGCTGTTCGCACGGTCGAGTAGTTGTTCAGACAGTGCCCTTGTGAGCCGGCATGGATTATCTGGTCGATCAGGGGTTGCAACTGTGAGAGCTCAAGTTGGGAAAGGCCGAGTGTAGGGCTGGTCAGGCTGCCGTTGTAAATCTTGACTCTTGCGGCGGAAGAGATGTTGTGTTGTTTATCAGCCGGCACCGCAACGCAGTGGACCATTGCGACACTGGCATCGGCGAGCAAGGCCTTTAGAATCTCAGAGCCCAGAAACCCTGTTGCTCCGGTCAGTAGCACATGACGTTCAGCTCCTCGTGGAGCAGGAGATACTGCGTCTTGGGGAATCTCGTCGACGATATGTGCGGGAATGCTCGTCTCGCCGGTCCAGTCAACCGTGTCGGCAACGACCCGGCCTCGTTGCTCGCTAGCTGCCACGGCCATTGAGCGTAGCGTGCTGTTTTGATACAACTCGTGAAGCGGGATGCGAACGCCCATTTTCTCGCTCAGAGCATTCTGTAAGCGGACCAGGAGCAGGGAGCTTCCGCCTACCATGAAGAAGTCAGTACCAGCCACGATGCGGCTGGCCCCCGCGGCCTCGCCCAGGACATCAAGCCAGAGTAGTCGCAGTTCTCCTTCGGCCATGGTCAAAGATGGCTCCTCACTGTCTGCAGATTCGAGACTGGGTCCTGATAATGCAATGTCTTCAAGGGCGTTCCGGTCTACTTTGCCGTTCAATGTTGTCGGCAAGCGCTCCACTTGCATGATAACAGAGGGTATCATATAGCGAGGCAATGGAAGATCGGCACACAGTCTATCGAGTTCGAACTGCTTCAGATCGTGATCCCGTGACTTGACAACGTATGCGACGAGGAACTGCGGGTTACCCCGGACACCGACCACAGCATCAGAAAGCCCGCCTCGTGCAGCTTGAAGAAGTGCAACGGCCACCTCGTCAAGCTCGACGCGGAAGCCGCGAAGCTTGACCATCGTGTCTCCGGAGACACGGCCCAGAAACACAAGAGACCCATCTTGACGCAGACAGCCCTTGTCACCTGTCCTGTACATAACACCGAATCCTCGGTCAACGGTGTCGGCTGCAACGAAAGGATCGCGAAGAAACTTGGCCGCGCTTTGTTCTTCGTCAAGGTAACCTCTCGCAACACCACGGCCACCGACGCAGATTTCACCGGGGTACCCAGCCGGCAATGCCTGTCCGTGTTCATCCAGGATATATACGGCCGTGTTAGAGATAGGCCTGCCGACCGAGGCCTCCTGAATGGGTTTCGAGACCAACTCAGATCGGAGAGTTACGGCGCACGAGACCTCAGAAGGGCCGTAACAATCTGTCAGTGTCAGACTCGCAAGGCCCAGCCTTTGGAAAGCACTGATGACCCCATCAGTCAGAACCTCACCACCTGAACACGCATGCCTCCACGCGGCACATCTCTGGAGTGCATCCGCCGCGTGAGTCGCAAGCAGCAAATACTCAGACGGCGTGCAGACGGTGAAGCTCACATGCTCCCGCGCCATCAGGTTCGCGATGGCCACGGGGTCGCCGCGGCAGCGCGCCGGGGCGACAACGAGCGTCCCTCCGTTGGCAAAGGCGTTCACCACCTGGGCAATCGACATGTCGAACCCCGCAGAGCTCTGCTGGAGCACCTTGAGGCCCGGCCCTAGCGCCAGGGCGTTCTTCTTGCCCGCCGCGTAGTTCATCATTCCGCTCTGTGTCAGCCGGATTCCCTTGGGCACGCCCGTGGATCCGCTCGTGAATAGCAGGAAGGCCTCGTCCTCGGCCACTGGCTGGGGGATTTCATGGCTGGATCTAGACTCTTGCAAGAAAGATACGTCAAGCGTGGGAATATGGTTCCCAATTTGCCTTGCACGCTCAGCTGTGGAACCGTGGAACAGCAGCAGAGAAGGAGAGCAGGCATCTGTCATTGAGTGAATCCGTGCCATGGGAAGACTAGGGTCGAGGGGAAAGTAGATACCTCCAACGTGTAGGACTCCGAGGAGGGCCGCGTACATATCGACGCTGGGCTCACATAGAACAGCCACTCGCGCACCGCGCTTGACGCCGGTCTCGCAGACCAAGGCCGCAGCTATTTGCCCGACTCGACAAGCCAGTTGGTGGTATGTGAGCGAACTACTTGCGTCCGAGAGGGCGACGGAGCCGGGGAAGGAGGCGCAAACTTGTTGAAACCTCCCCGTCAGAGTTTCCGGCCAGGGATCTTGAACGTGCGTATTAACTCCAGGTGGACATTCTCGCTCTGCCAACACATCTTGACGTGGCAGACAGTTCTTGAGCTTCCGCGACTGGTCCGCTGCCAAAGACTGAAGCAGGTCAACATAGGCCCCCGCGATACTCTCAGTCGCCGCCTGAGAATAGAGGTAGGCATTACAGCCGACTTCTAGCAGCTGCCCGCCGTCTGAGGTCTGGGTCACTGTGAAAGTCACGTCATAGGTCACTTTGGCATCATTGTAGCGAGCCAGTGTCAGAGAACAATTCCCAAGGTCGCGCTGCAGCAAGTCGCCAACGCGATAGTTGAAAGCGACCTGAAACAAAGGCGTGTGAGACACAGAGCGGTGCATGCCCAAGCGCTCCAGGATATGGTCAAAGGGTACATCTGCGTGCGATAGACCGTCCAACACCACCCCCGACGTGGCCGACAACAGCTCGGCGAAGGAAGCCTCTCGGTCGATTCGGAAGCGCATGGGTAGCAGATTGGTGAAGTGCCCGATGGTGTCCGATTGATGCCTTTCCGGTCTCCCGGTATGTGCGATGCCGATACACATGTCCGTCAGCTCCAGCATGTTTGCGAAGACGGTCTGGATCACGGCGAGGTAGAAGTGCATAGGTGTTGCTCGGCATGACCGACCGGCAAGTTTGATACCCTCAGCAACACTAGGACTTAGTTCGCGCTGGACAATGTGGCTCTTGTATGCTCGCTGGGGCAGTCTGTGTCGTTGCCGTGCAAGCGGCAGCAGCGGGAGGACGCCGGGAAGAGGATCCAGCTGCTGCTGCCAATATGTCGTAGATTCCTCCCACGAGCCACCCTGGAGTGCCTCAACTTGCTCGCGAGAAAAGTCCAGGTATGAGCTGGGAGGTTTGTCCAGAGGCGACATCCGGTATGCGCGGTCCAAGTCCCGAAGCAGAATGTGCCAGCTGACGCCGTCCATTATGATGTGGTGGCAGCCGACAAGCAAGCTGTGTGATTCCGGAGTGTGCGTTACTATAATGGCGCGGAATGTGTGCCCATTCTCCAAGTCCCATTGGTATTCTGAAAGCTCGCCAAAAATGTCTTGCACAAGGTCTCTGTTTGTGGAGTTTAGGTGTGTGAAGACGGCGCCGTTGACGCTTGGCAGGAGCCCTTGCCGCAACTCGGCGGTTCCTGGCTCGGTAAAGAAGCAGGTTCTGTAAGCATCGTGCTGGCTGAGTGTCTTGTCTAGCGCCCTCGAAAATCTACCGACATTGAGAGGCCCTTCAATGGCGTACTGTGCCGTGACGTTAAACGTGGTAGAAGTGTCCAGGAAGGTGTCGAGAAAATGAAGACCGATTTGTGCGAATGACGCCCGGGCTGTGTCCGTGTATACCCCGGATCCTTGCCTTGCTGAACCGTAATCAAGGTCCCTCAGACTAGGCAGTAGAGATTCCTCCTGGGATCGGATCGTTGGGGCCTCGGTCGTCATGCTTGTCGACACAGAGCGTTCCGAGGGCGAGGTTGTCTCTGAGGGCGTAGGAACACTGTCTATGTTACTCTTGCTGTAGTACAATGCTTCGTCCTTGGGAGAAATCTCGTCGCCAGAGGCTTTGATCTGGCTTTGCCAAACCTCCGAGTAGAGCTCATTAGCATCCGGCTGACTTTCCTCAACAGGCGCTGCAGAAGGACTGGGTTCTCTCAGGGAACCTGTCTCAAGCACTTCCACACCTTCCCTGGCGTACCTCTGCACAACCTTCGGCGTGATGGACAGTATAGATTCGCCACCTAGAATCCCCAGCAGAGGAGCTTCCACACCGACCTCAGCAAGAAGCCAAGTCCTAATTTCGACGGCCAGAAGCGAGTCGAGTCCCAAATCGGACAGGGGACTCGCCACATCAATGGAAGCCGCCGGTGTTTGTGTCATCGATTCCAATTTCTTGCAGAACAGGTTTTGGAATGCATCGGCAGCTTCGATCTCAGAATCAGCCTGTTCGAGCCGCTGACGCCAACTCTGTGATGTGCCCGACTGCGGCGCTGCCCCACCACGAGGAGCTGGCGGAATCACCATGTGTGAGAACCGCGGGTTGCTGTACCACGGAGGTCTCTCTTTAGCGTCTGGGTCATCAACGAATTGTTCAATCCCCATGGTCAGTTGCTCATCCAACGAACCCGTGCGTCCGCGTTGGATAGCCTGGACGAACATGTTGTGGAATTCACTTTCAGACAGCGGTGTGTAGAACCGTGATCGCAAGTGTCGTTCGATGTGTGTGTTGGCTCGCTCACTTTTCGCGACGTATCCGACGTCCGATATCATCCCGATGTTGATTACAGATGCTGCTTGGCCTCTGGCCTGGCGCCTTGCCGCGAATGTGGTCATGAACATGTTGGTGGCGTGATAGACGGCCTGACCTGGATTGCCATACACAGTACCCAACGAAGAAAACAGGACGAAAAAGTCTAGGGGATCCTGTGCAAACTCTTTGTCAAGGTGAATGGTGCCATCAACTTTGGCACCTAGCTGCCTTTCAACGCTCTCAATAGTTGCGTTCACGAAGAGTGAGTCCTCTAGCACAAACGCAGCATTTGCTACCCCGGCAACCTTTGGCATGGTCTTTCGTATTGTAGTGACTGTATTGTGGACTTGTTGCGGGTCAGTAACGTCCATTCTGACTGTGCAGATATCAACGCCCGACTTGCGCAGATTGCCAATCCATTTTTGACCGGTCTGGGGATTCCGACTGGCGAGCACGATATGTCGAGCACCTCTTGAGACCATGAACCTGGAGAGTGACTGGCCCAACTCGCCCGTCATTCCAACCAAAAGGTATGTCCGGTCCGGCTGAAAGATATTCATGCCGTCAGTGGGCGGAATAATGACGCTCAAGGGCCTTTCTCGGTGCCATTGTATTACATTGGTGAGACGATCCTCCTCCATATCAATGGAACAAAGGTCATAGATGCTGGTAATTGATGGCACAAAATCGAAGCTGGCAGACCGGGTCAATTCGAGTGCAGAAGCGATGTCCTCGCTGTCTCCAGTGATCATGTCAGGCTCGAACCGTCGATTCATGCAACCCTTTGGGAGGAATGTCAAGATATTGTTGCCCTCGACATGAGAGAAGCGCCATATGGCAGTTGTGTTGAGTGGTATGAGAGGTCGAATGGTCCTGGGCTGCGCAAGGGGATGCACAAATTTCCAACCAGGACGTGTTGACTTGGGAATCGCTGTGATAAATTCGGCACGCGAGGTTTGACCCCTTCCTTCCAACAACTTGGTGACTGCTGCCGCAATACTTTCCGTTGGTTCGTGCAGCAGTATTTTGCCGTGCTTTGGGCTGTGCGAGACGACATGCGAGGCAATAAGATAGGCCCCAATCTCCACCAAGTCTTTTGCATCGCATCGATCGAAACCGCTCGTCGATGAAATTTGGGAGATTCGACGTGTGTCTACCACGGCCACTGAAGAGTTGACATCTACCAGTGCCAGCCCGTCTGTGCAAGTTCCTTGGACTCGCCCGAAGCATAAGAAGCGTGGATTCTCCCCACGGGAGTGCATGGGCACCGAGAGCTCAACATCTATCTGAACGGTATTCTGGGGAGTTCCATGGCAAATGTCCTCCTCAAGACTGGGCGGTGAAGATGCGTAAGAGATGACGATTCTTTCCGAGGGCTTCACGAGCCTCTTGACTCTCCGCCGCCCAGAATTTAGGCGTTCATTCGCATCCTGGTCAGGAATAAGGCGTGGGATAAGAGCTTTTCCTCCCTTCACCTCTATTTCTGGCTCTTGTGTCCAGATGTGCTTGTATTCGGGGTCCTTGAACTGAGGAAGTGCGAGGAAGATGAGCCGGAGAAAGTAGTTTGACACCGTATTCATGTCCCACGAGGAAGGTTCATCAAAGTCAAGGAATTGCATCTGCACATGCGGCAGCTCGTGAGACAGAGAACGGCCAATGCCGGTCATCATGCTTTGATAGGGGTCGTTGGTGAGGCCGCCACATGTAACCCACAACACCTTTGATACGTTCCCAAGGAGCTCTTGCAAGATCTCGAGTTTTGCCGAGCTCAGAGGCGTAGCAAATATTGCCCCGTCGAGTTCCACTAGGGAAAGCAAGTTGGTTTCGGGCCCGATACGACGCAGATCGACCTCTTCAAGACTTGCACAAGACGAAATATGTGGTGTCCAGGCCTGCAGCAACTGTTGTATTTGGTTTACGGCCTGGGAAACAGCCGGCGTTCGTCCTCCGATGATGAGAATCTGTGCTTCAGGAACAGAGCACAAATTGGCTGGGGCCAATGGTTCACGCAAGAGTGAAATTCTGTCATCCACTGCCTGCGTAACAAAAGCAGAACAGTTGTGTCTGGAGACATCCGCTTGGTCGTAGGCGATGGTGTCGATCCCAGAGAATCCACACTTGCGCAAGAGCTCGTCCCACGCCGTTGCAGATATGCCGGGGGATGGGAACCGCCCTTCGTCGGTGCCCAACCACCACCCCTCCAGGCCACCCATCAGGCCAGTCTCACGTAGCATAGTGCCCGTCACCTCAACCGCGACTAGGAAACCCCCAGGGCGCAATAGCGATCTGACATGTTGCACTGTCTGGGCAAGACAACGAGTCGCGTGGAGCACATTCGCGGCAATAACGACGTCATACGATGCTGGGGCGAAGCCCTGGTCAGCGGGAGATGACTCGATGTTGAGTGTTTTGAAAGTCATATTCCGGTTCCGATCACCGAACTTCAGGGCAGCCTTCTCAAAGAAGCCAGCGGAGATATCGGTGTAGGTGTAGGTGGCGTGTGCATCGCCAATCGTGTCCAGCACTTTGGAGGTCGTCCCACCAGTCCCAGCTCCGATTTCCAAAATGTTCAGGCGCGGATACTTGTGGCTGATAGTGTGCATGAAGTTGGCGACGTACTCATTGCACGCTGCGAACCCCCGGCCCTCGCTGTAAAGGCGGCCCAGCAGATCATCCTCAAGCATGTGTTCAAGCAATTCTGACTCGTCCCGCAACACAGAAGGCAATTTTTCGCCCACGGCCTTAAGCAAGGCGATTTCAACGCTGTCGGGAAAATGTCGTGTGATATCCTGGATGTCATCCCAGCTATCCCCGAGCCACTCCTTCTTAAGGAGGCCGTGGCGCCCTTGTCGAACAGGATCCAAGAGCACCTTGATACCACGTAGTAGAGCTTGGTGATGCCACTTCAGCCGTGCAATCTCTTCCGGCCTGATCTCCCTCTCCAGATTGTGCAAAAAGAAGAGAGCAGTTCGTTCCGCACACTCTATGCGTTGAAGCTCATTCGACGACGTTGGAGCCGGCGACGGGCCAGGAAACCCGCAGGTAACGTCGGGGGCCCACATGGTCTTGGCAAATATAAGTCGGTCATCAGAAGCCTGAGGCTCCGAGATGGCGTGAAGCATCAAGCCATCAATTTGAATGCCAACGGTTGAGAGCGTTGGGTCGAAAACATTGATATCTATATCGGCCGCGTTTGAGCTGCAATGAACAAGGTGAGCGTCGATGCCGACCTCCGTGTGACCGGCAGCGCCCACAAATCGCTGATTTGGGACAATGACAGCACGCCTGAGCCCAGCCGGGAGAAATGTGGTCGCCATGGACTTGTCGGCTATAGAGGAAAATGTCGCAAAGGCTGTCTGGAATGCGACGTCGAGTACAGCGGGGTTTAGAGAGTAATTCGGGTCCAGCTCACCCGCTTCCCATGATGCAGTCGCTTGAGCAACGCCCCAGATGCGATTGATCGATTTAAAAGCCCGGAATGGGCCACTGTATGTGATGCCAAGGGAAGCGAGCACGGCGTGAAAACGTTCGACGTCAAGGGGCGGCAGCTCATCATCGCAGGGTGACCACTGCAGGTGCTCGCCCGCCATGCTCTCACCCAGGTGGATGAGCAAGCGTCCCTCGCAGTTCTTGTCCAACTTGCGACCATCGATACAACTTTGACACGCAAAGTCGGCTTCAAGAACTGAATCATTGGGCGCGTCGAGTGGGTTGCGGCGACTCCTGACTGTGAAAATCGTCTCGACAGTCGCGCCGTCCTCGCCTACGACCAAAGCTTTGGCGATATTCACGTCATGAAGTTCTAGTGTCTTGAAAGAACGGCCGCGGACAAACTGCTGAGCAGCCTGGACTGCCATGCTGACATATCCAGCGCCCGGGAACACCACTTCGCCCTGGAATCTGTGCCCGCATAGCCACGGTATGTCGCCTTGTCGGAAGACATTGCGCCATGTCATCTCGCTCGCCGAGTTCTGGTTCAACCGGCCAAGAAGTTCATGGGAATGTGTAGTCCCGAGTCGAAGCTCGCTCGAGATGCGAGACTCGTGCCAGTATGCTGTGTCATGATCCCATGCGTATGAGGGGAGACCCTTCAATACCCTTGGCCGAGCGCGTCGGTGGAAAGCATTGCGCCAGCCTTCGAAGTTGACGGGGCACGGCACGATATGACACCAAAGCATCCCCAGGGCTGAGGACAGGCTTTCGATGTCACTCTGCCCACGCTGCAAGCAGCCTTGGTACGGTATCGTCATGTTGTCTAGGGCCTTCAGGGTCTGGCCTACTGGGTTCTGCAAGGCAGGATGTGGTCCCACTTCTATCGCTGCAGCAAACGCACCACATTTGGCAACTGTCGCCTGCAGTACCTGTGAGAACATGACCGTCCTGACCATGTTCTCCACCCAGTAACGCGCCTTCAGTGTTTCAAAATCGCGTTCATTATGACCCTCATGACCCTGTACACTGGAGAGCCAGACAGAGCCTTTGCGTTGAGCTTGTGGTTTGATGTCCATGGCCTCCAGATATCTGGTATATGCTTCTTCGCAGGGTAGCATGTGGTGTGAATGGTAGGCAGTGTCGACTTTCAACAGCCTGGTAAACACCCCTTCACCATCGAAAATCGCCTTTGCTTCGTGGATGGCATCCAAATCTCCAGACAAAGTGACAGTGGAAGGCGCATTACTGGCTGCCACCGTCACCGTACCAGCGAACTGGGATTGTGAGCAAAATGTCTCTGCGTTCTGGAGAGAAATCCCGACGGCCATCATAGCTCCTTGTTTGTTTTTGGAACCCAGACTCAGCTCCTTGACGACCAGACCCCGGTAATATGCGATACCGATTGCGTCTCGTGCAGTGAGAATGCCCACTGCGTATGCCGCCCCAATCTCACCGGAAGAGTGGCCCACGACAGCGTCGAAATCGACACCAGAGGCTTGCAAGAGGTCGACAAGAGCAATTTGCAAGGCGGTTAGGAGTGGCTGAGAGATCTCGGCTTGTGAAATGCGAGAGTTTCCGCTCTCCGCAGCCAGCTCGCTCATAAGTGACCAGGGAGGTCCATCCGGAAGTGCCCCGAGGGCTCTCTCGCACCGTTCTAATGTGGCACGGAAGAGGGGGCAGTGCACCACGAGCTCACGGCCCATGGCTGCCCATTGCGCACCCTGTAGGCTCATGAGATTAAATTGTAAGCCCAAGAAACTGAAATGGTCAGAGGTGAAGGCATCATCATACCTGTCCAGTAAAGACCCCAAGCAGCTTTTGCCGCCGTCCAGGGTCGGCAGTTGGCACCCGGATGCCAAAGGCTGTGCCAGGGTTACCATCGGCTATACGAAGCTGATTTTCCAAGGCACAGATTAGACTGTTGCGATCCGGAGCTTGGATCGAAATTCGCAATGAGTGTGCTGTCCGCCGGTCAAGCAACGTCCACCCCAGGGCGTCGAGATCTAGCTTCGGGTTATGGCTGATGTGTGTGGCCATACGACGCAGAGAAGCGACCAGAGAGGACCGACTCTTCGCCGAGAACACAAATGGGTAAATCAGCTTCTCGGTATCGTCGATTGAATTCTCCTTGGATGGGAGGTCTGCTGGTGGGCTTTCGAGGATGGCGTGAGCGTTCGTTCCTCCAAACCCGAAGCTGTTGACGCTGGCGCGCCGTACCTCCCCGTGCGTTGCCGGCCACGGAATCAAGGAAGTTGGGACACAGAGGTGGTCATAATAAGGCTCGACAGCCGGGTGTATCTTTTCGAAGTGCATATTCGGCGGAACCACACCGTTCTGGATGGCCAAGGAGGCCTTGAGAATACCGGCGAGACCGGCGCATCCTTCCAGGTGCCCGATGACAGTTTTGATCGATCCGCAGTACATCGGAGAATTTCGATCTCCATCGTTGAGATCGCCCGAGAAGAACGCCTCCTGGATAGCCTGGGCTTCAACAGGGTCACCGGCCAGAGTGCCTGTTCCGTGGCACTCAAAGTACTGGCAACGATCCCTCACCAGGTCCAGGCCAGCCCGCTTGTAAGTCTGTTGAATGAGATGTTTCTGCGCCGATGCGCTCGGCATTGTGATGCCATTTGTGCGACCGTCTGACCCCACGCACGTTTCACGTATGACGCACTCGATATCGTCGTGATCCCTCAGCGCCTGGATCAACGGCTTGAGAAGCACAGCTGCGCAGCCCTCTCCTCGCGCCCGGCCGTTTGCCTTGTGGTCCCACATGCGCGAGCGTGCGTCTGGCGAGAGCATATGCAGTTTCGATTCGGCTATGTACGTCCCGGGGTCAAGCAGCAATGCCGTTCCAGCGACGATGGCCGAATCTGCATCGCCTGCTCGGAGGCCCTGGACAGCGTGGTGCAAGGCGACCAGTGAGCTGGAACAGGCTGTGTCGATAGTGACGGAAGGTCCTCGAAGGTCAAAGAAGTAGCTGATCCTGTTCGCAAGCATGCTTCGCGCCAACCCGGTCGCCGCGTACGCATGCAAAATCTCCGGGTCTCGCATTTGCAAGTCGTTGTAGTCCGCTGTCATGGCGCCGACGTAGACCGCCGTTGACGATCCTTCGATTTGCTCTAGAGGCCACCCGGCAGCTTCTAGCGCCTCATAAGTGGTCTCGAGAAGGATGCGCTGCTGCGGATCCATCCCGTGCGCCTCCTTATTATTGATGCGGAAGAAGCCTGCGTCGAAGACGCGGCAGCCTTCCGAGAGTAGGTAGGACTGATTGTTCTTGACATCTGTGTGGCCAGGACGGGAGCCATCCGGATCATAGAATTTCCCGAGATTAAGTCTGTCACTGGGAAACTCACGGATCACATCTCGTGGGTTTTGTAACAACTCCCAGAGCTGTGAGGGTGAATTTGTCGAGCCGGGAAAGCGGCAGGCGGAACCTACGATTGCGATTGGTTCGTCCATATCGAAAGGGCTGAGTGGACACTGATGCCTAAGAGTTGAGGATTCACGACAGTTGACGAGCACTTGGGATGAACATGTGAGATTTTAGGAACAGTAGTTGCAGGGCAACACTGCTCTTTCGAAGCATGCCCGTGTTCATTTTCATGTCTTGCGGCTCAAGGCAAACCCGAAATACTGGCACCTCTACAAGCTGGAAGGTGTATCGAAGCAGTCACCAACAAGCTTGGGGGCTAAAATGGCACTGGAGCTCTTGGCCTCTGGTTGAAGTGCAGCTCTTCAGCCCCATGACAGGCCCAACGCGCAATCCTATCGTCTCAGAATGTCTTGAATGGGTGCTATTATGTGTCGCACGCTGCATTTCCGATGGCTTGGAGGGTGGGGGCCATTAAATTAGACAAGGTTTGGGTAGGACCTCCGTGACGTACATGTAGCTATATGTACTGTACCCAGATTTTCGGTACTTATAGCGATTGCCCCTGCGCCGTGTGCTTGGAAAAGCGAAAAAAAAAAAGGAGGGGGTGGGGGCCAGGTGTCACTGCATAGCTTATATGCGTGCTGTAAATGCATTCGCCACTATCACCAGCACGTAGGATCTGCAGCCTGCTTCAAACATGCGTGGGAACACAGGCACGCCATATTCCAGCTAGAACACTATAGACTGATCGGAGCTGAAGCCGGTGGTGAGAAGATACCCGGACCCCGATGAAAAGACGCCGTTCTCTATGGCGCCCTCGGATTACCACTGGATCTACACCACGATGTAGGTTCGGACTGAGCATGACCCCAATTTCCGGCCCAGTTCAAGTCATTGTGATCGAAACCTGGGCAATGTGGCTTAATGATCAAAGCATCGAAGGGTGTATCGTGGAATTGAAAATGAGTTTGTTCTGACTTCTTCACACAGCACCGAGAAAAGCACGTGTGCACCCATCGATCTGCTCCCTGGGGAGGCACCGCATTCTAACGTTACTCAACCTCATCTACCCCTGGTGCCATTGACATGTTGGTACCTCCTCCACTGATGATCCATAATCTTCTAAAGCCATATCAGCAATGACAAAAGAAATGCGAAGCCAGCTTTGATGAGTTAATTCAGTTCACGATTTCGATCCCTTTGTCAACACTGTGAAAGGGAAGGGCCCGGTTTACGAATTCAATGATGGGCAAGCCCGGACGCCGGAAACGGTCAGGCCACGGCGCGCCATCCATCGGGTCGGCGTACATGGGTCTCAGCCGCAAAAGACGTGGAATTTTGTGCGAATTTCTATCAGTTCAAAAAAAACCTTAGCTGATATACACCTCAAAACAGATATCGTGCGAGGCTCAAGTGTTACAGGAGAAAGAGTCTCGGCGGCTTCTGTTGGCGAGCAAATTAGCCATTTCGTTCAATTCGGGCAATGGGGGCCAGCTTGCAAGGGTGAGCTTTATCGACTCCTTCGGACAGGGGGAGATAAACCTTAATACTCTCATTTGCAATCAATCGTATCGTTTTGGCGCTAGTAACCTGCACGACACACCTCATGTAAATCTATATGCACTTCATTTAAGTTTTTTAATATAGCTTTAATTAAATAATAACCTATATTAAAAGAAAGCCGCTTTTTTTTTAATTCTTTTAATATTTATTTAAAGAGGGTAGAAAAAGTATTAAGGGTGGGAAATATGTTTAAATTAAAGTTATAAATGGCTTGATTTAAAGTTAATTTAAAAGGGGGGGTGAATTTTATAAGTTTTATAAAAGTCATTAGGAAAGCAGGGTATATATACCTAAACTGGCTAAAAACACCCCCCTTAAAAAATTTTAAATCTTTTTTAAAATTAAATATTAACACACCTTACACCTTTAATATTTCCTCCGCCCTCTTTAAATAAATATTAAAAGAATTAAAAAAAAAGTAGCTTTCTTTTAATATAAATTATTATTTAATTAAAGCTATATTCGTTATATAAGAGGTGAGAATAGTTGAAAAATAAAGTGCATATAGATTTACATGAGGTGTGTCGTGTGCAGGTCACTAGCGCCAAAACGATACGATTGATTGCAAATGAGAGTATAGATCATCACAAACCCAGTAGACGTCATCTGCGTTGATCGGCGTCCATGAGGGCATGGGTACATTCTTACTTTATCTGGTTTGACGAAGCATTTCGATGGCGCTGGATCTATGGAATCTCACGTGGTAAGATTGCTGACGCCCAATGTTTACATATGCTGCATATCTTACAAACAGGTATCCCTAGCAGGTTCCTGCCTGTTGGGAGGTGCGCCCGTACAACATTGTCCGTCTCTGGGGAGTAGCACCCTCATAGCCCAGCCCAAGACGCTCCAGGCGCTCGCACATGCCATTAATTGCGGAGTCATGCTCCAGCCGTAACCTACTCGCCTCTTCGGCGTTTCCGATATCACCGTGGTACTCGGCGACCTCGCCCAGCGCGTCCACCGTCAGCTCGTGCCACCGGCCCAGTCTCGTCGTGCACATGTCCACCCACCTCTTGGCGGCACTCTTGGTCTCCTCGGGCGTCCCCTCGTGTCTTGAGATCCAAAACAGGATACGGTAGCAGTCGTCCAGGAGGTAGGCATCCTGCGCGTCCGGGCCGTTCCTCTGTGCCTGGGACAGGACCTGTTCCGCCAGGTTCTGGGCCTCCCCGTACCGATCCCTGTCCAGCATGAAGTTCGCAAGCCTCAGCTTTGCTTCCAACGCCTCAAAGCTCGTCGTGTCTCCACTCGACACTTCCTCGAGGTTCTCCTGCAGCGCATTCTCGATGCTGAGGTCCTCGACCGAGCCGTACGCCGCGACCCAGCTGGTCCCGCGCCCGTTCAACGCCGTCATCTGGGCCGCCGAGGTGGAATCAGGACCCAGCTCGTTGAGAAGCGCCCGCTGGTACGACTGCGACACGGCCCACGCGCACTGGCACAGCTGCTCCGAGGTCATCTGGCGCATCCCCTCGAACAGGACGTACACGGGGTGCCGCCGGGACCCGTACACGACAAGAGCCAGGTCCCGCAGGAACGCCAGCACGGCCTTGGTGAGGACCCCGTGCCGCTTGGAGAACTCGAACAGCACGGCGTAGATGCCGACGGGGAAGTAAGGCGTGTCCGAGGCGAGCAGGTGCCGGCACGAGTCCATGCAGATGCCCAGCAGCCGGAAGGCCGGCGCGACGTGGCCCGAGTTCATCAGCCGCCCCGCCGACCACGCGCAGTTGTGCGCCGCGACGACGAGCCCGTCCTGCCAGGGCACGTGCGACCGCGTCCACCGGCCCGCGCCGAAGCTGCCGCTCACGTAGGCGCGCAGGGCGTGCAGCACCTGCTCCAGCTGCGGCTGGGGGTGCGGAGGGCGGAGGCGCGCCGTCGCTAAGGGCGAGGGCGAGGGCCGCGCCGACGACGACGCCGTGCTCTCGCTGCCGGGGAGGGCTGCCCCCGGTGTCACCGGTGTCCCTGCTGCACCGTGACCTGTTGGCCCTGCTGCGCCGCGCCGCGACTTGGACGCCCGCTTGAGGAGGTTGCGCAACCGCTCCTGATCGACCCTGATGCCCCCGATCGAGTACTCGGATGCCTGCCTGCCCCCCTGCCTGGTCTGCTGCAGCAGCTCCCGGGCCTGCTTTGCGCGGAGGTTCTTCTGGATGCCCCATTTGCGCAGGTGGTACTTGTACATCTTGGGCCTGTTGGTTTTGTTGGTCGTCAGTACGCGGGGGGCTGTGAAAACGGTACCCCAGGGGCTGTGTGTGTGTGTGTGGCTCGTGTGCGTGTAGGCTCTCACTTACGTTGCAACAAAGCCTTGCTCATGCTGCATAGTGTGCATCACACTGCGTAGGGTGTGATCCTGGAACTTGTACAGGTCGACGATGCGCTCCTTGTGGCGCTCCCAGTCGCACTGAGAGGCCCATGTCGTCCTCTGGATGTTGCTGCCTGGCGAGCAGGCGCGGAAGTCTTGGGCGGTGATGAGCCGGTTCTCCATGTCGAGGCATGGCCCACGAATCTTTTGCCTCCGATATGGATTCTGGTCTTCAGCCGTATCAACTTTTCGGATGTCTACAAGCGGCGATGGGACTTGCTGATGTGTCTCCATGTGCGTGCTTACATCTTAATTTATTGGTGCTCCGCTGTTTTCCGCGCCGGGCTCGCCTCTGCGCCAAGTGCGACGTGAGCACACGCTGACATATTTTTTTCAGCTGGTGGATCGACAGATAAGCAGCCAACGGTTCACCGTAAGACTGGTGCTGACGGTGGGTGCTACGTGTGATTTAAAATCGACACTACTGTAGCTGATCTCTAGCCGTCCCACGTGAGCAATAAATCATTCTCCCCTGGCTTTGTTCTGCGGTTGAACATCGGCGATGGCAGGCAGGAGTTGCCTGCAGTCCCTCCCCTGGTAGGAGGCTGTAATTAGGGCTAGCCTTGAAACGATGGTTTATATGGGAAAGTCCAACTTGGGGGGCGTCAGACCGAAATGCGAAACTAATTATCTAATTAGTTATTGCTTCCTGCAAAGGTCACCTTTCCTTGGCATTTGACACGCTACTATTCCAAGTCATCACCCAGCCCAGTGGCCAGCAGGGATCGATAACAGTTGTGTCGAGTTCGTACTTCCCACCTTCAAATCCTTGAAAGAAGAAGCATGCGCTACTCAATCTTGGCTTCTCAAGCCTACGAGTGATTCGTGTGGTGGCCATGTTGTGTACAGCAATATCGCCGACATGTGAAAACATCCCATGTCCACCTCATCGGCGATTAATCCAATCGCCGCAATAAGGGCTTTACTTATAATGCTCGCAGAACAGCTCGTCTGAAGAGATTGAAAACCAAAGTTGATTGTCAAATTCTTTATTTCAGGAGATTCATTAATCCAATCGTGCTTCAACCCAGGTTGATTCCCGTATCATTCCGTACAATACACGGACTCAGCAGCACATCATGACTGAAAAAAAGGTTTGGCTCATCACAGGCTGTGCCTCAGGGCTCGGCAGGGAGATAGCACTAGCAGCTCTCGAGAGGGGAGACGTCGTCGTCGCCACAGCCCGTGACCCGTCCAAGCTGTCAAACCTCGCCACACGCGGCGCCATGACAGAGCGCGTCGACGTGACAGACAGCGACGAGAACCTCGCAGCATCAGTGGAGAGCATCACTTCCAAGACCCCAGGCGGCCGCATCGACATCCTCGTCAACAACGCGGGCTACATCCTGGCCGGCGGCGTCGAGGAGGCCAGCCGCGCCGAGGCGCAGGCCATCTTCGAGACCAACGTCTTCGGCCAGCTCAACATGATCCGCGCAGTGCTCCCCGTCATGCGCGCCGCCCGCTCAGGCGTCGTCGCCAACCTCGGCAGCATCGGCGGGTGGCACGGATTGCCGGGCGCGGGGCTCTACTGCGCGACCAAGGCGTGCGCGACCATCCTGGCCGAGTCGCTGCGGGCCGAGGTCGCGCACCTGGGCATCAAGGTCACGGCCGTGGAGCCGGGGTACACGCGGACGAACTTTCTGGTGCCGGGCCACCAGCTGCGGTCGAGCCGGACCATCGAGGATCTCAGCGGGGGTGCTGTCAAGGACGCGCTGGCCGCGTTCGACTCGTACAGCCTTAACCAGCCCGGAGACCCCGTCAAGTTCGCTAAGCTCGTCGTGGATGCTCTGACCTCTTCGGGTTCTTGCCAGGGGAGGGAGCTGCCCCCGAGGCTGCTTGTGGGTAGGGATGCGTACGGCATCGTTGGTGAGGCCATTGAGAAGCATAAGGAAAACATGAAGCTGTGGGAGGACTTGGCTACTGCGACTGATTGCGATTCGTGAGACGAAGGATGGGTGCGTACCTAGGAATTGATAGATGAATAAAGTACTGGGCTTGAGAAGAAATGTACTGGCGGGAATTGTTTCCACAATGGTGGTGTAAATCAAAGCTCTAATGTGACCATGATTACCGGATGAAGTGACTTGGGCAGGACTCAGATCCACAAGAAGTGCCAGTGAAGTGTGGCTTACGTAGCTGTCTGACTTCGTGGCCATGTGGACGAGCAAGCTGCATGAGCATAAACTTGTCTTCTTCCACCGGACATCGTGTTCAATACATGGCCCATCCACCACTTGCGCTGATGGTCTGGCCCGTGATCCACGCGCTCGAAGGCCCGGCAAGCCACGCCACCACGTCCGCAATTTCCTCGATCGTGCCCAGGCGATTCTGCACCGGGGTCTGCTGCTTCTGCATTTCGACGATTTCTTTGGGGATGTTGTCCAGCATTTCGCTCTGCACAGGCCCGGGGCTCACCACGTTCACCGTTGTCCCGTTCCCACCTAGCTCGGCGGCCCAGCAGCGCGTCAAGCCCTCTGCTCCCATCGACTTTTGTTAGCATGCATGAGCTTCACCAGTGAGCATCCTGCTGGAACGTTCTAGAAAAAGAAAATGCACAGTGACCCGCACGTTCCATTGAAAGGTAAGCAATGACACCAGCCACCCAAATCATAAGGATCTGGCATCAGAGGGATTCAGTCAGGGCAACCGTACCGAGAGCAGCCTTGGAGGAACAGTACAGGCTGAGTTTCTTGAACCCCGCCCTGGCGCCCACGGACGAGATATTCACGATCCTGGCGTTCGGGTTAAGATGGGGCAGCGCAGCCTGCGTAAGCAGGATGGTGCCCCGCACATTGACGTCGAAAACGGCGCTGTAGTCCTCGACGCTGAGCTCGTCCAGGCCCTTGACACGCTCGAGGCCGGCGTTGTTGACAAGAATGTCGATCTTGCCGGGCGCGCCGCCGGAACTGGCCCACTGCACGGCCTCGCTGATGAGGTGCCTCGGGCCGTCGAGGGTGCCTAGGTCTGCCTGCACGGCGTGGGCCTGGGGACTCGGACTGTGTGGTAGCGACTCGATCGTTGCTTTCAGCTCGGCAGCTTTTGGTGCGCTGGACGGGGAGGTGTACCCGAGGACGACCTGAGGTTGGCGTCAGCGGAGAGTGGCAGTGCGGCGTATTTCTGACAGCAAGCAACCCTCACATTTGCACCCTGCTGGGCCAGCTTCAGGGCAATGCCGTAGCCGATGCTACGCGATGCCCCCGTCACGACGGCAGTCTTGCCTGCCAGTGGCGTAGAGGGGGTAATCATGTCGGCTGGCTCGAAATCAATTGGGATGGTTTGCAGACAGGAAACGGACATGATTTCCGTTGTTGTGGAGTGACCGATCAGGCAAGATAGCTGACGACTGATATGTCATCCAGAAGGATTCAGTGATGTCATAGTACTTAGGTGCACAAGTCTAAGTAGCATACAGCATAACTTGACCAGCCCGAATGTACATTGCCCAATATTACCCACTTATAAAAGTTCAGGGTCAATTTTTTTTCTTTCCTGCCGAGAAGCTACCTCGGCCCAGACAAAAAAGAGCGCACTCACAAACTGCTCTGCAAAAGCTACATCAAACATCCCATCACCAAAGTTTCAATTGAACTCTTAAATAACTCATCAATCAATATTTAAGCCCAGCTATCAATATAGCTAGTTTATGGCTTATTTAAAAATTCTTTTGAAAAGAAACGAGGCTGTTAAGTCGATAGGTTGTGGTAGCGGGTGATAGGTTTTGGGGAAGGTGACTTAATGTGAGTGCGCTCTATTTTGTCTGGGCCGAGGCTACATGAATGGAACTACTGTCCAGCACACTGGCCTGCCGATACTAGTATGAAGTATCTCGTGTGAACGTGGATTGACTTCATGGACTATCCAGATGAATTCCTACCCACAGCCATTATGACAGATACTGGGGGCAGCAACAAATCTCCTGTGAGAGTGTCAGCCCTCCATGTATCAAATTGCCTAGTACTTCAAAAGGGTAGCTTCTGCTAACTTTCTCCGGAATGATCAAGGCCTCTACTCTCTTTGTCCAAAATAACTCCTTTGTGGAAATGCTGAGATTAAAGTATGGGTGAAAAAGACAAGCTTCTTGCAACTTTGACTGTCTTTATGATGATCCCGGATGCGGAGCATCAATCAATGAAATAATGCTGTGACTGCACTCCCACTTCTTGGACTATTATAATGGTGATGTTCTCACAGGGGCGACGCCTCGTACAAGCACTGAGCTCTGCGATTGAATTATGTAGTTTCAGTCGTATGTCAAATTACTTCTGGCCCTCTTCTTTCATAAAATAAAACAAAAACTAAAACAAATTCGAAAACTATAGCGGAAACAACAAATCTTAACGCAACCAAGGGAGTTGTGTCGCCTGGCTCAGGGGATCGCAGCACCATATTCAGACCCCCCAAAATTAAGTGCCATATCAGCATACAAGACACAACAGCAACAGACAATACGCTAATACAAGTAACCACAATGCAAGCGACAGGTATAAAGAGGGCCAGGTCGCCAGACGATGATGAGACATGCTGCGGCGGTGCACGCAGCGCTAAGAGCGGTAGACGTCCTGGCAGCTCAGGCGGCGGCAAGGGTGGTGGTAGGGGTGGTAGGGGTGGTAGGGGTGGTAGGGGTTTTGGTCAAGGTGGTGATCGTGGCAAGGGTGGTAAGCATGGCAGCGGTTCAGGCGATGGCACCAGTGGTGGCCCCCGTGGTCCCCCTGGGCCCCGTGGTAATCCTCCCGGTGGTCCCCCTGCTGGTCCCCCTGCTGGTCCCCCTGCTGGCCCCCCCGGTCCCCGTGGTGGCCCGGTCAGTACAACGGGTGGCGGCGGCGGCGGTGGCCCCAGTAATGCACCAGGCGGCCCCGGGGGTGTGCCGGGACCTGGTGGTTTTCCCCTAGGACCCGGTGGTTTTCCCTCGGGGCTGAGTGCTTTTAACCCTGGATCCGGTGGTGTTGCCCCCGGATCCAGTGGTGTTGCCTCTGGATCTGGTGATGTTGATCCGTATCCTAAACCAGGTGAGGAGGAGGAAGCACAAAAAGATGGTGGGAAGAATGCAGAAGAAGGTGACAAGATGGATGTTGAAGCAGGTGAAGGGATGGATAACGAAGCAGATGACAATGTGGATGTTGAAGTCCCTGGCAATGCCAATGACACTTCTATCCCCGGGCCTTCGTATGGTCGCCAAAGGGTTTGGAACAAATACGGGGCAGACAAGGTCAAGAAATGGAACCGCGACAAGATCATCCTATACCTCCCGAATCTTCCCAAAACTTTCGACAGCCAGTGGGATCAGAACCCGAATTTCACCGGGCCGTTGTTCCAGGCACTCCGGGACGCACTCGAGGGGCCGGATGCTGTGATGAATTTGACGGAACTGGGTGCTCGTCAAGATTGCAAACGGGTCCTGGGTAACGAGGATGCTGGGCGATTATTCACAGCTCTTAATGCCACCCATCAAACTTTGCTATCCAGTAAGAATTCATTCATGAAGCTTGTAGGGAGGGCTGAGGGGGGGCGCCCCATAGCCAACAGGCAACACCCAGAAGAACAAGCCTTGTGGCAGGCGTTTCAAGGGCTTGTTCCAGACATGGACAAGTCCGGGTGGGTGTGGGAGCTCTTGCGCGACGCCAGTAGAAGGTGGTTGGATGTGCGTTTCAGGAACTTAAGGGCTAATGCCCGACGTTGGAACGATGGAACCCCGCGAGCCGCCCGTGACCTCCCAAGGCAGCCATCCCAAACGGCTGCTCGTGCCGACATGATCAACTTCATGGTCCACGGAGGCGACTTGAGAATGGACGCCTTGATGTGCCAATTGACGTTTGGCCCCGCGAGGTACCGAGATCCGGCTTACGAGAAATACATGGAAGATATGTTTGAATATTACTACGGCATGAGCTCAAAGGTTGGGGTCTGGTTGTGTAAGTCGTTTGCCTCCATTGCCCCCCCCCCCTACCACCGTGAGCGATTCAGCGCGGTGACTCGAGAGCTCCGCCCGGTTAACTTGACCTTCATAACATCAGCAGAGCGCCGTTTTCGAAAGCGCCAAGGGGTCGACTGGCGGGATTATATATATACTATAGACGCGTGCGTAACAAACGTCATTTCACCCGTCATCTCTTGAGTTCGACATGTCGAGGGATCAGTGGGCCGGAGACAGACCCACTAACTAACTTTCGACAGTTATCTCTCTACACGTGAGGCCATGTTATCGAAACGCGGCGTAAACTATTCAACAATTTCTTATGCGGACATGCACGAGCAACTCTTCTTCCCTTTCGCAAAGAGGGTGGTTGATCTCGTCGAATACGCACAAAGTAACCCTCGTTCAGAAGTCGATGCGAATTTAATCGCAGAGGCCGACCGGTACCGTCACACCCTCGAGGCAGTATGTCAGCTTTGGTTAGACCCTTCAGATCGCATTTTAGGTCTCGACGGACTCACGTATGAGGGGCCTTTATGGAATCACCACGACAGACTACCAAAATGGGACCCCGCGACTAGCTTGGCACAACATTGGTCTTTTAATCCTCAAAATCAGATTTACACTTGTGTGAATCACGGGCCACGACCGCTTGCTCCAATTAATGTGCCATTTCTCCTGAATCTATTTGGTTCAGGGGTGCGTCCAAATGCAGGAGTACCACAAGGACGACCACTCCCATGATGACCGCCTCAGGGAGGACAGCCCTAGAGACCCTCAACCTGAGGGCCTTTCAGATGACCAGGCTTGTCCATGGAGCACGATCTCGGCAGCAGAAGCCTCCAGGTCTCTATTCACTGCCGTTGGGACTGCTACTGTCTCTATCTGCACCTCCTGGACTGTCTAACATCCCGGCTACTCACAGGAACATCAACTGTCAGGCCATGGCCGTCTGATCCGCCAAGACAGCCTGGAAGCCTGGGTCTAAATGAGACTATATGAGGTCCTTTCTAAATCTTGAACATGTTCAGTTGGGACTTCAAGGTGACTGTGGCCGACCGGGGCGTTGATATCGGAAGAGAACTGATTATTATATTAACTCATTGAGCAAAGAGAAAGTTTGGGCAACAGGACGGACGGGATGCAACTTATACTTTCAATTTACGTGCCAATGTTCATTTGTAAACTTGCAAACCTTACGATCACGAAGTTTTTCATTGTATATAATTCTTGAAGTTCGGTAGCAATACAAGCTGAATTCAAAACCGCCAAACGCCGATGCTCCAAACTAAGTGCAAAAACCCCTGAAGCCAACGCCAGTATATTGCACTTGGGAACAAGAAGTGATATCAATATCCACATCTATCTCAAGGGCCATGGTAGGTCACAAAACGCCTGATTCTTGTATTGTACCACCCGTGTCTCCAGAAAGGGTGATTCTCATTGCAGAAAGGATCATCCTAAAAGAATTAGTGATTCAACCGCTGACAGTGGAGGTGGTGGAAACTTACATATTCTGGGAATTTCTCCGTTTGAGGTGATTCCGGTTCATTGGAGTGCTCTTCAACCTTTGCCCGTATAATTTGAATTTGTGACTGAAGGAATTCTACAGTAAGCCCCTCTACTATGGCCAGCCATAGCAGATGGAAAAGAAACTCTCCGAAACTCCTGAAGATGGATCCCATCATGGGGAGAGTACGTACTGAGTAGAGAAATTTTGTCGCACTTTTGCAACGCAACGGCTTCCAGTTCCTGCTGGCGACGGGGTTGAGAAAGTCTTGGGTGCGGAAATATCAAATCTCTTTGGTTGGGGCAACTGCGAATTCCTGATAGATGATGAGCCAGAAGTTTCCAAACTGGAGCCATCAACATGCATTATATATGCCCACAGTCATGGCGAAGATAATACCTTCTGCCTGGCTCAAGGCTTTGCATGCACAGAGGCAAACAAAGGCCCGGTTAACAGGTGGAACACGGCTTGTCAGTAACAAGTGAATTGTATCAATGCCAATTGTGTCAGTCCTTTGTTTAGCAAAACTCAACAACTAAGAATTGGGTGAAAGCTCTCAGGCCCAAACAATCTACTTGAAAGGAGCAAACCACGCAGATCACGGCCCGAATCGCACCGCGAACTTTGTAGAATGAAATCCTACCAAACTTGAAAGGTTCCACATCCTTCACGCTTTATCTTGGAAATAATGTCCACCTCCCGTTCCAGGACGATTAATCAATATCTGCCATTTTAGTGCCGTATCGTTCCGAAGAGCTACTGACAGCTGGAATCGACGGACATTGCTAGTCCTACTGCATCAGCCCACTAACAACTGACCTCCAGTGACCAGTAAATTCTAGAACGTAGAGTAAGGTAGGAACACTTGCATGATAGGGTTCGGCTTCAGAGGTGTGCTTTTATCCAGCGATATGATAAAAAGGACTCTAGAAGCGTGCGGCATCACCCGGGGAACTCGCCATAGCACAGGCTCCACGACAACTCTCTAGACCGCAGCCTAGAGATGATCACTGGCTCATCACTTCATTCTCTGTATCACTAGTATACGCCCAAGAGCTCACGCCCAATATGCCAGAGGCAACCCAAGCGCCTCGCACTGCTGCGACTCCCTGAACGAGTCCTGGTACGACTCCCACGCCAGCGCCCGCAGGGTCAGGTCCCCCCTCGTAGCCGGCCTCCACGCCCCGGCCCTCTCCAGCTCCCCGCTGGTGTTGGTGTACCGCCTGGCCTCGAGGAAGCCCCTGTCCGGGTTCGGGTCGTAGGTCCTGACGAAGGAGGTGAACGAGTCGAGCGCGAGCTGCTCGAACGCCAGGTCGTCCCCGTCGCGCTCCGGCAGGCCCTGGAACGCCACGTTCCCGAAGACGACGTAGAGCTCGCCCGAGTGGCACCTCGCGTAGGGCAGGCTGGGGTCGCCATAGGGGTGCTCTGCCGTGACGGGCGGCTGGCACACGCTCGTGCCCGGGTAGTTGGTCAGCTGGTAGGACCGCTCGAACTCGTACGCGTAGACCGAGCTGTACCTGCCGCTCTCGAGGCCCGCGAACGCCGTGGCCTCGGCGTCGCACCTGAACATGAGGTCTGTCGCCAGGCGCGCGGCGACGTCGTACACGTTCAGGGTCTGGTTTGTGCCGTCGGGGAGCGGGAAGAGCTCGTCCAGCGTGGACTGTGAGATGTTGTAGCCGCTTGCCGCGAGGTACTCTGTCTCGTTCGTCGTGGTTGGGAATGGCAAGAACGCGCCGGCGTCTTCTTTCATTAACCCTAACATCAGCTTATACGGTGCCTCCGGCCCGGTCAGTGTCAGGTTTGCTGTGGTTAGATAGGTGCCGTCCACGACGAAGAAGCGAGCCGTAGTGCTGAGACCCAAAAGAGTGGTCGCGGGTACGGCGCGGAGACAGTCGACTTGGGATTCTGCCTCTGTGCAGTTCGTCGCGTTTAGGATTGGATTTGCGATCGCATCGACTTCTTCCTCAATGGTGTAGAAGTGTGAGTATGTCCCTCCAAGGTCAAGGCTGCCAACATTGGACATTTGGACCGCGCCGGCAAACTTTCCCTCGGCTTTGGGAGAGGCCAGGAGGGCCCGGACAGAGCCCGCACCAGCGGACTGACCCAGGATTGTCACACGGTCCGGATCTCCGCCAAAATCCTGGATGTGTGCTTGGACCCAGTCCAAAGCATTTATCTGATCAGCCAGACCGAAGTTGCCGTTGGTGACTCCATCGTCCAGGGCGAGGTAGCCGAGCGTTGACAGCCTGTAGTTGATTGCGACCAAGACCACGTCTCCCCTGGAGGCGACACTGCCACCGTCGAATGTGTTGTCGTTTCCAGTTCCGCCTATAAGTGCGCCTCCGTGGATCCAAAACATAACAGGCTTCAGAGCGCTCTTGTCACTTTTGCTGTCTTCGGTCGGCAGGTACGGCGTCCATACGTTCAGGAACAAGCAATCCTCGGATCCGGCCGTACCCTGGGCGCACTCGGAGCCGAAGCTGGTGGCTGAGACAGAGCCGTTGGACCCTGCGTATGGCGCAGAATATGTGAACCGTTCCGGGTGGGGCGCGTAACGGACCCCATAGAAGCGAAATGATGTCCGATCACGGAAGCTGAAGCAAACGTTAGCTGCGGCAGTGCAAGTAGATGCTGAATCGGACGGGCTTGTACTGACCCGACAAGCTCTTCATTGTTCGACTGCACAGAAACTTGCCACTTTTCACTTGTGTCCGTGGAAGTAGAGTTTGCAAAAGGCGCCGACTGCGTGCACAAGACACTCAATTCCTGTCCAGGCTCTGCTGTTGTAACGTTCCCTGAGGTGCTGAGGGCACGGGTCTGGTTGCTCTGGGCCGCTATCCAAAAGCTCGTGTCCTTCTCCGCCCTCCCCTCGTAGACTAGGTAGTCAAGATTCGGTTGAATGCTTGCCGTGCCCAGTTCAGGAGACCAGAGGTTCTCGCTCAAAGCTTGACAGCCCGAGACAGCATCTTGATAGGACCTGGGGCTGAGGACAATCACTCCCGAGTCTGCTGTGGGACTGCTGGCTCCTGTGCAATGTTCATAAGCTTATTTCATGTCGTGACGCGAGGGTGTTGTCCTAACTCGCCTTGCAAATTATTATCGAGCAGAATAGTCAAGTCCGAGTCAAGGCTGGCAGGTGATGGTGTTGAGGCTGCCAGAGGGGCCACCAGAGCCAAGGCTCCTAGGATACTTCGGAGGGCCATCCTGTCTGCTTACACTGACACAAAATGGTGAAGCAACGGCGCGAACCACTGTGATCACGAGCACACCAGGCCATCACTTATACAGGCATGGCTATACGTATTTGCTCGTATCCAACGGGGCTTGCCGGCTTAGACTGCCGATCTCGACAACAACAGGCCCGAATTCCCCGCATCAACTGACCCGCAGAAGGAAATGAAGCCGGGGAAAAGGCCCCGCTCGGTCGACCATCCGCTGCGAGTGCGCTAGGCTGAATTGACCCGGGAGCCCGGCAAGGCGGGTAGTAACGAGCTTGCCCCCCTGGATGGAAATGAGATGAACATGCTGTGCAGGGCATAGATTTCGCGGAGTATAGGGCCCCGGTCCAAAGCTGGGGGCATCATGCATGACGGGAGCCTGTCAAACCCGCGTCGACAAACACGGATGTCAAATGCGGAGGTGAGAACCATTGAATCGGTCCGAGACCAGAACAGCTATTTCACCGTGACGAGTGACAATGTTCGCGGTTCATGGATTTTCGTGACGACTTTGAAAGGTGCCGGCTTTAGATAGAGCCGGGCCAGGCATGTCAGACCGAGGTTGATATTATGTTACTCGATGTTGGGTAGACCCGTATGGCGCTCGAGTCTGAGTTCGGGCTGGCAGTGCATGTGTTAGTTGAAGGCTTCATTATTTGACTGGGCCTCTTGAAAGCATCAAGGAGGTTTTGACGCGTCTGGCTTCTCCGTCTATCGTTGTATTCATATCGCCGGTTCGGCAGAAATAAAAGGTGCTTCTTGCCATCTTCCAATATCTCATGGCGGATGATTCCGTGATCGAAGGAGCATCAACTCGAGAGTTCATCGATACTGCATCGGATGACGCACAGTCTACGCAGTCGTGGCCAAAAGCACACTACCTCTGCCTCTCGAATTAAATCTGGATACATCAAAGTCGTGAAGCGAGCGCTCACCTACATCAGAATCGTTTAGGCTTTTCGAGGATCAAGGCGGACTGGTCCCACTATTTTCCGATGAGTCTATAAAAGGATAGTCCGAGACCGGTGCCAGTGGTGGACAACGTCTCAACCGTGCGTTGACATATTCAAGATCTGCCGTGACACCCTTCTCTGTTGTAACAAGCTGAACCGTGCGTAAGACGAAATTAAATCATATGTACCCTATCCAAGCAATTGTTAAACTTCGGAAGACTTATTCTGTTCTGGTTCATCGTGTGAAAGAAATTGGCCTCGTTTGCGCTGCCAAAGTGACAAAGAAGCATCCAGTCTATTACCTTCAATCAACAGTAAAAACTCACAACATACATGTTGAGTTCTGTTCAATTGAAATCTACTTGTCTGAGATCAGCCGTGAATTCAAAGCAAACATTTGACGGCAAGACCGCCCTCATCCACACTCGAGAACCCAGTTTCGAGAGTTAGACTAAATTGTTAGCATGAGAAAAGCCGCTACAAGGTGAACAGTGGACTCCTAATTATCTTGTTCAGCAAACTTCCGATGGCATATAAACTCGCAGATGTCGTCAATTCGTTAATCTGTCGATCACGAGTGTCGCCTGATCACCCCATGCCTACTATGCAGCTGCTGTATGCAGCTGCTGTCACGTCGTGTCCGCGCCGGCCCGAATAGCACCGTTGAAGCAACATTGACTAGTGTATGCACTCTACTATGCCGATGTGGAGACATATAAACATGCTTGTGATCGTATTATGATACAGATACAGATGATCTCCGTCTACATTCCGAAAAGAGGTATACTTGGCTGCACGCTAATGCTGTCCAGTCCCATGTCCCCCCGCATCTGTTTATCGTTGACAGGTGCGCGTACGCTAATGTTGCAGTTCACCTCGCTGCCGACGTTGCACGCTTCGATCTTTCGAGTCAATGACTCGCATGTCTATCCAGTAAGTCATACGAGGGAAGATGCAGAGTGGATTGTGTATTTGCATCACTCTCAACTCGGTGAAGTGGGCACCGGGCTCCTACCTAGGAAGTGTATAAATCAAGCCTTTTACGAAAATGGTGCTGTCAACTAAAAAGACATCAACTACGCCCTCAAGATGCTAAAATTCCTTCCAACAGTGCAGAGAGCCTTGGGCCTCTTAATTCTGATACTCGTGTCACAGCCAGTCGCCTCTCACCCTGCTGGTCCCCTTACCAAGAGATCCGCCGCATCAACTGCACGGGAGCGTCTAAGCATCAATGGAGACTGGAAATTCTCGCGTTTTGCCTCGAGTCCCGACTCACTATCTTACGATCCCGTCCTGAAGCCATGGATTCTTCCTTCGGCAAACGACTTCATTGTCAACGGAACCAAGTACGAGCGGCCATCCGGTACTCCTCCAGGTAGCGATGTTGAGTATGTCCGAGCGACCTTTGATGATTCTTCATGGGAGAGCGTGAACCTGCCTCACGACTGGGCAATCAAGGGCCCCTTTGGAGCACCTGGTATTAGTGGTGGTATGGGACGATTGCCAACCAATGGAGTCGGGTGGTATCGCCGAAACCTTACCGTTGCTGCAAGTGACGTGGAAAAGTCGATATTCCTCGATGTCGATGGCGCGCAGTCTCACGCGAGCGCCTGGCTCAATGGGGTTCTCGTGGGTGGTTGGCCTTACGGATATTCCTCATTTCGACTGGACCTGACACCATACGTGCAAGTTGGCGGTGGGAATCTGCTCGCTATTCGGCTGGAAAATGCTGTCGACTCGTCACGCTGGTACACGGGAGCCGGCATTTACCGGAATATCTGGCTTGTCAAGGTGAACCCAGTCCATGTTGGACAATACGGAACACGAATTACTACTCCGTCTGTCTCGGCAGAAGAAGCGACGGTTGATATCGAGGTGGACGTCGAAAACAAAGCGAATTCCACCCAGGAGGTACTCGTGAGAACAGAGATTTACCCTGCTGGAAGCGACGAGATCGTGGCAACATTTTCCGACTCGACGATTCGAGTTGCTGCAGGAGCGAAGCAGTCTGCGCAAACCTCCGTCACGATATCGAACCCGCAGCTATGGGGCCCACCTCCAACCCAGACGCCAAACCTGTACACAGCTGTGACAACCGTGCTTGTTGGCAACAACTCGATAGTTGATCAATACGAAACCCAATTCGGAATCCGGTCGGTGACCTTCGATGGAACAGACGGCCTCATCGTGAACGGAGAAGCAATACGAGCCCGAGGCACCAACAACCACCACGATCTCGGCAGCCTGGGGGCGGCCTTCAACGTGAGAGCGGCCGAGCGCCAACTTGAGACGCTCCAGGAGTTGGGATCCAATTCCCTCCGCATGTCACACAATCCACCCGCACCTGAATTCCTGGATTTAGCGGATCGCTTCGGATTCCTGGTGATGGATGAATCGTTCGACGCCTGGAATGTGGCCAAGGTACCAAACGATTACCACCTCTTGTTCCCGGACTGGCACGAGCCCGACACGCGATCTCTCGTCCGCCGTGATCTCAACCATCCTTCCGTGATACTGTGGAGCATAGGAAACGAGATCCCCGAACAACGCACCGCCGAAGGAGCGGAGACTGCGCGGACACTCGGCGAGATCGTCCACAGCGAGGACCCGTCACGGCCCGTGACGATGTCTTTCGACCAGGCGCAGCCGGGTGACGCCGTCGCGGGCACTATGGACGTTCTCAGCCTGAACTACCAGGGTGAGGGCCGGGCCAACTCGTGGGCCAGCTTGTTCCCCGGGTTCCACGACACCCACCCGCAGAAGCTGCTCTGGACCAGCGAGAGTTCTGCGGCGGTGAGCACGCGGGGCACGTACGTCTTCCCAGTCGTGGGCAACAAGAGCCAGGTCGTCGGCGACGGCCGGGGCGGCAACTCGACCTCGCTGCAGGTGAGCGCATATGAGCTATATGCGCCATCATTTGGGACGGGACCGGACAAGGTCTTCACGCAACAGGATACGTACCCTTATGTTGCGGGCGAGTTTGTGTGGAGTGGGTGGGACTACCTCGGGGAGCCGACGCCGTACGCTTCCTCGCCGCTGGCGCGCAGCTCGTACTTTGGGATTATCGACCTGGCTGGGTTCAAAAAGGATAGGTTCCACCTGTACCAGTCACGGTGGCGGCCTGATCTCCCGAGCGCGCACATCCTGCCGCACTGGAGCTGGCCCGACCGGGTTGGTGAGGTCACTCCTGTCCATGTGTTTTCGTCTGCAGACGAGGCTGAGCTGTTCGTCAACGGGGAGTCGGCCGGACGCCAGGTCAAGGAGCCTCTCACGTACCGATTCCGCTGGGACAATGTCACCTACTCCCCCGGCGATCTTCGCGTCGTGACATGCAAGAACGGAGACGTGTGGGCAGAGGCGAGCAAGAGGACCGTCGGTCCCGCCGAGGGGCTTAATGTGACGGCGGACCGCACGGCAATCACGGCTGATGGGCACGACCTGTCGTTCATCACCGCGGCTGTGACTGATGGGTCGGGTGACATCGTGCCCTACGCAACTGACAGTATTACCTTTTCCATTTCTGGCCCGGGCGAGATCGTGTCCACCGACAACGGCGACCCGTCTGACCAGACCCCGTTCCCATCTTTGACGCGCAAGGCTTTCAGTGGTCTGGCTTTGGCTGTAGTGCGCACTGCGGCTGGGCAGGCGGGAGAGATCATGGTCTCGGCAGCGGCGGACGGTCTGACGCCTGCTCAAGTTAGTTTAGTTGCTGTTTGAAGATGGTCAATGAAAGGTATCTGCTTGCGGGGAAAGATTTCAGCGCGATCGCAGGTGGGGAGATCAGAGCTGCTCAACAATGTGATCTGTGCTTCGAGTGACTTTCGAAGCCACGTGCAGAATATTAAGACGACGCAGGAATCGAGAGTGACACCGGGTGGGCTCCTTGCTGATCACGTCTTCCCCAGCGATATTGACTTTCTGCACGTTTGGCATTAAAAATAGTGATTAGAATAGTGCTATTCAGGCGTTGAAGCCGATAAAGGCACATTTACACGAGTCTAGCTGGGGCAGAGTCACAGGCCTAGCAATCGCTTTTGAGCTGTGGATGGCTGCAAGTCTTCGGGCTGGTCTGGGTCATATCCAACCAGGCAGTTGACGGTCTCATTGCCCTCACCGCTGTCGTTGATTTCACTGCCCACCGGCGACCGCCATTGCCCAGTGAGTTTGATGTACCCGTCCAGCGCATTGTTCAGCGTGTGCCCAATCTCCAAGGCCTCTGCAGCCCGCGAGTGGGCGTAGAAGGTAAGCAAAGACTGCGCAGCCTCGCGCTGACCCTCCTTGATGAGAAGATTTGCCGACTTCTCCACCCAGTCCTCGACCTGCCCACGCGTCCGGTTCTCGAACCGCGTCAGCATCTCCGTCACGACGGGCAGGTACTGGTTCGGGTCCGAACACATGTAGTAGAGCACGCGCTTGAACACCCGCCCGGCAAAGACGGACGCCTCCTGGAGCTGGTAGTCCGGATTCAGAAAGCTGCTCGACGCCCCCGTGGTCAGGTACCGGTGCTCGCCGAACTCGGGCGGGATCGACTGCACGCCGAGCCACCAGGGCGTGAAGGGCGCCGCGACGGACCCCGTGGGCGCGTTCCAGACGCGCAGCATGTCGCTGTCGGCGACGTCGGCGTGCAGGCGCACGACCTGCCCGTAGCCCGCCTCGTCGTCGGCGATGCGGTGGTCGCGCACGCGCTGCATCAGCTTCGCCTCGGTCAGCGGCGCCATGGCGAGGGTCGCGTCCTCCAGGGCGGCCTGCGACATGTACTTGTAGCCGCCGTCGCGGGCCTTGTACCTGGCGTCCTGCGGGCCGTAGACGTCGAAGATGTTGAACGGCTTGCCCGAGGTGGAGTTCCACCAGCCCTGGTCGACCGCGAAGGACACGATGTTCTCGGAGCCCAGGAAGTCCGGGTTGCCGGCGAAGTCGACGGGGAAGTCCTCGATGTAGCCCGGGTAGGAGACCCTGACCTCGTCGGGCCCCAGCCGCTGCGCAGCCCAGAGCCCGGCGCCGCCCGCCATCTCCCAGACGACCCAGCCCTCGTCCTTGTCGGCAATGAGGTGGGAGTTGCCGCCGTACGTGGATTCACCGTACGCCTTGATGAGCTCGCCGATGAGCTCAACCCCCTCGCGCGCCGTGCTGGCCCGCTCCATGACGATGCGCGCCAGGTCGCTGTACTGCAGGCCATGCTGCGGATTCGGCGTCATGTCCAGCAGCTCCTGGCGGTTGTCGGCCCAGACGTCACGGACCGCGACGCCCTTCTCGTTGAGGCCGCCGTTCGTCAGCGGCGCCGGGAACCCCTCGTAGTCCGAGTACTCCATGCTCAGGTAGCGGAACGTGTGGTTCACCTGCGGGATCTGGATGAGCTCCCCGGGGAAGGTGGCGGCCGAGGTGACGCCGACGGTGACGGTGGCGTTGGACGGGTGGTCGCGCGCCGGGAAGAGCTGAAGCCAGTGGCTCGAGACCTCCTCGCCGGTGCCGCCGACGAGGACGCTGCCGTCCGCGGTGAGGTTTTTGCCCACGTAGAAGGCATAGCTGGCGCGGGCCGGGGTGGCCAGCCAGATGGTGGCCGCCAGCGAGGCTAGGGGCAACATGTTCTCTTGGGGGCTTTGGGGGTGGTTGCCGAGAACAGCCGTGAAGCATGAGGTTCTACGTGTGGTCCAACCTCGCGGGTGAGGATTTCCCCTTGGACAAATACTTGGCGGCTTGCAAGCCTTGGTCTCCGCAAGGTTGCTCACGTGAACTCGGGAAATGACATATCCACAATTCGGTGATGATGCCTCTTATCTCGACGGCAATCCTGCACCCTTGAACCTAGCAAACTACTTACTCCGGCAATTATTCAAGAGAATTACTAGTAGTCGCACATGGTTCAAGCCTATTCGATTGTGGAAATGGCATGGGTTGGCCTGAAGTAGTTTGAATTCAGGAATTTGTGTGTGAATGCCGTGGTCTGATTCACCTGATCAATGTGCGCTCGCAAATATTCATGGGTGCCAAGACACACACCGACTCTAAGTTATGGGGAGGTCGTCTAACGAATTCTGATGAGCGGAGTCGAGGGTTCCCGCGAGACTAGAGAGCGACCAAGCCACCAGGGTATTTGTAAAGACAACTTGTAATTAATTTTCCTCTACCGCTTCTGGACCCGTACACTGGAACATTGAGGAAATAGTTACATATGTTCAGCAGTAATCCTCATCCTTGGTACCAGCATCCCCATCACTATTAGAGAAGAGGTCACTCGTCCCGACGGACCGGGTGAAAACGGACCCTGAACTCCGGCTTCTCCCACATGGCGTACCTGGTGAAGTCACGATCAAAGTCGGCCCGCCTCTGGCCCGCGGCCATCTCGACATCGAAGCTCCAGAGCACCTTCGCAATGAAGAGCCGGGTCTCCCGCCACGCCAGCTGCGTCCCGAGGCACTGCCTCGGGCCGCGGCTGAAGGGGAAGAAGTGCTCCGTCGCGTCGTCCCTGAACGCATCGTCCCAGCAGGGGTGGTCGCGGGGGAGCCACCGCTGGGGCCGATAGGCGCGCGGCTCGTGGAAGTACCGGGCCGACCGCGTGAAGCGCAGGTGGTTGTACTGCACCACTACGCCCTTGGGGATATGCCGCCCGTCCACCATCGCCCCGGGGCTGACGCGGGGCATCCCGTGGCTGCCGATGACAGTCATGCGCAGCGTCTCCATCAGAGCAGCGTGCAGGTATTTGAGATCCGCGAGCGCCTCCGGGACTATATCCTCGTACCTCTCAAAGGCACCCCGGATCTCCTGCACCAGGAGCCGGTAGGTCTCGGGCTCCTGGACCGAGAACATGATGCAGCACTGGAACTGGCTGCCGACGGGCTCCCAGCCGGCGAGCAGGATCTGCGCCACGATGGTCGCGAACTGCGACTTGCGCTCCGCGTCGGGCTCGTCTGCGTCGGCCGGGAGCAGCTGGTCGAAGTGGTCCAGGTGCTTGGTCGTGCCGCGGCGGGCGATGCGGCGCTCCAGCTCCTGCATGTTTGTCTTCTTTGCGCTGATCATGTTGAGTAGACCCCTCGGCGGAAGCAGCAGGATCTGAAACGGGGCGAGGGCTGGGAATTTCTTGAGCACCTGGCTCGTGGTCAGGAAGAAATTGAGACCCCAGATGGAGTTGAGAAACCTGGAGCTCTTGCCTGTTACCACAATTAGCATACCTCGGTTCTGTGTGTTTGTCGTTGGTGGCTTACGGTGTTCTAGTTGACGCATCTCATTGCTGGATGTCAAATCAGCTGAAATGTCCATTGCCGTCCATTCTGACCACTGTCGTACGATGTCGGTCAGTTTACCAGTCGTCATGGAACACAGAGATTCAAAACTCAGGTGGCGTTCTCACTCTTCTTAGCTCGACCCCTTCTTCCCTCGCACCAAGCTCGTACATGCTCTGAACGAAAAGGTCGATGTACCTGTGCATGGTGGGCTCCTTTGCTCTGATGGAATTGGTGGAGAAGGCAGGCGTGACTTGTTTCACCCGCTGGCGATGGAGCTCCGGGACGGTCTCCCAAGTGATGCCATTGAATCCTCCCATCACGTCGAACATGGGAGTTTTGGGGAAGTGCTCCAAGTTCTTGGTGTGTGAGCCGTAGATGTCTGATTTCGTCCTTAACCAATTTGCGGGTACGTCAGGTATGCACATCATACGTACCGGCCGCTGCTTGAGGTGTGACAAAGACCAATTCATTTGGAGCTATTCGAACGACATCTCCGTATTTTCGCATTGCTTTCTCAACAACAAATGGATATTTCCCCCCGAACCTTGAAACGGTCGTTGGAAACAAATGTTTGAATGTTGAGATGAGATCTGTAGGCAGGACTCACCAGTGGTATGCATACCACACATTTGAGACAGCCGCAAGTCTCGGCCCTGAATACTTCGACAGAGGGTGGTAGTAAAGAAGGTAAAAACACCGCAGCGACGCGTATATCAATACCTAACCGAATCAGTTGTGAACGGCGACATGCTGAGGATCTTCTTACACCTGCCAAAATAAACAAAGGCCACTGGCTTATTCTAACATCCAGTATGCTGTCGAGACGACCTTGAAAAGCCATCGTGCCAGATCACAGGGTTGAGCGAAGACATCAAATGGGTTGAGCGAAGACATCAATGGGCTGTGCGGAACAATCAAGATTGAGAACAGAATGATTCACCGTACTGTAAGCTTTAAATTGAGGTCAGGGGACATCTGTAGGATCAATTAGTTAGCGCCAGTGAGCCCCCCTGATGCAACCCAGGTGCTGTGCCGCTTGCTATCACTGCATGCAGTTGGTTGGACTAGTGACGCATTAAACCTCGGATGCTACCATACTATGCTACCATCTCGGACCAACTTCACGTAGCGGGGGTACGAGACAGGAGGGAGTGCTCTCGCCCAACCACGCAAGTTGGATTTGTTAGATGTAGCAGCGGAAAATCTAACGCCTCCTGGTCGGCATTGAAAACATCTTCGTACTCAGTTTCTCTACTGCTTTTTAACCTCAAAAGGCTCACCCAGCAGGCTCTTGTAATGTGGCCCTAACTAAGAATATGACTTTTCTTTGTTTAAATTAGGAACTCACTACATGAAGGCCAAACCACCCTGCAGAGGTGTGAGCGCATGCATTTTCCTCCGGAGTGCAGCATTCTTTCATGCCTCCAGTACAACATTATTCATCATCAGCCAAGGTATGCATGGCTTGAAAGCCATGCGTTGACGTCTGCGGTATCACGTTCAGCCCAGCGTCTTCTGACCTCCATCCCTTCCAGCTTCTGCTCCAAGACCTGCTGGTATACCTTCGAATCGCGGGCCGCAAAGTAAGACCTCACATCGGATATCTGCTCCTCGGTGCCGAGGCCATCGAGGACAACTCCAAGCACCTTGCATCGCAGGTCCACCGGAACAGAGGTCTCGATGCGGACCCAGTTCTCTTTCGTCCAGTCCCAGAGCGCTGCAGCTCCGTGGGCTGAAGAGCCCATGAGCCATACCAGGATATGCAACTGCCGAGTCCTAGACGTTAGACCAGAGGCTCCTTTTGAGCTTGGCGTCGCGCTTGTTCCTTGGGGTAACTCACGTCTTGATCTTTGACGTCCTGTGTGAACGCAAGTTCCAGATCCCATCTAACCAGCTCCGTCGTGCTGGCACGGCCGAGACACTCGAGAACCAGGTACTGCTCATCCTCACTGTGAGATGTTCGCCAAAGATTTAATAACTTGTCGAGCTCTTCCCTGCCTCCGTATTTAGCGACTATTCCGAAGACCCCCCATTTGAGCGATGGATGGATCCCCTTTCCGTCGCCGGCTGTCCACCGAGCAAACATCTCACGCGCTGCGGCGATGACCCTGATTCTTTCGTTAGCATGCGAATCCGACAAGTTTGGGCATCTGGGGAAGGCCAGGAACTCACTTTGTATCCCCGGCCAGACCAGCGGTACTAAACATAGATGCTTTAAAAGAGACCATGTCATCGCTGTCCTGATCTGATATCTCCCATCCCAGCTCACGACACTTCGGCCCAATGATGTCGGCTACAGCATTTTCCAGCGCATTAGTAACCGAGGCTTCACGGAACTTGAAGGCTGCCTGGACACTTTGCAGGTTACGGTCAATCATTTCCCAGACGAGGTGCTCCTTTCGAGGCATGAGACCAAGCGACAGGTCCAGAAGCTCGCTGGTCTTGTTGACTCCTGCGGCGACCAGTGCCTTCAGATCACAGGAAAGCCCGATGCAGTCCCGCAAAGTCAGCCTGCCGTCTGCAGCTGCCTGCATCAACTTGCATAGATGACCTGTCGAGTACGACACTCGACAGAATGCGGTATGGTCTGCGTTGACTTTCAGGAAGGTTAACTCCGGAGTGTGAATAGTTAGCCCCTTGGTGTTAGCGTCAATGATCTGGATCCCATTGTCAGACCGAATGCCGAGACGTAGAGGATACACATCATCAAAGGCTTGTGCCTCTTCCCCAGGACTGGATAGGAATCTGTCCTGGCGAATGCGTAGGGCCACAACTGTCTGGGACTCGTCTCCAGTGACTTCGGTTACGGTGACTACCGGGTATCCAGGCCTCATGGTCCAGACATGCATTTTGTCGCGGATGGGAACAGCCGTGGCCTCTTCGATTGCAGACCATAAATCGTCAGATGTGGTGTTGCCGTAAGCGTATCGTTGTAGGTACAACTTGATGCCTTTCAGGAATCTGCCCGGCCCAAGTTCGCCTGAGATCATCATGAGAATCGCACAGCCTTTCTCATAAGAGATGTCGTCGAAAGCCTGCTTCGCTTCGGCAGCATCTCGTATCTCCATCTCCACCGGGTGACTTCCGTTCAGACAGTCGAGATCAAGAGCAGCTTGCAGGGAGCCAGCGGTGTAATTGTCCCAGACATGCCAGCTGGGGAACAGTTTGTCGGTCGCCAGCCACGACATGAGCGTTGCGAAGCCCTCCTTCAACCACAATCCGTCCCAGTATTTCATAGTAACCAGGTTCCCAAACCACATGTGTGCGAGCTCGTGGAGTACAGTCTCCGCGATATCCTTTTTCTTTTCGAGCGAGCTTTCTTTAGGATCCAGCAGCAAGCAGTTCTTCCTGGAGAGGATCAGGCCCCAATTCTCCATGGCGCCGCCCGAGAAGTCAGGGACGGCCCCGAGATCCAGCTTTGGTAGTGGATACGAGATGCCGAACGTGTCTTCGTAGAGTTGTAGGCCCTTGACTGCCAGGTCCAAAGCAAACGCTGTCTCCTCTTCGCACCCTACCGGGCAAACAATAGATATGGGTAGCTGGCTTTCAGAATGGATTTGGGCGAGTGGGCCGGTCATGAGGGCAACCAACTGTGACATTTTCAGACCGCGAGTCACTCAGTGAAAGGGGCGTGAGTTGATCTTACGTAAGTGGACATCCGGGGAGTGGTTCCGAACACAACCAGCTTCTTGGACTGCGGAAGCAGGAAATTGTGTTCAGTTGGCATGTTTGAGACACACAAGAATGACTGATCCACGACAGCAGACATGTGGAACTTTGCTTCGATATCCGGCTCGTCGAAACACGGAAAGACCTTGTCACATCAGCTTCTTGTACCGACGGCGACCAGCAGATTCGTACCTGTCTGGCGTATGTGGGTTCCATGTGCGTCGTCGCAATGCGGTACTCGGTCTCGTTCGACGTGTAGGTGGATTGGTAGAAGCCTTCGAGGTCGCCTTTGAACTTCCCGGTATACGTGAGGCGGATATTGACGGCCTTTAAAGGGCAGAGTTCTTCGCATACTGCGAACTCCACGGTTTCCTCCGCTTCGTCATAACTGATCTAGCGTTAGAATGCTTCAGTGTGATGCGGGATGGAGTGGCAAGGTACCGTATAGACTTCAGGTCGACCGCCAGTGTAGTGCCTCGGTAGTCGACTGTGACTCCCGAAATTTTGATGAACTTGCAGTGCATCTTGATGGTTGACGTAGGCTTGACCACGTCACAGCTGTGCGGAGTCCTATTAGGTCCGTCTCTTCTGCTTCCCGACTCCTTAGAGAGGATGACTCACTGGATGGAAGTGATTCCGCTGAACTTATCTGCTTCAAAGTGAGGCTCCAAGCATATCTCGTAGAGGTTGGGATTGAGTAGCGCTGGAAGCAGTCTCCTCTTGGAATCTGCCATGGCTGACATGGATACGCGCTAGCGGTCGCACAGGCAACGACGGACAGTATTGTGAAGCTCTTCGGTTTGGAGAGCTTGTTGGTGCAAAGTAGGTGTTGGGTGGTTGACAAACCGTGGTAGAGCGTTTGACGTACCATCAGTCAGGTCATTTAACTGCGCAAAACGTGTGCAATTCGCATTCCTGGCGTGTCGGCTTAGAGACGATCCAGGGCTCGCAGTGAGAGACCAACACCACACTCCACAGATGAGAGCCAATCTGTGAGTGGGTGCCGTCACAGGACTGGAGTGACTGCCAGACTTGGCGCACGTGCAACCTCCAATAACCAGGCTCCGAGTTCTCAGACCACTCACACACCTAGATACAACCTTCCTGCTTTTTCCTTGCCTAGCTACATAAGATTTTCCTCGCTAATGTACAAAATTGAGAAGTTTTTGAGTGGCTAGCCTCTTCTACCACATTTCCTTCTTGAATGACTTTGTCCCAAAGCGTTGGAAGGCTGTTGTTGATCTTGCTGGCTATAGGTTGTTGAGCAGGAGACTCACTGGCATTGTAGACTGGGTGAGAGTGGCAAGGCTCGGAACATTTGAATGTTGCGGTCGGCGTACCAAACGTCATCCCTTCACCTAATGATCGTTTCATGCTATCTCTCAGCTTAGATTAGAAGTCGAGTACCTATGTACCTAGACTAGAACCACATGACTTCGCTTACACGAGGGTATGCTGCTAACTACATGTTTGTAACACATTCCACATCACCGCGAGCGCGAGCTGAACTCTTCGAAACCTCCTCCCGGGGGCTGACCTCAACAGAGACAAACTGGATTTCTTCTGCAGGTCCAGCGCTTCCACCGACTTCAACTTTGATACAAAGTATCGCCCACGAATTCGACCAGACCATGTTTAATTTAAAACTATATTATAAGAAAATAAAATAAACCTATTATTAATATTAAGTATACTTAACTTAATAGTGTGGCAGTCACAGTGGGGTGTGAATGGGTTAATTCAACGGGCCAAGCAACTAGCGTTGCGGAGGCTTCTATTTAAAGAGACAGCTGCCACCCATTCTGCTAAGAAATAGACTCCTTAAACTGCTTAACTTACAACACAAACCACAAATTACGACCCCCCAGGCTGTCTCCCACATTCTCATTAACTTTCTTCAGAGCGTATATTGTATAAGTAGGTGAATGTGAAGTAGGGGGAGGGCTTGCATAAAGGTGGGCAGAAATCTGGAGCCTTAGGCCATAGTTCTCTGGAGATGCGTCATTTCATCGGGTACTGACCATGGCTTCTAATATATTCGTACTGTGTAATACAGGAGTTGCTCCATTCTCATGGACACTGATTTCTTGCTGAGCTACCAAAACATCCAGGCTAGCTTCCTCAAACTTGCCTGCACACACTCTCTCGGACACTGCTTTATGAAACCGGTACACTGTGACAGACTGTGGTATTATACCTACGTAATGAACCTTGATAAATTGATCAGGTAGAACTAAAATCTCCGAATCTATTCCTAAATAACAAATACAGGAACTTGCAGAAGTGAAATTGATGACTGGAAGTGATACCTCCGATTCTTTTAGGAGCTTTACCGGGTCTGTAAGCTAGCGTGTCCTAGTAACACGGGCGCAAGATTAGGCGCTGGTGGTCAATCCGATGCTTTCGGCTGATTGTTCTCTGGAATGCCAGTCTCAGATACGACAACAGTGGCAAGCCCTTCCATTACGGTATCGACGAGGTCAGAGATGGAACCGCCCCCGAGGATCTTAAGGGTAGGCACATTGACTCCAACCTCCTTGAGGAACCAGGCGCGCATGTCAACCGCCACCAGCGAGTCGACGCCCAGTTCCACCAGAGTTGTCGACTCGTCGAGCTCGCTTTCCTCGGGGAGGCGCAGCACACGCTTCAGCTGGGCGAGGAAGCCCGCACTGACGATGGCGCGGGCCGCCTCGGTATTCTGGGCCGATTCAAGCTGGGCCTTGACCTGCATGACCCTGCCTTTGCTTGAGCTCTGAGAAGCGACTTTGCCATCCTCTCGCTTGATGAAGTGGCAGAACTTGACGTCTCGGCGGTGGGCGGCAATGACTTCAACATCGGCAGGTAGATAGTTGATGCCCATGACAACTTCGGCAGGGCCTCTCGCCTTATTGTCAGGTCGGCCGCTCAGTATAGCTTCTGCGAACAAGGTATGAAAGTCCTCTTCGCTACTGTTGATATAGCCCAAGTACTTGAAGTAGTCAAAGTCGAAGCCACTTTCCTCCCGCGCCGCAAAGCCAACGCCTTTAACAGCAGGGATGACCATGGCGGACCCAACGACTCCGCGCCTGTCCCGTCTATTGCATACCAGAGATGTCATGAAATTGTTGGCAGCTGAATAGTTGCTTTGGCCTGTCCATCCGATAACCGCAGTAATACTCGACGCGACAATAAAGAAGTCCAAGGAGCTGTCGTCGTGGAACAGATCGTCCAGCAGCTGTGTTCCCAGCACCTTGGGCTTGGCAACTTTTTCAAACTGCTCATAGCTCATATTGGCGAAGAGCCTGTCATCCAAAACCATGGCGCCGTTGACAATGCCACCGATTGAAGGAAGAGTGGCCATGATGGTGTCTTTCATGGCGCGAAGCGACTCGCCAGATGTGACGTCGACGGACATGGCTTTGACTACAGCGCCAGGATACTTGCTTTCCATATCGGCGATGAATCTCGGATTGACCCTGGGGTTTCGACTGGTTAGGACGATATGACGAGCCCCATGTGCCATCATCCACCCGGCAAGAGACTGGCCGAGTTCGGTCGCCATTCCGATGAAGACGTAAGTCTTGTCTGCACCGAAGAGAATGCCGGAGTCGATCGGCTGAACCTTGACATCCACCTGATCGGCATTCCAGTCGACCACAGCCAGGCCCTCCCTGACAGCAGTGCGGTCAACAACATCCCCGAGGGCTATGGAGCTGTCCTCTGTCGTGGATAATGACACCGAGCCGCCGCCCTCACCAGAATCGTACCAAGCATTTCTTAGCATCAGGGCCACCACGGTCGCCACAGCCGCATCAGTAGTGCAACCAGTGGTCATACCACAGCCCACCGTACTGCTCAGCAGCGCCTCCTCCGAGATCCTGAGACATGAGGCCGGCAAGAACTTGGAGATGGCAACTCTCAGAGCCTCTGACCTCGCACCGCGCGAAAAGTGTACAAAGACAGCGGTGTTCGCTGGCACCACCTCTTGGATGAGATGCCGGGGATTGTCGGGATGGAGAAAGACAGGCTCCGAGCCGTCAAGTCCTTTCAATCCCCTGTCTCTTGCAGGCCGCGACGACGTAAACCTCGCGCTGACACGCTTGCGGTTGGCTTTGGCTAGAATAGCCAGGCGCACTTGAGGATGGGACTCGTTGACGAGTAGCGTGCTTCCAGCAGGGGCCAGGGCGAGTATCTGCTCGGCAACCAGGTTGGAAGCCACTGATACCAGCGCCGACGCTGAGGGAGCGTTGGCTATGGGAAGACAGCAGGGTGCAGGAATGCTGGCAGGAGACGACGCACAGCCAGATAGTGCCAAAACCACCTCCGCCGTCTCGACATCGACTCCAGCACAGACGCGGAAAAACCCATAGTGGCCGACGGCCACACTCTGTAGAAGTGAGTGGGTAATTCTGATTGTTCGATACTCGGCGAGAGACCCTGGCGGTCTGATCAGTTCCAACGGTGATACATCCTGCAACTCAAAAGAAAGGTCCTGAACGCCAGCTAGCCGGATTGTGTCCTTGGCTGTATTGACAGGCTTCATGACATCGCGACGGTGGGAATTGTACCGCAAATTCTTCTCATGGTCAGGCTGAACCCTGGTGATGAGTTGGCGTCCATTTTCAACAAAGATTTCAGGCTCTGCCGTCCATAAGAAGGCACCGGTATCCGTGCCCCATGTATGAAGCATGAGCTGCCTCAGAAGTGCTTCGACTAGGACAAGTGCTGTGTCTGGTTGAATGCCGAACTTGTCGTCCAAATCAAACACTTGTACGTTCAGATCAGGGTACTCATTGGTGACAGTCCTGATAATACCATTCATCATGTAGCTGAAGTGATTCGAATCGCGGGAGCCGCTGGTCGTCCAGACCACAGTGCCAGCAGTAGTCCACAGCGTCTTCAACGCCTCGAACCTGGAATTTGTCAAAGTTTCCAAGTAAGGCCTGTCCAAATCAGTCACGCAGAGGACGGCGACCGACCCATCAATGGAGCTCGACTGGGCCATGGCGGAGCAGGCGTAATCTTCGACAGTACGAAACACTTCTTTGCGCCGAAAGCGGCATCCAACAGCGGCATAAATCTGCCACGCCAGCTCCTGAATGGGCTCAGTAATCCCACCGATAATGGCCAGTGCATCCGTCCAGATGCCAGGTGGGAGGCCCGCCGCGGCCAGGGGCTCGCGCAGCAGGTTGACCTTGTCATCGATGGCCTGGGCAACAAAAACGTTTGTGGGAAGAGAGGCACTGATATCTGATGTCACAGTATCGATGCCGCTGAAGCCAGCCTCCCTTAACGTCGCATCCCATTGCGGTAAAGCAAGCAGAGGCCCCCAAGGGCGGTCTGTGTCGGCGCCGATCCACCAGTCCGGCAGTGTGCCGAGCGTCATTCCGCTGAAGAGCAGGTCGGTGGAAGTGAGCTCGGCAACGACGAGGAACCCACCGGGCTTTAACAGCTTGCGCACGTTGGCTAAAGAGCCTTTGACATCCACCGAGGTGTGTAGCACATTCACAGCGACCACCACGTCATGAGAGCGCTCGCTGAAGCCCTGAGCGGATGGCTCCTGGTCCATATCAAAGGTTTTGAACGCCATACGGTTGGCCTTTTCCACAGATCGTTCGTCATCTGGCAGAAATAGACTGGTGGAGACGTCAGTGAAGGTTGACGACGAGTAGCCCTGAAATTTAGTCTCCAGCACTGCGCCTGTGGTGGTACCTATGCCGGCGCCGATCTCGAGAATGTTCGCGCCGGGGAATCGATGCGAAATCTGGCCCATAATGCGAGCAATCCAGCGAAAGGTGGGGCCGTAGAAGAGGGCGTCCTCGGCGAAGAAGGCGCGCAGTAAACCATTCTGGTCCATATGATCTACCATAGACTGGCCCTCCCGAATCGCATCAACCAAATTGTCGCCGACCACCTGCACGAAGCGGACGTCCTTACGGTCCGAGTACCGCGCCAGGAGAGGGTCGATCTCTTTGCTGGTATCGTTGTTGCAGGAGTCTGGCACCTTCTCACTCTTGCCGCTGCTTATGATGTCTACCATGCGGTCACACCAGGCCAGGTAATGTTGATAGTGTGGGAGGAGGTTGAAGCGCTCCTCAGCAGGAATGGCGGCCGCTGCATTACGTATGTACCAGTACGATATGCGGTCAACATCTTTGTACAGCTGCACCTGGTAGGCAGACAATAGCTCTCCGGCACTGGCCTGCTCGCCATCTGGCTTGCTCACAGCATACGTGAGGCGCGAGAACATAGGCTCGTCATCTTTAGCGGTGGCTCGAGAGAAGGGAACAAATGACACACCCTCCAACTGAATGAAACCCTGTGGATGTTCGCTTTCTTCGGTGTCTAGGTAGATGTCCCCCACAATCTTGGACGATTCCTGACTTCGGACCGTACTTTTGTAGCTCACGCGTGACTCGTTGCCTCCATCGCCCAGCGAGGTGAAGAAGGTGTTGATAGTAATGGTATCCACTGAGACAGGCATGTAGAGAGAACAAATCCGGCCATCGCCCGGGAACGACCATGCAGCAAAGATAGTCTGCGAGGGCGCCGGTCAGAAAACGGGAATATTCAAGAGAGAGTATTGAAGAAATCAGCACAGAGATGTCCTTACCTGTAGAGCAGAATCTAGCATACCAGGATGCAGGATAAGGTCGTCATACCACGCGGAAGAAGACTGATCAACCAGCTTACCCGCGCTGTACCCGGGCTTACGTGTAATGTTTGAAAGGCCTCGGAAGGGAGGCGAATAGTCGTAACCGATTAGGGACAGATTCTCGTAGAAATATGCCTCAGGGACATGTGCCAAGTTGTAGGCACTATCCTTCGCCGGAGGCAGCGCGTTGGGCTCGGGTCGAGAAAGCTGGGCCTGTGCCTTACCCTTGGCGTTGAGCACGATTCTGGTCCCCCTGCCCTCGGGCACGGAATAACAAGCCCAGTCTGCCATTAAACGGCCATCAACTCTCGAGACAGAAGACACACTGAAGATGGTTTCCACGCTGGCAGAGTCATCGTTGAAAGTAATCGCGCTCGGAATCTCGACATTGGTGAGCTTCAGCATGCTGATATTAACAGCAACGTCGCGGCCATAGTCGTGGGCGAGGTGAAGCGAGTTAATGGCCTCGATCGCCATGCTCACGTATGCAGTAGCCGGGAACACCAACTGGCCTTGCAACATATGGCCCCTGAGCCAAGGCATTTCGCTGGGTCGCAGTACGTTGCGCCATTGGAATTCCCCAGGTGTGAGAGCCTCTGAGCATGGCATTCCCAGTACAGGATTCGGCACTTCCCTCTCGGCCCTGTGCTTGTACTGATTGGCAACTCGGCTATCGTGCCAGAAGGTTTGCCGGTGATCGAACGGATATGGAGGCAGGTCGGTGATCACACGCCACTCGTCATGTTTAAGCCTTCCGGACAACAACGCCTGTACGGCGGTGAAGTGCACACTCTCGTCACCTAGTCGGGCCCAGATGTAACCGAATGCGGCGCTCAGTTGCTCGACGTCGTCTCTATCACGAGCAAGCAGTCCTGTGTAAGGACAGTCCGCGCTGACAGCGGCCAACGCTGGACCTTTGAGTGCAGGATGGGGTCCAACCTCAACGGCCAAGTCAAATGAGCCAGACGTCTCAACGGCGCTCGCCAAAGCACCGGAAAACAGGACCGGCTTGCACATATTTTCAACCCAGTACTGGTTTTTCAGATCCTCCCCCTGCATCACCTTTCCCTCGTACACGCTGGAGTACCAGAGAGTACTTGAGAACTCTTGAGAGGTCTTTGCAAGTGGCTGTACACCACAGCCTTCCAGCGAGGCAAGGTAAGGCGCCGCGCACGTGGTCATGTGTGCGCTGTGATAAGCAGTGTCAACCTGAAGCTTCCGGGCAAACGTTCCCTGGGCTTTCAGAGTTGCTACTGCCTCATCCACAATGTCGGCATCGCCACTCAGTGTAATGCTCGAGGTAGAATTGACTGCGGCAACCTGCAGCCTGCCGGCAAACCTTTCCTCACAAAACGCAGTAGCGAGATCAAGAGAGGTACCAACAGCCATCATGGCCCCACGGGAGGCATGATGGAAGGGGCTTGCGGCCAACTTGGCGTGAAGACCACGGAAGTAAGCGATCAGGATAGCATCTCGAGCTGACACGAGACCAGAAGCGTAGGCAGCACCAATCTCTCCTGACGAATGTCCAACAACAGCGTGAAACGAAACGCCGGCAGAACGTAGAATGTCTACGAGGAGGATTTGCACCAAGGTACAGAGGGGCTGCGAGAGCGCAGCCTCAGTAATGCGAGATGTATCCTTGCCTGCTAGTAGCTGTTCCTTGAGCGTCCACGACGGCCGCTCTGCCGCGTTGGGGATAGTACGCAAAGCTTCGTCCATCTCATCAACGCGGCACGCAGCGAAAGATGATAACTCGATCAGGCGCGCCCCCATTCGAGGCCACTGCGCGCCCTGTCCCGTGAAGATACCGAGCACCTTCGGCTTTGCTTTGTTTGCACCAGATCGAATCCCCAGATCCGCCTGGCTTACGACAAGACCATCCAGCGACTTGATCGCTTCCTCTATGGTCGGTGAGGCAATATATGCGCGGTAGTTGAGCGTGGTGCGCCGTTCTTGTGCTGTATAGGCAAAGTCCTCGAGGTTGACGCCAGGATTTGCCTTCAGATACTCGAGATGGTCCGACAGCATGGCCCGAAGAGACCACTCAGAAGTAGCCGAGAAGATGAGTGGAGTGAAAAGGACCTGGCCCGGTGGAGCAGACTGGGATTCGGGAATGTGTTGCTCCAATATACAATGGGCGTTGGTGCCACCAAAGCCGAAGCTGTTCACACTTGCTCTCCGTACCTGACCATCAACAGTTCTTGGCCACGGCTTTGCCGCTGTCGGGATCATCAGATTCTCATAGAAGGGAGTGATCTTTGGGTTAAGTGTTTGGAAATGTAGATTCGGGGGGATGACACCGTGTTTGAGCGCCAAAGATGTAGCTATAACGCTTGCGATGCCGGCAGTGCCCTCAGTATGACCTATAATCGTCTTTATCGAGCCCACGAGTAACTTTCCGACCTCTCCTGTGGCAGGAAACAGCGCCCGCGCGATGGCCCCGGCCTCCTGCGGGTCACCAGCTTGTGTGCCGGTACCGTGAGCCTGGAAGAATTGTGGGCGATCGACGATGTTGTTGATAGGATCCAAACCCGCGCGAGCGTAGCACTCGCGGATCAAGGCGGCCTGGGTAATGTTGCTCGGAATGGTCAGGCCTGGTGCAGCGTGGCCATCTTGGTTGACAGCCGTCTCTCGGATCACGCACTCGATCGGATCATTGTCAGCAAGCGCCTGCGAGAGAGTTTTGAGCAGGACAACCGCCACGCCTTCTCCACCTGCAAAATTGAGGATTTAGTGTCAACCCATCAAGAAAGCACCCCCGTGAGAAGGACGGAAGTGGGGTCTCATACGTGCATATCCATCGGCCGCATCATCCCACATAGCGCAACGACCAGCTGGCGAGAGCATCCCTAGATTGCTTTCGGAGATGAGCACAGCTAAAAAGAAGCAAGAATAAAAAGTCAGTGACCTTGGAAAACAGAGGCTCAAGGTAAGGATCACACGTACCTGGACTCAGAATCAGGTTTGTTCCTGCAGCCACCGCCATCTTGGACTTGCCGCTCCGTAAGGTCTGTACTGCTTGATCCAGAGCAACCAGGCTACTAGAACAAGCCGTATCCACACTCATACTAGGACCGTGCCAGTCGAAGTAATAGGAGATACGGTTTGCCACGATAGCTCTCTCGATGCCAGTGGCAGCGTACCGCGGCAAGGTCAGCCAGTCCCGGTTCAGGACGTAGTTGTAATCATCGGACATCTGGCCCACATACACAGCTGTATCCGAGCCGCGAAGAGAGTTTATTGGTTGTCCTGAAGCGCAGAGACCATCGTAGACTACCTCCAATAGAATCCGCTGTTGCGGGTCCATAGCTTCTGCCTCTGCGGGCTGAATGTTGAAGAAGTTCGCATCGAACCGCGTGATGTCATTTTCCAACCAATAGGACTTGGAGGCGTTTGTGGTGCCACTGTGAGTGCCAACAGGATTATAGAAGGGCTCAATGTTGAACCGATTTGATGGTGGCTTGCTGCTCAGATCCCGGGGACGTTGAAGAAGTGACCAAAGTTTGGACGGTGTGTCGGCACCCCCAGGGAATCGGCATGCTGTGCCGATTATGGCGATTGGCTCGCTCATGGTCGATAGAGTTGGCGAGATCTGGATACGAAGACTGGTGATGATGGCAATGTAGATCCCTGAGAACCTAGCAGAACCAAGGTTGACGACCTTCAGATTCCTATGCTTGGAAGAGCTTGTCGAAAGATTCCGGGAAAAACTGTAACAGTTTGGGTGAATGTAAAAGAAGCTAGAGGTAGAGAATTAAGTGTGTCCTGGTCACCAAAGTAGCTGAAGCTATTGACAGTTTGCACGAACGACTGGTAATTTCTCAAGAAGCACTTTATAACGAGTTCTACCGAATCTGTGTCCGAGGCGTGATGTTACAAGTTCTTCCGCGCGAAGACGAAGTTCATTATCATGGAGGATAGGAATGGGATTCGCAGGCTCGGAATCCTAGATTGTGTCGAATAGCGACATGATAAGACACTACTACCTGACTCTAGCCGCAACTGTTCTGCTTCTGGGCCCTGGAATGATGGCCTGGGTGTGATTTCGGGGGCCACAGGAACAGGATCCCGTTGCGACTATTGGTATCGGAGCGTCGCTTGGCCGCCCCCAATGACATACGAGTGAGATCGGCGCTGACTCTACCAGTGTCCGGATTCATGCCACCGAACAAGCATTGGACTTCCCCTTTGGGACTTTGATGACCCTAACTCCGATATGTACACCAGTCGGATGTGCAAAGTGATATCATCGATACTTACATGACTGTTCGCTTTCTTCCATCCCCGGAAGACTACATCCTAGCCTACTCAGGCAAGTAATCTAGCTCTGGCTTTGGGAGAAGGGACATCCTCAGATATTGTAACCGCGAAACATAAACATGAGCTGTTAGTATCCGTCAGCGCCCTCTTTTTGGAAACAGCGAGCGATCCCAACTTTCATGAACTCAGCTGCCAACGCCATTTAAGTCACCAGAACACGACTAACACGACTAAATTACTCAAATTTCAACCCACATCTTGATCTAAGCGCTTCCACGCTTAATACTTAAGAATCTCCTCAGCCGTTTCATTGGACAGCCATCTGGGAGGGCGAATAGACGACAGGGAGATACCACCAGGATCGGCCTTGCAACAATTTAAAACGAACACCTTCACCGCACAGAGTTTGGTTTTGGTTTCAGAGACGGACCAATAATACCAAAAAATGTCACCTCCCAAGCAAGTAGTCATAGTGAGTAGAGCCAATGGTTCCATCCACTAACGTACTCAGGATCGAATCGTTTTTAGAAGTCGCTAACCTGACAACAGGTCGGTGGCTCCATTGCGGGCTTGCTACAAGGCCTTCAACTCAAGCGTCTAGGCAGTGAAGTCGTCATGCTGGAGCAAGACCCAAGCAAGGAACGGCATAACCACGAATCTGGAATAACTATTGGCCCGAGCGTTGTCGCCCTGCTGGACAAATATGATGCTGCCGGTCGACCAGTAGCCATCCCAGGAGACTTCTTAAGTGCTTCCTGGCGAAAGCACCTTTGGGTGATCAATAGGCCGTGGCATTCAGAGATGAGCAACTGGGGCTGCCTCTACAACGTACTTCGCGCCAACTTTGACGGCATGGTCTCAGCAGCGGTGCCGGTTGCGCCCGCTCCGAGAAAGGGTGATGGCAAGGTCGAGTATCGCTCCGGCCAGCGGGTGAGGGGCATATTCGATGACGCGGACAAGCGCAGAGTCACCGTGGAGTTCACAGACGTGACCACCGGTGTGAAGGGGAAGCTGACCGCAGACCTCGTTCTTGGCGCGGACGGCGCACACTCCACCGTCCGAAGTCTGATGGGTGCCAGGGAAGGGAGGGACTACGCTGGGTACATTGCCTGGCGAGGAACTGTCCCGGAGCGCCTGCTGTCAAAGGAGGCTGCTGAGTTCTTCTCCAACCGGCTGAACTTCTGTCTGCTCAGAGGGACTTATCTTATAAGGTGACTTCTTTGCTTAAATTGGGTTCTCCTCCTGTGAAACCGAACTGAAAGACGAAACTGACACAGTTTTAGCTACCGCATACCTACTGAGGAAGGCAATCTGGAGCCAGGCAAGCGTCTCATCAACTGGGTCTGGTACTTCAAGGTACAAGATAACACACCCGACATGGCCAAGATCTTCACCGATGTGAATGGTGTAGTCCATCACAACACGGTACCCCAGGGCCTAGTAAGTCCCAAGATCTGGGCCGATCAGAAGGCGCGATACTTTGATCAGTTCATTGAACCTCTCGCCGAGGTTGTGTCCAAGACGCAGACACCGTTCGTCACCAAAGTAGGAGATGCTGAGTGCCGTGCGGCTAGCTTTTACGACGGCCGAGTCATCCTAGTAGGGGACGCCTTCGCCGCCCACAGCTCGCACATGGGCATGGCTTCCGAGCAGGCCGCAAGACACTGCTGGCAAATGGACAGAGTATGGCGTGGAGACATCACACAGGAGCAGCGCGACCGGGAAGCGACGTTTTATGCCAAGAGATACTTGTTGATTAACAGAATGATTGGTCTGGGCGGCATGGAATGGTTCCTCACGTTGCTTTGGACAGTCTTCGCTTATGCGTGGCTCATGTTCCTGCACCAAATAGGTCGTGTCTAATGTCGCGAACAGGAATGAATATTTTACCCAGCCACAGAGGTAGTCAATACATTATAAATCCACAGTTGACCAGGCTTAAGTTTGACTGCTGCAATAAAGCTCAAGACCAAGTTGTTGCACTAAAAGGTGGTATGGCGTGTGACGATTACGGCGTCGCTTTTTGCGGTACGAGTCAACTTCAAGTTCATCGAAAAGCAGTGTTTCACCAAATTTTCCATATTTTGTTGTGTACTGGAAAATGTTCTCGAAATTTAATCAATTGTGCATGGTTGGATCCATCCAAGTGACGAAAAGAGAAAAGAGATTCTTCGATCCTGGAAATTCGGATTTTCAGTAGATCTAGGGTACTAATGTGAAGGCCTTCGATACTATACAATGCCTCGGTTACATTACTCCGCGTTACAATGTACCATGTCCATGACAAGAAAACCTCAGTTCCACGCCCTTCCCCCCCCCCCCCCTCCCTCCCACAAAGACCTAACGCCTCAGGTAGGAAGGGGAATGCTATAACAATCGACCGTAGCCATCGGTCTATCAGCACTCAAAGACGGCTGCGCCAGTATGTAGGTCTTTTGGAGATCCTCGTATTGACCGCCGACCATCAGCTTCAGTCTTGTGTTTTGAATCTCGGTGAGGCCGACGCCGGACTCCTCCATGTAGAAAGGCGAGCCATCGCTGGCATGACCGTACGCGTAGACGAAAGTTAATTTTGCCTTGGCCTCATTGCTATCATGTGTGTTGCCGATATGAATCGGGGCAGCGAAGCCGCCGTCAATCGTGCCGGTGAAGGAGGGGCCCGAGATGGTTCCGCCGACAATGGCTAGACACGGTTAATTTTATAGGTATAATAATAATAATATCTGGACAGATTAACATAGGTCTGTAAGTTATAACTCACGTTCGACGTAGCGAGTGCCGCCCTCCAGGAGTGGAATAGGGCCGACAGTCTGCCCAAGACTCACTGATGCGCTAAAGAGGTATGTGGGTGATGGTATCTTTGCATTGGGAGCCTGTTGTTCGTTGTTTGAGGATGTCATCGTAGAACTTTTGCTTAAGAAGACAACACTAACGGGTAACTCGTGGGTTGTTTTAATTGTAATTAGTTTTGGGCAACAGCAAAGACGCCTTGGCCCTGTATCAAATCTAATATCCTCCGTTTCCTACCATTACTCATACAGCAACAAAAAGCACGCTGTCTATTCTAATCACCATCGATGGTCGTTAAGCGGAGCTCATCTAGATGCATAGTCTCCGGAATGTGAAAGTGGGAATTCGGCGAAGAAATTCCTGCTGCAAGTCGGTAGAAAAATATGAGTAAGCCTTCGGAATCGGTGGTATTCCCAAAGCAGAAAATGTGTCTGACAGGAAGACTCCATTTGATGTTGTATCACCCCCCTCCGAATCACCTTCGGCGTTATTGCGGCAATTCTAGAAGCCTGCATACCTGGTATTCTGGATATCCTACAGTACATTTGATTTCATTCGGTCCACAAATACCATATGTCCGCATGCTTGAAGCTCTAGAGTCATACTAATTGCAAATCTATTGCCTTGTCCCCGATCCCTGCTTTTATGCTAGCTAGCCATCTCGGGTTGCGTGTATAACTTTAGAAACCGATGCAGACACAGCCGATGTACTTCCCCCGATCTGCATTTTCGTCTGGCCGATTCTATCCAGTTTAGGAGAATCCTGTTGTCCAACACACGAGACGTCACTGTTGGCTTCTGTTACCAGCAAGCTGCCAGTGCTGCGTTGGCATGTAATCCATTGCTTTTGACCAAGTACTCCGCATATACCTGGAATGCGCCTTGTGTAGCCTACATGCTGCAGCAGATCCAAATGGCTCAGCGCAGATCCAATCGGGGATTCTTTTTCTGGACAGAGTAGTACTCAGCCTAGTGAGAGTTGAGGACTCGGGGAACCAGTGCTTGAAACGGACTGTTGAGTCATCAGCCGAGTTACCATGCTTGGTGCAAAGGAATAATTCCAGTATAAAACCCCTATCTGTTGGAAAACCCGACAGGAAATTCACGTAGTGAGACTGTACGTGTGGTGGAGTTGGATCACATTCGCGCCCAGAGAGATGCAGCCAAATCACATTGATTCTTATCAGCACTGCGCCCATCGTAAGGCCAATGCCGTCGAATACTAAGCAACGTTCATCATACAAATACTGACCAGAATTATATACGGTACGAATCATCTCTCCTCATACCTCTTAAGCATCGCCTCAACATTAGAAACTTTCTCCTTCAGCTGTCCCGTGTGCTCCTCCACAGACTTGTACAAACGTCGATCCGTCAGCGAGTTCATCAGGCTGCCTTCAAACAAAATAGCTCTCTCTCCATCATTGATAACACTCCCCTGAAAGCTCGAAGCTTCACACCCTTTCCCACCAGCATCGGCTTGATGGATCGCAGCAACCCTCACGTCAGCTGGTAGACCCAACACACCCTCTACCCTGCCCAGGAGGCCCAGCATAAGAGACACAGCCTTCCTTATGGGGGCCCAGCCCGCACAAAGACAAATTGGCCGCAGTTGACTGAGCCGCAGGCCGCGGTACGCGTTTATGTCCCATGGCGCAAGTCGCGGTGAGTGATACGTCTCATTTGCGGCGAGTAGATATTTCAGATGGTCGTGCAGATAGTCAAAGACAGATGAGTAGACGCGCATGAGCTTCATGTAGCAGGTCAATGTGAGCAGAATCAAGGGCATGTCCCGGGCAGAGGGGTCGTCTTGGTGGTCGTGGAGTATAGCGGAGAGGAAGCGCTGTGAGAGGGAGAGGGCATCGCCGATGGGGAAGTTGTCTATCTCCGAGGGGCTGTACGCGGGGAGAGCAGACAGATCGTTTTCGTACTGTGACAGTGAAGATACGAGGGCTGCGAGCTCCAACAGGGACCCGGCGGGATTCGAGATCGTGGTGTCCGTGTCCATTGCATCCTCCATGGTGGTGGGCGCAGCCGCGATGGGAGGTGCGTGTTTGGGGCCAAGCAACAAATCTTGCGCTTCCAGATAGCGAGCCATGGCGAAAGTGTTGGAATCAGTCTTGGCACTGGCCGTTATGCCGTCCGGGAGTTCTGGGATTTTCGTATTGAAGTCGTAGGAGTCTTCCGCCCCGTCGAGAAAGTTGGATGGCTCAGAGTGAGATAGAGGTAGGTCCAGGCAGAGCGAGTTGAATATACGGTCCTCATGACCCCATAATTCGGATGGCATCTCTGTCTGCGCATCAGCCGCATCACCATCCACTCCAACCATTACCGGCGTATCATTGCCAGGCACTTGGGCAAGTCGCGAGGGGCTTTGTTTCGTCTGAATCGATGAACCTGATGGAGATTCAATGTCGCACAGAGCAAAGGCGCTCATCCCCGGGATCGTTGCTGTTGCCAGTCCGGTAGTCTTTGGTAGAGCCCGGCTGTCAACATCGGACGACTGCTTATGGCGCCCCGCCCGCGAGCGATTACTGAAGATACACGACTTGCTCAGCTTAGCCCTCGAACATCGCTCGCATGGTGCGGGGGAATTTGTGCCCGAGGATGGTACACAGCGGAGTTTCTGGGTCCGGCACCGGTCGCACGAGGAACGGCGAGGAGTGTTGGCTGCTGCGTCCATAGCTGTGGCTAAGTACCTAGGTAGGTAACACTGACCCCCGTCGGTCAAGGTTGTCTGTGAATTGTTTCTTTTTGAGATCAGGCAACTTTGCCCCTAGTACACTCGAGCTTGACTAACAGAAGGTTCAGGCCGAGCCAAAATGGTGATATACCCTCTTCTTGACGTGCGGGTTGTAAGTAGGTGCAATCCTTCGTTCTAAAGCTGACGCGTGGCCCCCAACTTTCAACAACAGGACTCTACAATGTGTGCCATCACGGCCGAAAAAACTCTGCAGCAGTCAGAATCCTGTCACCGGGTATTTGCGATGTAAAAATGCCGCCTGGTCTTGACCCAAAAAAAGAAACCTCTCATTCCGTGGCTTGCGTTGCTGGAGGAGATCCTTCAATGTTGCTTACGACCATGACTTATCCCTAAACTGGTGTCAACAATCGCATAAAAAAGTCGCCAAGCAAATCCTCAGCACTGTCCGTCAGATGGGCTGCTTATACATCTCGTGTACGCCAGAGGCTTTCTTGGTGCCTTCTATTGGCTGCGAGGCGATGGAGAACAAACCTGGTAAGACCTCTGGAGAGTGCACTTTTATGTGTGGTGAGCTTCAGCTGTTCATGTGAATTACGCTGGCTGCGTGGCTTGGTAAAGTATCTCGGGTTTCCCAGAAGGATCTGGTTCTCTTCATCTATCGATGTACACTTGGCTCCCAGTGGCTGTGTTGCCCCCCAGGGTGCCATCCTCGCCAACCTTGTGTACCAAGACTTTTCGGTCCTTCTCCTTAGAGGCCGTCAAGAACCCGTACAACGAGGCTTGTGATTGTCTTCACGTCCGTGGATTACTGCGCATGGGTCGAGAAGGCCAAGATGGACGATCAAAGTTTACCTAAGCTACTAAGTATTCATTCACACGACCAAATACTCGACCAAATACTTCACCGAAGTCATGGCCGCTAGATGGCTGAATTATTTGCCAGATTTAGGTCGTGTCAGGCTGGAATGAAAAGGATCTGGTATGTGCCACCCGAATTCACGCAAGTCCTTGCTGTGTTGCCCCAGCTGCACTTGAGTGTGGCTTGATTTCCTGCCCCCCCTTGGAAAAACTGCAATACAGTGCGGATTTTGATTGCGGCATCCTGCAACTTGGCTGCCTGGCAGGAAGCGACCCAAACTCGGGGCAGTAATGCCGACCTATAGAAAACAGTAAATTGGTCGATCTATTCTATGCCTGAATTTTGTCAGCATCCATCCTATGCACTGCTGGCGCCACTTGCTCTATCCGGCCGTGCCAGCTACCCATCCGGTAAAACTGATACGTCATGACACCCGCGACAACATCTAGAGCGTTCCCTGTCCAGGATGCAGCAAGAACCCATACCAACGTTTGAATAGACCCACGACCACTGCGAAGGGCTTCATATTGGAACTTGCATCAAATGATTCTAATTGCCTTGTGATGAGAAAGATATTTTGCAATAGGTTTCCAAACCTCCCACTAGGCTGAAAGTTTCTCGGACCAGCGCTTTTCTCAGAGGCTTGAGGCCATCGGGCCCCAATCTGAACTGCTTCCCCGAACTGTTGCTTTTCACAGCCCACATATTTGGGCTTCCAAGTAGGCACAAAACGAACGGCTCGGAAACTGGCTTATCCACATCCTGACTGGGCCTCATGCGAGGCGATTCAGTCGGAGCTTGTGTCCCTAGGCACTGGAAGGCTCACATTTCGCCCTCAAGCATACCGCTCCGGCCTATCTTCTTACTGCAGCAACACTGTCCGGAAGATCGTTTGCAATTGGATCGATGGGCGATGTGGATGCACCGCTGCATGCGGTCGAAACTAAAACAGTCCAAAAGCAGTATCAAGATAGCAAGCCGGTCTGTTGATCCGACCTCACCAATTTCGGACTTGAACCTACACTTTTCGTACTTCTTTCGCCCCCGCCGTAGGTCTTGGAGTGTCTGCCATATAGAATCTGTCACGGAACCATCGCTGTTGACTGATATTGATGAGATCGGAAGGAGTTCATTCTTGCAGGTTGATCCCGATGGCTGTGGTTGGAGACGACTGATACGTGAGCTTACCTAGGTTAGACTGTGCAGCACTCATTCTAGTGTCAGCATACGGCAACATGAAGTCGATGTTCCAGCCAAATAAAGCGATTTTGGTGATTTCCGAAGATTGCACTTGAGCGTTGGTAGAAACGGTTCCTGGTGGCTTGATGGGTTGCCAGGTTTCCATCTCCGAGTCCCAAAAGAAGTAGGTTTGCGGCCATTGTTCATCGAATTTCCATGGAATCACTTCCGATGGCTTCTTCAAGACTGCCGCCTGCTAGATGGATCTCTGATCTAGTTCTCCATCATTGCCGTGGATCTGTAAGAGGCTTGGTTGAGTTGGCACTGGGCCATATACAGAAGACTGAGAGGAAGAGGAGGGGTGCTATCAGACAGAGTTGGGGAGGGAGCTTGTTTAGATCACTTAAATAGTTTGGGTTTGAAGAAACATGAACGCCATTTGTAACACGTCAATTAGTTACAATGCAGCGGTTCTTCTGTCTCCTGTCTGCCGATGATTGCACTGGCTCGGATCACCGTTCAACTCTATATAACCTTATATGCATGGCCAGAGGAAGTCAAGGCTGGCGCAGCGGCTGTGGGCAGGTCAGTTGGGCCCGTACACACCCCTGCAGGTGCCCACTTATCGGTAAGACCCTCCTGGCTGACAGCTGCAGCCCAGAGGGCCCCCCCTCCGAAGCCCTCCATTCTTCTTTCCTTTCTTTTCTTCTTAAGGCCAGCCTACTCTTCAAATTCATATAATTCGGTGCACATTTAGAGCTCTCGTGCCGTGAAAACCAAGTGACGCCACAGAGGACTCGTTTAGTTATGTATTAAATCCGTACCTGTGGAGGAGCGACGGCGCAAAGATTTTGCTTTCTGGACCTAGCTCTTCAAACATTCCCAGGTGCAGCAACAGTTCAGGGAAAGGGGGAGCTGTGCAATGAACCGGCCAATGTAAACATTTCTAAGACAAGTGCCATCATGGCCAAGAATTGGACCGGATGAGGTTGGCTCTAGTTTTGTTGAAGTACCGCACATGTACCGCACATGTACCTGGGCGGCTTAGATACCTATCAAGCGACGCAGTCAGCAACCACATAACTTCTCCGAGGTCTTCGGAATAGACTACCTTTCGGCGATTTGCGTTCGGCATTCCCAGATGGGCAGCATCAGCATGAAAGCAAGCCTAGGTCTTGTGCAGTGCAGAAGTGTGTGATTCGGACCCTTTGCAGCACCAAATAGGCCTAGTGGGAGTATCCACTCGAACCACCAGTGTTTAATGGTTTTCCATGTGGCACCGGCAATCTCTTAATTCGGTCACCTACGCAGATACGCCGAAGACTCAGGTATTTCCGCATTTAATCTCGGAGCCCATTGAAAATGCTTACATTCCGCCAGCTCCTGTTAAGGTGCATGCAAGCTTTTCCTGGTCGCCGTTTCTGGGGGTCCTCCCCCCTTTTCCGGCTTCTTCTTGGCAACTTGAGCAAGTGTAGAACCGTCCTTCCTCGAATCTTTGTCCCCACCAGTCAGAATTCCACATCAGGTGAACCTCAGAGAGGCAGGGACAGCAAGGAACAAAGCAGTGTGGTTCCAGCCTCCATTTGCACCATGCATAATAGGCCAGACAGGGTTATTCATGTGCTACATGAATTTAGCAATATTGAATATAAGGGGGCCAGCCATCCAAGCTACAATTCTGAACTTCAGGCAGCCCTTATAAGCGGAGTTAACATATAAGGTTGCAAACTAATCTAGGTACTATGTCCAGATCATAAAGCTAATAGTAGCAAAGCGGCCTATGAAACTAGGAACCAGGAAGGCATTCAGGCTAGTAAAGGATAGCAGGTGGATAATAATATATATCTATTGCAGACAGGAAAAGAATTTGCGTTGGCCCACTGCAACCCCGGATTTCCTAACAAAATCTTGTCCATTAACTTTGACCCAACTCAATTCACGGCATTCTGATTTGGCTTCTTTTTAATGCATTCCGATGTTTGTCCAGAGTTTCTCTCCTTTTTTTCCTCCCTCTCTTGTTTTTTTCTCCCTTTTTTTAGCGTATTTGAGCAGCATTCTAAATCTGGTCTTCGGTATTCTCCATTTGGGCTGTATCTGAGGTGGCTGAAGCCTGCCAGTGCTCAAGTTAGAGGGAAAGACGCCGGCGGCAAAACCAAGAACAATCCTCTAGGTTTGAGCCAATGTCACAGTGACATCAACGGCACGCAGACAAGTCGCACAAGACGGGTATGTAGGAGTCTTTCACATAGGACTTCACCTGCTTCGTATCACCCAATAACAAATAGATCTATTACACAGCGTAAGCGACGACAACCGACATCCGTCACAAGAGCTTCCCCATTTTGCTTGGGACGGGCGACGTTCCATGCGTGCAAGTGTAAGCAAGCATAGCGTCCCACCCCGTGGGATTAAGTCAAATATCTCAGCTTTTGAGGCTGCGATCGCCACTACGCAAGAGCAGCGGCGATAGTCTTGGGCACAAGGAGTCGTCTCGATCTTGGAGGCAGGTAAGATATTGATTGTGTGAGTCTATGGTTGTACGACCAGAAGCAAAACAGCCCAGATGTACCGCACCTGTCTAACAACGTAGTCTGTCTGCTGGGCATTTTTTCTTATTTCTGAGTGTTACCAGGCAAGGGTTCGAGAACGGAAGGGATTTAGCGTCTGCTGTGTACTAGCCTTGTTAACGTTTTCTGGCTTGGCTCAACCCTGGTCAGGTCCCGGGATTAGTACAGTATGAACCTGCGTCATCGATCTTCGTTTCAGTCTAGCAGCCCTGCCTCACCCGTTCTCAGCTCTTGCCCTGTATTCCCAGTCAACCTTCTCACTTACAATATTTACTATAATTCGGCAAGAAATGATGTCGAATCATAATGAGCAATCACCGCTTTTACAGCACAGCAGAGAGCAGGATGGAGAAGAACCGCAGACCATCGAGTTCTCCAAGGAGGATGACGATAACCCCAAAGCGTGGTCGCGCTCCAAGAAGCTTACAAACATCGCAGTTATTGCGATGATGGCGAGTAAGCAAGCCATCGAAACACAAAAAAATGCTCCTTGCTGATACCTCAAAGTTCTCAGTCCACTCGCCAGCTCCATGTTCACGCCGGGTATCAACTCCATAGCCGAAGATCTCGGGACCACAATGAACGTCGTCATAGGTGCCACTACCGGGTTCACCGTGATGCTTGGGGTCGGACCTCTCATCCTTGCGCCCCTGTCAGAGACGTTCGGCCGGAGGACGCTGTATTTATCCTGCTTTTCAGTCTTCACGCTGCTCCAGATCCCGACGGCACTGAGCCCCAACGTGGAGACCCTGATCGCGATGAGAGTGCTCTCCGGCGCTGTGGGGAGTGTCGGCATAGCAAATGGTGGTGGGACGATCAGCGACATGTTTGAGCCTCACGAGAGAGCGGGTGTGTATGGCTGGTACCTGCTTGGCCCGCTGCTGGGGTGAGTCCTCCTATCTGCTTGTTCGATGATCAACACTAACTGGGAGAGTGCGACAGACCAACAATCGGACCTCTCTTCGGTGGCCTCATAGTCCAGAGACTCGGCTGGCGGTGGATCTTTTGGGTTTTGGCCATTATCTGTGGCATCAACACTCTTGCGGGTTTCTTCTTCCTGAGGGAGACCTATGCTCCCGTTATACTCGCCGCACGCCTGCGCAAACTTGAGGGCGACGGAGGTCAGCAGGGCAGATACCGCTTCGCTGGCCAAGATAATCGTCCTCTATCCTCCAGGCTTGCGACCGCCTTCTCCAGGCCGGTCCGAATATTCATCCAACCCATCGTTCTGACCCTGAGTCTCTATCAGGCTCTTATATTCGGTACGACCTATAGTCTCTACACTAACTTCGAGGCCATCTACAGCGGCATATACGGGTTCAACACGGAGCAAGTTGGCCTGCTGTATCTGTTCCCCGGGGTGGGTTTTCTGATCGCAGTCCGGCTCATCGTACCGCGTATCGACGATGTCTACAACGCCCTCACGCGCCGGAACAACAACATATCTAAGCCAGAATTCCGGCTCCCCTTGGCAAACATCGGCGCCTTTCTCGTTCCCGCCTCCCTGTTTTGGTTTGCGTGGACTGTAGAGGCCGAGGCGCCATGGTTGGCGACGATCGTCAGCACACTGTTCTACGGGGTTGGCCAGGTCTTGATTGTCAACTGCGTACAAAATTATTATATCGACTCGTTCGAGAAATACGCCGCGTCAGCCATTGCGGCTGGGGCAGTGTTTAGATCTGTGGTTGGGGGGATCACACCACTGCTGGCACCATCGCTATTTGACGCCCTTGGGTATGGGTGGGGAGTATCAGTGTTTGCCTTCCTGGCTGTCGCACTCGCCCCAGCGCCTGTGGTGTTCTACACATTCGGTGAAAGGATAAGGGAGAGGTACCATGTTGATCTCGACCGTTAACCGCGGGGCGTTGGGCTTGTATGAGGGTACTCTCGCCAGAGGCTAGGGCTGCTAGACGAGAGGTTTGAGCAGTTGGGAGTCGAATCGCATGAATTGGATAAGATGGGAAGACAAGTAGCAGAGAAGGCAGATGGTGAGCACTCCCTTCGGACATTGTCTTGCTCCAACCGGGGCCTTTGAGTCTGAAAACCGTCTAGGAATGTTTTTGTATGCTCGACTTGTTTTGGACTACATCTCCTCCAATATCTTCATACACCGCGACGAATTGAGACGTTCGATCAGCCAACTACCTAAGCAACTTTCCGAGTTGTACGTCGAGCTACACCTGACAGTATGAATTTTCTTTTTCTAACAGAACCTGTTTATTTATCACAAGATCTTGGCTCAGATCCTGGCACCACTGGACGCCAACTCAGTTCATCATATCAAGTGTATTCTCGGTTGGCTTGCCTTTTCCCGACGGCCGCTAAAGAAGAATGAGTTACTGTCTGCCGTAGCATTCTCCTCGGGGAACCCCGAGATAAGACTCCCTGCTCCTGAGTACATCCTGAGTGTGTGTGGGTCGCTGGTTGAGGAGCGCAACGATGCTACGTTCTCTTTCATCCCTGTGTCCGTGAAGGAGTGAGTACCGAGTACACATATTTCGAGGTATAAGCTCACATTAGACGCAGTTATCTTCAGGGAACATCGTCTGATTTGACGATACATGAGGAAGCCGTGCTGCAGCAACACTGCCTCGCCACTGTCACCTGCCTCTTTTCTAGCTTCCGTTTGCTTGATGATCCTTCTGACAAAAAGTATCAATTGATGGCGAAAGGAGTATTGATTTGCAGGTCTATGCCTACGAGGATTGGACAGACTACTTGTTATGCGTGGCGGGATATCATCGTGGTCTTGAAGCGGAGTCACAACTCTTGAAAATGCTGAGTAGGTTCTCGCCACGTCTCCGACTGACATTTCAGTATCATACTCAGCCGGAAGGCCCGTCTGATGGGGAAATGGAACGCCGAATACAGCATCTACACGATCATCCAGAGATAGCGGAGCACGTAAAGAGAGCACTCCAGGCAAGATCGGTCGAGCAGCTTGAGCGGAATTTGAAACATGAGAGTGGTAAGTTTACCCATCTGTCTGGGTTGGAAACGAAACTGACCGACTACCATCGGATTAGAGATACCCGAGGAACTTGGATCCGGATCCGACATTGATGGGATAACGAAACTGCTTGCTAGCTATCAACAAGCGGTTGTTCACATCTTGGGCCAACCCGAGATCCCCGGCGTCTCAGCAAATGACATGGAAAGCTTCTGCGCAAGGTCTAGGTCATCTGCCTGTAGTTGTGGAGTTTGGTCCTGTCCCAGAGCAACCATTGGCTTCGATTCGGCAAGGCTCCGAGGTGAACATCAAATCGAGCACACGCACAAGTACTGCTGCACTTATCCCACCTGTCAATATCCACCCTTCTCTTCGTCTCAAATTCTGAAGAGGCACATCCGTACAAACCATACAACTGCAGGTCCTCGAAAGTCGATACGCCAGGTCAAAGACACGGGGGCGACTTACCATGGCAGAAGTCATGAGGCAGATGGAGTCTCACTGCCACCATCTTCGTCTCATAGTATAGGACCCGAAGCTGGCCCTCAGGAGCAAGGAACAAACGACGATTTTTCCCGTCAAGTATCTCGGTTGAGCACCACAATCTATCAAGCTGAAGTACACAAATATCTAAAGGCGCGAAATTTCACCGAAGAGACATGCCCTCCGCAGGAGCTATATAAATTCAAGGAGAGTTGTCTTACAAGGGCTGTGGAAGGGGTCCGGCAATATTTTAGAGTTTCGGGTGGACAGTGTTAGTGCCTGAATGGCACCTACTCCTGCGGATAGGACTTAGCCACAGCCTCGATCTTTACCGATAACCGCAGAGATGTCTACATTAGAAGGCTGTCTACAGATGTTGTCTTGAATGTATGCGACCCAGAGCGGAATTTCTGTTAATTATATTTTTTGATAGCTTACCATTAGAAGGGGAGAATTTGTTCTATTTACTAGATTCCAAAATAATACAACATAATGCAGTCACTACTCTGGCCACAACCTAGGTCCGGAGCCAGGCGGCCCGAGCCAGAGCGCGGTAGTAATGCTGGAAAATGCTGCTATGATTGATAAACTCCAGGTCATGGTCGGCCAGTCGCTGGCGTCCCTTATCAGGCCCGCAATTATGGGCCCTAAGAGGCAACCTCCCGCGAAAGCAACGTTGAACAGACTGTAGGTCTGCGCGTGTGCACCCTTTTTGCCAAACAAACCAGGCCTGTCGCGCTCTATGTCTCGGAGGGCAAACGTCAACTCGGCCAAAACAGGAGCCATTGTGCCATTCACGACCAGCCCAATGCCAACAAGCAAAACACACAACACCACGATCTGAGAGGTGGAGTCATGCGTGACGAAGCGCAGGAGGACAAGGAGAGGGACTGTGCAGACGAATCCGCCAGTGGCTAACCAGCGGGAACCGTACCGGTCGGCAAGCCAGCCTGCTACTGGCTCGACGAAGGATGGAATTGCGATCGGAAGAAAGATCAGTCCAGCGCCCAGACTGTCCCAATGGAAAGTTGTTGTGACGAATATCGGAAGAACAGCGTCAAACGCGGTTAGGATAATCGATACGGCAAGGGCCGCCCACAGGGTCGCCAGAACTCGAGGGGATGAGAGTAAGACCAGAAAGGCTTGGCTTCTTTCCGCAACTCCTCCCGTCGTGCTCACGGTCGACCCAGCATGGCTTGCGACCTGGCGCACGCTCGACTCGGTATTCCCACCGTCTGCTCTCTCTTCATCGGGGGAGGTGCTTCCTTCCGGCTTCTGTTGTTGTGTCACCTCGGGATGGTCGTCCTCTTTGATCCACTTCGCAGCCACTTGCTTCTCAATCATGACCAGTCGCAGCACGATGTCTACGCCGAGAAGGCCAAAGCACATACCAAAGACAGCGTAGTATCCTGCTCGGCTGAACACGATGCCACCGAGCAGAGGCGCGAGGAGCAACCCGAGCCCCATCGAAATGCCGGTGGTTCCCAGCATCTGGCCAGTCTCTTCTTGGTCAACCGTGTCGACGAGGAGCGCAAGGCCCACCGACCATACGACCGCGGCGGAAACGCCCTGACATATTCGTCCGGCGATGAACATGCCGATGTTCGTCGCGGCCATGAGGATCGCAGTGCTGGCTGCGAGGGCGAAAAGCCCAATGAGAAAGGGGAAACGCCGGGAGGAAGTGTGATCGGCTAACCACCCAGTGAACGCTATCCAGGCGCTGTTAGTCGTCCGGACTAACATGCATCACGGATTCAAGAAGGGGATGCTCACGAGATGCGACAAGAACAGCTGCTCCGTATACGGCGAGCAAGATTGACACCCATCGTTGCACTGGACAACAGAGTTAGCGAAATGGCCCGTCCTCTGGGAAGTAAACACAGAATGGTTGCATTACCTTCTTCCTGAGGTACACCTGCCCTATCATGAAGAGCGGAAGGTATCACAGGCACGATGACTCCATATAGAAACAAATCCTGAATACCGAGGTTAGCCAAAGCTCGAAGTGACGACTGGCAAATGCCACTAAGTGAGGCCACTCACGGTGAAGATGGCTACGCAGATCGAGGTGAGGATAAGCGTCTTGCTACTCCGGAAAGCCAGCGCCACGGGCGGCTTTTGGGATTGGTTCCCCCCTAACCACTTCATTTCGGTCGGGACGTCTAAAATTGCCTTTGGAGGGAGGAAGGGGGCAGGCAGTATCGGAAAGTGAAGTTGACGGTCAATCGTTTCTTGCCAAGGAGTAGCTTTCTAGATAGCCTCTACATATGTAACTCTTATTAATGTAGGTGGACCTCTCCGTCTCCGCTTGCCCCATCGGATTCGGAGCCCGGAGCCCACGGGCTGCGGTCCCCATTGTTTCGGGGCCCTCTCGGCGTCGAATCCGTGCGTTCTTGCAGACACACATACCTCCTTGAAACCACAGATCTCGATGGCGAGTAGCGAAGCCGATCTCGGTGTTTCGTCTCCTGGCTGTATATTGCACGAAGTGTCGGTCAAGGGATGTTCTGATGGAAATCGCAGCGACGGAAGTGATACCCGTGAAGCGCGGGGATCACATGTAAGCAAGTCTTCGGCAGCCAATCTGGGTGGCAGGTTTCCCAATAAACATCATTATTTTGGACCGGAGCCAAAGATTACATCCTTTACGAATCACAGTCTCATCGACGATAGAGGGTAGACTTTGGGAAACTGACTAATAAGGCAATATTTGATTGGCGCTGGCGTAACAAGAAACCAGATGCCAGAGAATCCTCAGCCAATCAAGCTTGGCGCGGCGGGCTCTGACAGGAGCGAAACGTCATGTCGAGGGTTGTATGGGCGGATGGGGCGACATGATCCCGCTAAACCGTAAGCAGTCAAAAGAGTGCGATGAAGAAAATGAAGATCGGCTCCAGCTTCTGCGAGCTCAGCATTGGCCGAGTAGAAACAGCTTGCGCAGACTTCTTTTACGGTTCTCGGATCCTTTCGTTTCATGGTCTAAGTTTGCTTTGTTGGATGCTCGACCCCTACATATTGTCTTCCGGCTGCTGTCAGGCATGCTTCCAATAATAACGGTGGCTTTGACTGCCTCTGGTACAGCTGGCGCTGAGACGCATTCTGGAACAGTACGAATCGCAACCGAATGAAAATCATCATGAGATACTTGTGACACGCTGATCAAGCTTTGATGATCACTTTGCTTGGGCGCCTAATGCCATGGGCAGTGTTGACTCCCATGCAGAGATGGACAAATAACTCTTGGTCCATATGAGACAGCGACGTTTTCTTCATGTTCGACAGCTTCAACTGCTAGTTCAGTTGATTCTCTGTTTTTGTTTTTGTTTTTGTTTTCTTCAATGCCGACTGGTTCGGCAAGACTGGCTACTGGATAGCTGTTTTTCCCCCCTGACCATTTTGCCACATTTCTTTGCTGAATTGTATTATTTGCATTTTTTGAAAGTTCACAACACTCTTTTCGAATCCAAAGAAGAAGAACAAAATCGAAAAAAAAGGGGAAAAAGAAAAACGAAAACAAAAAGGGAAAAAAAGGGACACAATCATGGGTTGGGGTGTGGTCGAAAGCGATTTCAACAAGTTCCCTCCGGGGACTGTGAACTTGGTGAAAAAGCCAGATGATAGTGAGTTTCCCCGAGTGTTTATTGTTGCTTAAGAAGTCTGACAGATATACTCGATACAGACGAGAGCGTGGCAGTTGGTGTCAAGAAAAGGGGGGACGTTATCCTTCAACCACAGCCAAGCGACGATCCTAACGACCCTTTGAATTGGTAACAATGCCTGGATGAATCACGACGATGCGCTCCCAGGAAATTTGCTAAGGAGGCACCAGGTCTCAATCATTCAAAATCGCCCACGTGTCGGTCCTCGCCTTTCTGTCCGCTGCGGCAGGTGTGTAAGTCAATACGCTCGCCGCAACCTGTTCAATTAACTGGCACGACAAGCTAACATGCGAGATGCTACCAGTGTTCCTGTGATGATCCAGCCAGGCTTAACTATCCTCGCCGAGCAATTCCAAGTGTCGCCTGACACTGCTTCCTCCTTGACAATCGGGTCTCTGGCTTTTTGGACAGCGGTTGCAAGTTTCGTCGTCGTGTCTGCAGCTGTTGTCTGGGGGAAAAGACCACTTTATGTGATTAGCGCCTTGGTGCTAGCCATTGCTAATCTTGTAGCCTTCAAAGCCGATGTAAGAAAGACTCGAGAGTGCTTATCCGATGCTTCGCTCTGCTAACCAGGTCAAACACCAGAACTTCGGGCTCCTTGTTGCCATGCGAACAATTACGGGCTTGGCGTCGGCCCCCGGTTTCTCGCTCCTCACGGCTACCATAGCAGATATCTTCTTCGTCCACGAGCGGGGCTTTTACATAGCCCTATGGAACATCTGTCTCGGGTCTGGAGGACAGATTGGGTGCGTATAGTCTTAGCTCCGAGTAGCGATAGGAGCGGTACTAAAACAGTTGTCATACACAGACAGGTTATTTGCGGATTTATTATCGAGGATCTCGGTGTCCCTGCAGTGTTTGGATTCGCCGCGATCGTCTTTGCACTTCTTATGGTGGCGTCGTACTTTCTTGCCCTGGAATCTACATACGACCGACCAGAACAAAAACCCGTCGATTACGATAGCAAACTTGACTTCGGTTTCGAGGAGGAAGAAGACCTAAAAGCCCCCAAGGCATCTCAAGTCAAGAAGTCCTACTCTCAGCAACTCGCACTTTGGAACGGACGGCTGAGCAACCAGTCCTTCTGGCTTGGAGTTGTGAAGCCTTTTGGCCTGATCGTATTCCCAGCCGTGGCCTATGGCGTTCTTGCTTTCACAGTGGCCTTCTCCTTCCTCGTCGGCGTGCCCATCGTAACCTCGGTCGTCTTTGCTCAGCCCCCATACAACCTTACGCCCTCGCAAATCGGCCTCACCAATCTTCCACTAGTTGCTGTATCTATCATTGGTGGTCTCTTCACCGGCTGGTTCGCCAACGTGGCAGGTAATCACATGGCGAGGACGAACGGCAGCCAAGCGGGCATGTTTGAGCCCGAGTTCCGCTTGCTCCTGCTGGTCATGTCTGGCCCAATCACTACGGCAGGCCTCATCGGCACCGGCATAGCCCTTGATCAGGCCCTTCCGCTGGCGTGGGTCCTGGTTTGGATGTCCGTGTTCTCTTTCGGCACCCTGTTTAACGTGCAGGTGATTCTGACGTACGTGGTGGACTGCTTCCCGGAGAACTCCGGGCAAGCCTTCTCAACTATGAACCTTGTTTCGTCCATTGTCATCTTCGTGGGCTCCGGAGTCTTGATCACATGGTACGAGACGATGGGACCTATGGTTGTGTTTGGATGCCTCGCTGCTGCGAGCGTCATCACCTTAGTGACATCCATACCTCTCTACGTATTTGGCAAGAGGATGAGAGCTTACATGGCTGGACTTCCATGGACACACAAGCTTCTGGATTGAGGAATTTAAGAGCTTAGTGGCTGGTATACACAATCCTTGATAGAATTTGAAATATGCCTAGTCCCTATTTAGATATTGCATAGTGCCAAATCATGTCTTGAAGCTCCCTTCATGGGGTATCAGGTCGAGTATACTTGATGCTACTAGTAGGTTTATTCTTGTCCTCACGAGACGGTTTAGGATTGAACGCAGCTGGCCTTCTGCCTATCTTTAGGCGAGCCCTCCCCCTACTTCAACTCGCCCGCTTATGCGAGATGTGCTCTCGAGAAAGTCAGTGATGGCACGTTTGCTTGATTTCCCAGGGTCGAAATCCGGGATCATCTTCTCGCCTCTTCCTTTTCAGTTGCCTTACACTGTTTCCGTTGCCAATATCCGATCCGAAAGCCATCGGATACTCTATATTCATCGTGTCTAAACTGTACAGCCACGACTGAACGTGTTGCGGTAGAAAATCGAAGCGAAGGATTTGATCACCCGGGTAATATTGCGCTGTGGCTTGGGCCCAGGCCTTTAAAGATCTTGATGCCCAATCTCTGCGGCCGAGGCTGGCGACACCTGACAGTCTCCAGTCATAGCACACAACTTTTGCCAAGTCTCTGTCTCAAAGCCATTCCGCTGCCCCACCTCGGTGAGGAGGTATGCGGTTAAGTGACCTTAATCCCTGTACCTTACTTGATATCTAAATATAATATTTAAATGTTAACTAACCTCGTTTTATATTTAGATGTTAATTAACCTCGTTTTATATTTAAATATTAAAAAAAGAATTATTATTAAATTATTGCGGTTAATTTTTAATTCATATTAATGAATTTATTTTAATATTTTTATATAGTTACTTTAAGCCATATAAAAATCCCAGCATTTACACTAATATTAAGCATAACCCATTTCCTCCATGCCAAAAACCTTAATGCATTTATAAATTAAATCTTTCTTATACTTATAACTTTTATAATAATAGCATTTCTTATTAACCTCCATTTTACATAAAGTAATTAAAACTTTATATAACATTATTAAATTTTCTTAAATAATCTTTATTAAATTAACCCCGCTTATAAACTTATTATAAAAATAAATATAGATATTATTACCATTTATTTTAGCGAGCTTTTTAAAAATAGCCTTTTATCTTTTATTAAAATTATATTATTAATAAATTAAAATTATACTTACATACTTTTTATTAATTATATTAGTTATATTAATTATAAGATTTTAAATAATAATTACATTACTTATCTTTATCTTATATTTTTAAATAACTAAATTATCTTTAATTAAATTAAAATTAATAAGGTATATAACCTTAAGTTTAAGCAATATTTTAAAATTTTCTTTTTTTTAAATTTATTTATTAATAAGTTAAACTTAAAGCCCTAAAAATATAAGTACTGCTAATTACTACTTACGCCAAGTTATCCATTAAGTTAGTTTTAAATAAATATATTAAAATTAGCTTCTTTATAAATATAGCTTAAGGAGTAAAATTCTTTTTATTTTTTAATTTTTTTACTTTTTTACTTTTTTAATCTTTTTAATACATATTATATTATAATATATTATATATATAATTAAATATAATAAAGTTTTAATTATTAATATAAATATTATTTTATTATTAAGGATTTATTATTTTTATTTAATTATTAATAATTAAATATAAATATTAATATAAAATTAAAATATAAATATAAATATAAATATAAATATAAGAAAAATATAAAATATAAATATAAATATAAATATAATATTTTATATCTTTATTTATATTTATATTTATATTTATATTTAAATTTAAATATAAGTAATTTATATTCTTATAATTAAAACAATTAAAAAAAATATAAAATATAAATAAATAAATAAATAAATAAATAAATTAATAAATATTATATTAAATATTTAATATAATATTTTATTAATTATTTTATTAGGTATTTTATTAAATATCTTATTAATTATTTTAAATTTATAAATAAATAATAAATTACTTATTTTTATTATATATACTTATATTTTTTAGTAAGTTTTATATAAAAAAGAAAATAAAGATTTAAAAGGGTTTATCTTTCTTTATATATATATTGTTTTATATTTATATTTATATATATATATAAATATAAATATAAATATAAATATAAATATAAATATAAATATAAATATAAATATAAATATAAATATAAATATAAATATAAATATAAATATAATATTTCATATTTTTAAAGATATAAATATAAATATAATATATATAGTTATTAGGCATAATAGGCACTAAAAGGTAAATGAAAATAGTGTTATTTATAGGTATTAATTGCTATTAAAACTAATTCTTAACCCTTTTAATGGTTTTTTAAAGGCTAGGTTCTTTCCTTTTATACCCTAAGCCTTTAGCTACTAGCCATTAAGCCCTAAATCATTATAAAAAATATAAAAATATAATTATAACTCTAAGTAATATATAGAAAGTATTTTATAAGATAATAATTTAATTTAAATAAACTACCTTATACCTATAATATCTTAATAATTTCCAAAGCTAAGCTAAACATTACAATAATTAACCTTTTATTTTAATAAGCATATTATTTATATTTAAATATTAGCATATATAATATAAATACTTTAAGATATAAATACTTATAATAAGGAATAGCTTTTAAGCTAAGAGTTTAAATACAGCTAAAATAAGCTTTATATATAAAAAGCCCAATATATAAAGTTTACATTACTTCTTAATTACCATACCTTATATCCTATATAATAATTAATTTAATATATTAAATATAAAAGTTTATAATATACCTTTGCTAATTATAAAATTCTTTATTTATTTATATAATATAATTAAAATAAATAATTTTATAAAAAAATAAAATAAGAATTTTTCCTTTTCCTCTTATAAGAATTAATTATAAGGATAATAACTTTATTTTTAACTTTATTTCTTAACTTAAATATATAATTATTAATATTTAAGCTTTTATTTTTAAAAAAATACTTACCATAAAGATGGTTTTTTAGCTCTTTAACTGCTTTATTTAGTAAACCTATATTTAAATATTAATATATTTAAATATAGTATTTAAATATATAAACTTACTTATCTTAAGCAGCTAGCTTTTCCTTTGCATTATTATTCTCCTTATTTAATTTAAACTTATATTTAAATATTAATATATTTAAATATAGTATTTAAATATATAAACTTACTTATTTTAAGTGGCTGGCTTTTCCTCTGCATTATTATTTTTTTCATTTAATTTAAACCTATATTTAAATATTAATATATTTAAATATGGTATTTAAATATATAAACTTACTTATCTTAGGCGGCTGGCTTTTTCTTTGCATTATCCTCCTTCTTATTTAATTTAAACCTATATTTAAATATTAGTATATTTAAATATGGTATTTAAATATATAAACTTACTTATCTTAGGCGGCTGGCTCTTTCTTTACATTATCCTCCTTCTTATTTAATTTAAACCTATATTTAAATATTAGTATATTTAAATATGGTATTTAAATATATAAACTTACTTATCTTAGGCGGCTGGCTCTTTCTTTACATTATCCTCTTCCTTATTTAATTTAAACCTATATTTAAATATTAATATATTTAAATATGGTATTTAAATATATAAACTTACTTATCTTGGGTAGCTAGCTCTTTCTTTACATTATCCTCCTTCTTATTTAATTTAAACCTATATTTAAATATTAATATATTTAAATATAATATTTAAATATATAAACTTATATATTACTAAATATATTAATATAATTTATAGCTTTTTCTTTTTTAAGCCTATTATTAAATATTAATATTAATAATTATACTTTTATATTAATATATATTTTACTTATTACTCTTTATTAAAGTGCTTTTATTAAAGTTTATATAATAGAAATGTTTTATTAAAGATATTACTTTTATTTAAAGTATACCTAAAAGATTACTTTTCCATAGCCTTTCTTATCTCTTAAATTTAAGTATTAAGATTAGCTATTAATTATTTTAAGAGTTGATAAGTTAAAGCTAAAAGGGAAGCCTTATTAAGGCTGCTATAATAATATTAGCTTATAAGTATATATATATATATAAAAATATATATAAAAATACTTACTTATTATCTTCTTTATTAATAAAGTCTTTATTAATTTTTAAGTTAAGATATTTATAAGATATTAATCTTTATACTTTATATAATATAAAAATAATATATATATTTTAAGTAAAAAATTTAACTTATTCTTTTCTTTATTAATAAAAGTACTATTAAGAATAGTACTTTTTTTATTAAATAAAAGAAATGTTTTAAGAATAAGGTTATGTAAATAATTAAATATAATATATTTAATTTATATAATAAAGAAAAATATTAATATACCCTAAACTTAAATTACTTTCTTATTAATTTTAAATCTTTTTTAACCTTGCTTATCTTTAAAACTTTTCTTAATTTAATAAAGAGATTTCTTTAAGTTTTTATTAAAGTTTTATAATAAAAGATTTTATAAAGCTTACTTTATTATTATTAAAGTTAAAAAATTTAAGTAATGGAGTTTTAGTAATAGTATTTTAATTAAGGTTATGAATAAACCCTTTAAACTTAATACTTAAAGAATTATTATTATTAATTAATATAAGTTTTGCTTTATAAACAAGATTTATATATTTATTAAGAATAAAAAGATTAAGCTTTTTAGGATAATTAATATTAAAGATATAAATTCCAGCCTTTTTAAGTTAAAATAGCTTTTAAATTATTAAATTTATATTAAAATAAAAATTAATAAAAGTAAAACATAATTAATAAATTATATATATAATATGCTTAAAGTTCTTTAATTCTTAGATTTAAATTATACTTTTTTATATTTAATAATATAATATTTTTATGCTTTAGCTTAATATAATTTTATAAAGCATTTATTAATTTATATAAAGTTTTTTATAATAATAATTAATATTTATTTTATTATTAAAATTA